TTATTCACGGTGGTATTACCATAGTGAAAATATCCTAAAACCTAGATTCAAAATCTGAATAGAGGGCATTTAAATGTTGAACGTAAGTTGAAACGTCGTCTTCCTGACAGCTTGTCTGTGACAAATTGGGGAACTGAGAAAATTCGCCCCGTCCAATATTTTGCTTCATTAGTTTAACTCTGGCAAGAAACGCTGATATGATGGACTTTGTTTTAATCAAATTTAAGCTGTCGCCTTGTAATTGCAAATTAACCATATTAAATTTTGTAAACAAATCTGTTAAATAGGCGATGTCTGTTTTCCTCTTCATTAAATTTTCTTTTAAAATTTTATCTTTAGTATCCAGAAATTCTAAAGTGGTCTCAAAAAGTGCAAAAAATCTTGTCAAACATAAGCCTTTTGGCAGCCAGCGTACTTCAGTGTGAAGGAGTAATTGATGAAAGTATTCGTCATTTTCTTCTCACAACTGCGCAAATAACCGCGTATTCAACGCATTGCTTCGGATTCGGTTTACTGCATCAATGACTAAATGAAGTGATTCATGCAATCTAACACTCAAATTTTTATCAACTAAATGTTGTCGATGGTTGACGCAATGTATTGCTAACACCCCGACACATTTTGTTTTAAATAGCTTATAAATCCACGATAACGTCCAACCATGGCAGGTGCTCCATCTGTAGCTACTGATATTATATTTGATAAAGGAATTGCTTTTTCAATGAAGTAATCCTTCAAAACATGAAATATTGATTCACCTTTAGTGTCGGTTATCAAAGTTCTTGCGAAGAGCAGTTCTTCGTAGATTTCTTGATTCATAATAAAACGAACATATGCCAATAATAATGCTGCATTATCAGGTAAAGTTGACTCGTCCAGTTCTATAGAGAAATGGGTCATTTGCAAATAATTATATAAGAAGCTTTCAATAGCAGAACACATTTCATCAATACGTCTTTCAACAGTATTGTTGCTTAAGGGAATTCTTTTAATGATATCAGATGCAGGTTTGTGTGAAACAGTTTTTAAAACCTCTTCAACGGCTGGCAAAATTAACTTCTCTCCGATAGTATGCGGTTTTCCGGGTTTTGCTATAAGTAACGAGATATTGTAAGACGCCCGCAAACCATCATCATTTCTTTGTGATGTCGAAGCGAACATTCTATCCAGTGTAGGTCTCTTCTGAAATTTATCTTTGAGTGTGTGAAAGTATTTCAAATCTTTCTCTGTTTTATCAGGGTGGCATCTTCTCAGATGATCTTGCAGTTTAGATGGTTTTATAGCGTCATTGCCCAAAACTTTGTTGCATAAAAGGCACATAGGCGATTGTTTGTCCGGCAATGATGGAATGAAGCCAAATTTCAAATAATCAACACTGTACTGTCTACATTTCTTTTTAGATTCGGACAAGACATCAGTCATCTGTGGGCAAAATTAAATTATTTAAATGAGACAGAAAGTCCAGCAGCTGTATATTAAAAATATTTTTTGATTTTTCCGTAAACATTCCATAATTCGAACATCTTCTTGAAACAATTAGCTCGAATTACGGAGATTGCACTGTAAATATATTACCGATTGCTAAAACTTTCAAAAAGAAACTATTGAGGAGTACTCGTGTAATTTTGCATGATTGAATATTTAACTACTTACTAATAACTAAAGTCATGATTGGTGTAATTTATCTATCTTTTCGCAGGTTTTTTACAACGAAGTTGAAAAACACTTCTTTTCGGATTTATTGTATTGGTAAAGGTAACTTAGGGAAAACAAAGAGCACGAAAAAGACTTCAAACGTGTGACCTTAAAACTTTACACGTTCAATTTGCTATAGCGGTTAATTTGTTAGTACAGACAAACTTACCTACTTATAATTTTTTACCTAAAAGTAGATAAGAGTAAGTATGAAATAATACATAACAGCCTTTGTAGTGCTTAACATGAAAAAAACATCAATGCCCAATATAATAGAGCTATAAGTACAACCAAGCAAATAACCTCTAAAGTGAACCACGATTATTTAACCTTACTGACAGATAACATTCATCAAGGTTGCTTATTTTTTCGGATATTGGCGGTAAAATGATAATTTGCCTCTAAATCTTCAATCACTGTTCATATTGACGTGGTTAAAAAAATATTGTAGAGAAAATGAGCTTTTTTTTAAATGGAAGGCACTGCGGTCTAATTGGCAACTAGAGTCACACCACAGAGTGATTCAAAGTTGGGGAAACATCATTTATATTTACACTGTTCGTACCACCTGCCAAAAAAATCAATTGAATCGTGTTAAAAATGAAAAACAAACAAAACAAAATTTTGTTTGTTACGTGTATCTTGAACCTGAGTGTATATCCCGGGGGTCCAAAAAGTAAAAGAAATAAAAAAAGCAAATATCTCGAAAAATACATTTTCTACAGAAAAATATTGTGAAACAAAGTTGTAAGGCCTTAATAAGGTCATCTAAAGCTGACCTTGAACGTGGCCTTGACTATGACTTCCAAGAACATTTGATGGTCGAGACAGTTTTCTTAAATGTAAACCATTATTTTTGACACCAGAAATCAAAAGAGCGGAAAATACTACGTCCAAATACATATATCTTTGCAGATGGCTTTGACCGTGACCCTGGTGGGTATTTAAGGGTGACCAAAAAGTATGGAAAGGTCAAAAAGTAAGTTTCTTTAAAAATGAATGAGGAACAAAGCTGTAATGTTTGAGAAGGCCCATTTGGAGGTCAAAATGGTTTTCTTGAATCTATTTTTGACACCGGAAATGTAAAGAGCATACCTACAATTTGGCATGCCCGTGACTTTGATTATGATTGTCAAGGTCATTTGAAGATCAAATAAATGTTTAGCGGAGAACATCTATGTTTAGTTCTGGAGTAATTTGCCGACAATTTCACATTCAGGTATATCTTTGCTACAGACCTGCTGGTTTTTAGTATCGGTCTTTTATAGTTCAAGCTGTACAGGGTCAAGAGGATTAATAGCCGAGGCTAAACTTCGTCAATTTCTCTAAACTATTAGAGTATAGTAACGAGGTCTGCGAACTAAGTAATACGATTGATTTTTTGTTTTCATTAAAATATAATTATAATTTTATATTGTCACCATCAAAATAACTTCCTTCTGAAGCTTCTGAAGCCACGTAGTGCTGGAGACGGTTCATCCACTCCTCATACAAGTGCTGGAACTCATGATACTGGAATAGCCTTCAGCTGGTCGGTCAGAGCCGTTTGAATGTTTTCGATTGTCACAAAATGAGTTTACTGACCAAAAACTCGCTTATTGTCATTGCTGTGTGACAAGGAGCATTATCGTGATGCAACACCCAGTTGTTCTTGATCTGATGAATGGTGGTGGGAGTCAAATTTAACTTTTCTTCTCCCTTCTGAAAATACATTTAAACCACCGAAAAACCTGGGCTCTTGACAAAACACTATCTCCGGCCTGCTGAAGTTTAGCAGGAGTTTTCGTTGCATTGTGTTTGAAGCAAAACCTGATAGCACACAGTTGCTCGAAATTGATGTCACTCATTTTTAGACCGTAATAGGGAAAACTGTTTCACAGAAAATCGCATGTTTACCTGTCTCCCCTCCAAGCCAGGCCCTCCAGTGTTGCCAGATCGGATATAACTTTGTCAGTCTCATCATTTTATTTATAGACCTCGTATATACTGTTAAAAGTCAATGATGATCGCCTGCTGAAGTATCCACAATAAACTGATTTTCGCATATGTACTCATAAAAGTGTCATCTGCTGCATACATTCTAAATTTAAGACATGATATTAATTATTTGTGTATTCAGGTAGATTCCATTTATTGTTTGTTCATTTCAGATTGAAGATAACCCATGCCGCCACTAAGTTTATCCGACTTATCCTATTACTGGTGGCAACTATGCATCGGTATCTTAATTTTCGTCATAGGAGGAGCGATATACTACTTCCATTTGAAGAGAAACGAAATTAAGGACAACACAGACAGCAACATTGGACCGAGTACTGGACCATTACTGTAGTATAATTGATTCGTATAGAGTTCAAAATTGATGAATCACTATGGAAGAATATCCGGTTACCCGTTCGAGTATGCGAAAAAAATTCTTAAGTTTTAGATATATGCAATATGGACGAGCAGTATTAGTCTATTAGTTGCTTTAAACTTGACTGACTACATTATAAAATTCAGGATCCTATGCATCACGAAATGTAACCCTGTTTCCTAAACAGGTGCAACTTTTTATAGACTGGGTAAGTGCAACTTTATCATTTGAATAATCGGTTGCTCCAAAGTTTTTCTAGTCTTCAAATTTGTAAACCAACGTCATTAAAGTGAACAATACGAATTGAATCCTTTCGTGAGAGTGGTAAATGAGATTAAATAATGGAAAAATACATAATTGTCGTTACATATCCTCCTCTATTGATGAAGTTGGTATTCTCGATTTTTTATAAATCAATATTCCTTTTATTTATTAAATTTGCGTAACATTATCATAAGCTACGACAGAATAGATTTGAGGTTTAAGACATACTTGTCATCACATCTGAAAGTCCTTAACTATTTATAGCCTACAAAATTTGAACCAAAAATGTGTACCTAAAATATTTGGTGGTATGGGATCCCGGAGTATTAAGATAAATTATTTGATGAAATTCTTATACATGTTTGTACGAAAATTTTTATATGTACTGTAACTGTTTATACGTATTCGTACTATGTGTAAAAACATTCATGTTGAGTATGTGTTGCTTTAATATACAGAAAAAATATTTATGTCTGATTTGATCTCAGCACTTATTTCGACAACATCTTGGACCAGTCAGACAAGCTGGTTCACAAATCGTACAAAGGTCCCTAGGTATCTAGTCGAATACTGTAATAAAGCATATGTTTAATGTGTAATAGCGACAAGATAAAAAAGCTGTGGTGTAACAGTATAAGCAGTTATAGCTATTTATTAATTTAAATAAAATTTTTTGATTTTATAGGAATATTTGATTCATCCCTGGATATACCCTATTTTGGATCATCCAAAGTATCTTTTAAGAAGAGAGCTGGTTAAACATATTAGCCTAATAAATATAGAAAAAGGTTTGGGAGAAATTGTAAGTGACAAATTGTTTGGTGAAAACATATGAAATCGATAGTTCTACGAGAATATGTATCGTGCCAGGGCAAATTAAATATTATTAAATATTTTTTAAAAATGTTTGTTAAATATTTGTAGCGACAGACTTCTTAATTTTTAATAAATATATTTCTTATATATTCATGAAATATTCATTATAGATATTTGTAGTATATACTCGTATAATTCATATATTTTTACGATATTTTTTCTGAATATTTAGAAAATACACGAGGAAAGATTTTTAAATATCAATTTTATATTTTGATGAAATATCTAATATTTTTGGTAAATATGTATGGATTTTCAAGTATTAATCTGATACACATTTTCAATGTACATATATAGGACATTCTTCATTGGTTATTTTAGCAAAACCTGTAGGAATGCTTTTATAAAATTGGGTTTATAAAGAAAATTTATTCTAGATAAATTGGTTTAATTTGCTAGAAAAATATCATTAAAAAAACATTTTAAGCTTCTGCCAGCAGCTCAACTGGGTAACTGAAAAGCAGCTCTATGATGCACCTAAAAAAAGCCCTCATTTTCTTCTTAAGTGAGTTCGAGATTTGGTTAATTTTTAACAAAATTTGGTATGCTATTTGGATATCTTGATGAAAAGTGTCCATGGGCACAATCATTTGACTAACTTCTAAAGAAAAAGTTTTTTAAAATAGACCACTTATTGATTTTGTTGAAATGTGACTTTTTTGCAGTAGTAAGGGGGTTAATTCAGCCATAACTATTTTGTGATTATATAGTAATTCAAGGGACAAAAACATAGTATTTTCGACTGTAAAAATTTTTGAACGTCCCTGTTGAACTTGAAAGTTTTAAAATAGTTACAGCTGATTTTCCCCCTACTACGACAAAAATAATAATAATTGAGATGTGTAAAAAAGCATTTTTGATGTATTTCAATTAAGTTGCGATTATGTGACTTTACATTGGGATGTTATGAATATAATTTTCGTATCCATTTTCAGATAAATCCATCAAATCTTCAAGACTAGTTATTTCTGGTCTTGTAAATACCTTTATACTCAACTGACACAATAATGTTTACTAGTCAGATAAATTAAGCTATGTAATCATCGAAAAACTTACCCTTTTTCCTTTTCCACAAAAAAATACTCAAATAATGTTCCATTTGGAGGTACACAGGAAGCAGGCTATCATAGTGAAACTCACAGGTAAAATGGATGCCAGCACGCGGGTCGGCTCAGGTCGGCTTGCCATTATGCCATCGGCCATTTTGCTGTTCTCACTCATCCGTTTGAGGAATTATCACTGAATATAGTTTTTTATACTCTAACTGCCACGAAGGCCTAAGGCTTAAACACTATAGGGGGAAAGGAGGGGACGCCACACAGACTCTAGCAAGGGAAAGCGTGTGCATGGAGTATGCACACATTCTGGCCCCGCCAAACGAGATCCGTCGGGTGGTACCTCCGCGTTCCATAGTCAAAGAGCGTCTATCACCTACAGTTGAGCATATCTTGTCATTTTTGGCATAATATCAGAAGGCATTCCCAAACTGGGTGGTTTTGTATGTCGACCAACATGTCCGTTTCCGTTCTCCATAGAGATATTGTCAATTACACCATTAAAGTACCTATGTTAAACACAACACGGAGATCAGGAGAACTGCCCTCATTTATTCGCTGCTAGAGAACGACTCAACTATAAGTGATGCAGTACTCTACTTTTTCCATTATAGCAGATCATAAACAAAATATTGTGTATCTCGAGCCTAATAAACCCTTTTGTCCCCTTGGCCACAGCCGCCCTCTTACACCTCCTAGATACACAAACAAGTATTAGAAAGAGTGTATGTTACTTTGCACTATACAGCGGAGAAGCTGCCAATTTTGATCAATCTTCGCAAAACGTCGGCTGTGAGTCTAGACAAAAATACCTTTCCACAATACACTTGCCTCTTATTGGATGGGTATACAACAGACGAAAACCATGTTAAGAATGTTTTGCTTTATTCTGAAAGAGAAAGAAGAGATCATTCTCTTCTGTAACAAAGAATCAACATCAAGAGTTATTGGCACAAACATTTAGCTCTCTATCAAATATCTGATGATTTGGGCAATCAATGACAACTCCACTTCCATTTGAACATAAAAGAAACTTCTTGAAATCACCGGGATACGGTATTATAACCGTCCCTTCTTTAAGTTGGTTTTCACATAAATCGTTTGGATTATTTGTTCCATCAAGTTCATTGTTTGATTCGACGGCGTTATTTTCTTCACCATGCTCTTTAGATGGCTCCTCTTGTTCGCTGGTATTTTCCTGACTATGTTTTTCTGAATCCTCCTCATGCTCCTTGGTGTTTTCCTGGCTATTTTCTTCATTTTCATTAGTCTCATGTTTGCTGTGATCGTCCTGTTTGTCGCTTTCTTCGGAGTGGTGTTCTTTACTGTGTTCTTCGGTATCTTCTGGCGTATCATTGTGGTCAGCGCCGTCATTCTTCTTGTCCTAGAATGAGAAATGGGGTATCTAGTATTTACTAAAACGGAAAGTAATAGGACTCAATTTCTTCCGCCATGACTGTACTTCGGAGCGTGCGCGCACCGACTGGATTCGGTAGAGGGCGTTCCTAGCTAACGAATGAGCGGCTGGTCAGTTGTCTCCGAGCACTTGGAGAGTCAGGACAGGCATTTTCGCGCAACGTGTTTCTGTGAGTGGTGCAAGCCGAAAGTGCAGCGTTCGTAAGAGCAGAGGTACGCGATTAAATTCTGTGTGAAACTCGGTAAATCTGCGACAGAGACGTTTGATATGATCAAGCAGGCTTACCCAGGTATTGCTTTAGCAAAAATTGGTGTGTTTCGGTGGTACCAGGCCTTATTGGAGGGCCGGGAAGAGGTCGCTGATGAAGACCGTGCTGGAAGACCTTCGACTTCGACAAACACCGATAATGTGACTCGTGTGAGCAAAGTTTTGAACTCAGACCGTCGACTAAGTATTCATTTAATTGCCCAGATGTTAAATTTACCAAAATCTGTGGTTCATGACATTGTGACACAGCATTTGAACATGCGCAAGGTGTGCGCGAAGATGGTCCCAAAAGTGCTCACTGACGACCAGAAATTGCGGCGAGTGGAAGTGTGCCAAGAAAATTTGAACATGTGTGAAAGTGTCCCCCAATTTTTGAATAACGTAATCACAGGTGACGAGTCGTGGATCTTTGGGTATGATCCCGAGACAAAGAGGCAATCTTCCGAGTGGCACACGACGGCGTCTCCTCGCCCAAAACAGGGAAGAATGAGCAAATCCAAAGTGAAAACGATGCTCATTGTCTTTTTTGACATCAAAGGCATTGTCCACCATGAATTTGTTCCTCCTGGACAAACCGTCAACGCCAAGTTTTACGTGGAAGTGCTCAGGAGACTCAAACGAAGGGTCAGTCGGGTCCGACAAGATATCGCAGCCGACTGGAAGTTGCACCACGACAACGCCCTGGCTCACACCGCCTTTCTTGTGAACAGCTACCTGACCAAGGCCGGCATCCCAACGCTTCCGCAGCCGCCCTACAGCCCAGATGTGGTCCCCCCGGACTTTTTTTGTTTCCTCGTCTGAAAAGGCCGATGATAGGCAAGCATTTTGAGACGACAGAGGGGATCCAAGCAGCATGCACCGCGGCTCTCAAGGCTATGCCGGAGAATGCCTTCCGTGACGCCTTCAATGCTTGGAAATCGCGCTGGCAGCGCTGCATCGACGCAAAAGGAGCCTATTTTGAAAGTTTTTAAACAATTGTAACGATTGGCTCAATAAATTTTTTTAAATCGACTCAGTCCTATTACTTTCCGGACAAACCCTGTAATACGCTGATAGTAGCACGCTAGTAGGAGGAAAAATTAAAAAAAAATCCGTTAATTATTACTTCCCAAATTTTAACACGCGGTTACTGCTATGCGAATGATAACACAACGTAGTAGTTTTAAGAAATTAGTCGAGTGGCGGCGTAGCTAGGGAAAAAACAGGAATATCGTTTAAGCTTTGTTGTTTTAAGTGTTCAGAGATATTTTTGTAGGGGTTCATGATTGGCGGTTAGAAGTTGTAGTGGGTGGGGGGAAAGTATATCTCACTTTGTTGGTGGCAGTATATTTATACGCCTCTAACCCCAGTAATTTTCTATTTCACACATCAATAATTTCCCCGCACATTTGCAATTATAACCTTGAGAAATATAAACGACTTTCATACGCCGAACCCTGCAGGGATGTCATAGTGTGGTCCAGCAGTGTAGCCATAAGGTCGATACTTGGGTAGGTATAAAACTAGCGTTAGCGTTATCAAATGGACGGGGACTATAGATTTTGTGCTAATTGCATATGGGCCTGTTTGGCTGACTTGGCCAATTTAATTTTTTTGTTATTCATGTTTGTAGTTGACTCAAAGGGACTAGTTTCGGCCGAAAATAATCCTTTATGAATGCATGGAGTCAACCTACTTGACGCCATTTTTTTACAATCACCATTTTGAAGGGCCCCAGAACAATTATTAGTGAGACGCTAATGCTACCAGTAGTTCGACTTAAAAAGTGTAACCCACAAAAAATCAACTTTTTGTTCCGGTCAAATTTTTCGTAGACATCATTCAGCTAAGTTTTCTTTTCTATTTTTCTAAAATAATTTGTATGGGTAGGGAGGGGCTCCAGAATAAGAACCGAACGGTTGTATTCCCAAGAGGGGAGTTTCGGATTTACTAAAGCGCGGCAGATTTATATACATGGAGATACCTTGTACCCTGTTAACTACTCCCACCACATATGAGAAATTAAGATAGGGTGAGTTAGTTACATGCTAAAACGTGTGTATTTCACTAATCTGACAATTTGAGAGTGACGTAAAAAAGGGGGAGGGCTACAAAGTTGTAAAAAAACGTCATTCGGACATTCTAGAGCGTGTTAATTTTTTTTTATTCTGAAGGTAGTGCAAGGATTACGAAAAATATATAATCTGATGATTTCCACAAGCCAAAGTAACAAAAATTCATCTATAAAAATTAATACGTGCAGCTACGTGTTGCCTATATTCAGGAATTTTCCAAAAAGCATTTCTGGATTTGGGATCAAAGGAGCATATGGGTCATTCTAAAAATTTGAGACAATATAGGAGGTGAAAGTGTAATCGACCAAAGGTTTCGATATTATCACTTTTTCAATCAAGTTGCATGGGATATTGCTTTCTAATAATGTTTAGGTGTGTGGCCAAAAAAGTCAAAATTTTAGATTTTATTGATAAAAAATCAAAATTTGTGTCCACGGAGTGGAATGGGTTTTCCACGGAGTAGAAATTTCATGTAGTTTTAACATTTATTTATTGTTTAGAAAAATATAAATAACCGCGACATTAATTTTATGTTGACATGTTCTCTTAAAAAGAAAATAAATGATATATTCTTATTTTTTGCTTTAAAACAAAGAAACTACAAACACAAATTTTAAGAATAGATAGGTAATAACTAAGTTTAAAAATAACGAACGAATAAAACGAAACATAAAAAACGTACAAAATGTAGTTCTTTTTAATAATGTTGCTAATGCATAGTCATCGTCGCTATCGTCGCATATTGCACAAGTGAAAAAAGCGTTCTTGCTGCCCTTGCTGCACATGCCACAGATCCATTTTTGGCAATTTAAGCATTGAATCCATTCAAGATTTACAAAATACCTTTTTTGTTAATTTACTTTTTTAAAGGTAATTACATCGTTTTTACCCGGACACATTCTACTTACGTCGTCTCTTTCAAAAAAAATCTGTAAGGTGTCTTTTACCTTAAATTGAACTCAAGATATTTGTTTATTTTTAGGTCTATTCAATTTGTATGTGCCACAAATCTTATTCATTTCACTTGTCAAACGATACTGTTTGATAATCTTTCCAGACGTGCATTTTATAAGCTGCCTTTTAGCCTTGTAGCTTGTGTTTATAGAAATAAAATTGGCAGATAGTTGTTTTCTTAAAACTTCTCCAACAAAGATTTTTTTTCTGACTTCTGAAGAAACCTTTTAACAATTTTTCGGTGTTTGTTAAAGGTGAATTTTTCTTGATTTTTTTATTTTTACATCTCTGTAGTCTTGTTTTATACCGCTGCGTTAATTTTTTGTACTTCTCTACTTTTCTGTCCAATTCCTTTAATTTTCTTACAGTTACTGAGCGCTTCCTTAAAACCCTTTTTCTTCCAGCGCTTGATCTCCCTGAAACATTTGCTACATCCTGATTGTTTTCAATTTCGTTTAGATCTCTGGTAGGTGTTGCCGGAGGAGTGTTTTCTTTTAGCATCTGCGTAGCTCTGGTTACAAGTTTTTTGTTTGTATTATAACTCCGTTTGTATTCTTTCCACTTTTTTCTTAATATTTTTTTCTCCCTTCTGGATACTTCCCTAATAAGCTTAATTTTGCCCTGTTTTTTTCGCTCATAATATCTTTCTCTTTCCTGTTGCTTTGCTTTTTCATATTGCTCTGGATTGCTTCTTACTTTCTCTCTACGTCTGCGTTTACAGTCTCTTTTTTGCTGCCTTCGCTTCTCTAAGTCTACCTTTGGCTTAGCCATATTTTTGCTAAAACAAAAAACCTATTAAACCACATGATTAGCATAGTCTTATAATTAATTTAAATTAAAGCGTATTCTTCTAAGGTTGAAAAACAATTACTTTTTCTACTCCATGGACACCAATCTGCTCCATGGACATACAAAAGTCCATGGAGTGGATTTTTTTTGGAAAAAAATAGCTTTACACTCGCAAAACAAAAAACACAAAGTAATTTGTACATAAAATTAAAATGCTAATAAATGGTCACCTAACCGCAATATTTTTAGTTAAATTTTACTTGCTCAAATCATTTTAAAAGCCCCCATGGAGTGGAAAACAATAAAAATACGCACCTGCCAGCGCTCACTTCGACGTCACTACCACTAATCCGCACAAAATTGGGCGATCCTTGCATGTCGAGCGACAAAACTAGACTGAAGCACGAGTACCAACGGGCTTTCGCGCGCTTAAAGATGCAATACCAACCATAAGGAGCAAAATTCCCCTAGGTCCACGGAGTGGAACTCAAATGTGGTTACACACCTTTTTACATAATTCTTAATGATTATTTTTAGTAATTATTTGATTTTGGCTATAGCATTATTATTATTGACATTTAATCTTTTGATAAAAACGATTGTTGTGACCCGAAACTATGTAGAGTTTCTGAAGTAAAGCAATATCTTAGGCAAAACGTGTTGGTTACAGTCCATGGAGTGGAATTTTGGTACTTTTGGACAGTTTTTAAAAATATTTTTAAAGTCAAATTTAAAAGTTTAATAAGTGATCCTAACAAAAGGTATTTCATTTTATTGCCTAAGCATGTTAGATAACTAGAGCGTACTCTTGTTTTAGTAATTTTCGATGGTTACATCAAATTGTCCCAAATTTTGAGAATCAAACATAATGTACAGGATTCCTTTAACATCATACAGTCTTTTACTTGCCATTTGTATGGGCTGACAAAGTTATACGATGTCAATCAAGCCAGGATTGTTGTCTTCAATAAGACGTACAAGGTAAAAGACAAATCACAACCATTCTCCTTGAGTATCCGGAATTACGATGCGTGCAACTTGCCGCCCTGTCAATCGGAGTTACTTCAACAGGTGTCACGCACAAGATTCATTGCATGCTTGTGGAGTAATGCCCATAATGCAAAAATTATTGATCTTTTGCCAACGGACGATCGATGGAAAGAAGTCGACGAAAAGTTCGAAATGATCTGGTTTACAGGTGATCAATTGCCGTGTATGAAGATGTTGTCATAACACCTGATATTCTCGAGGATACTCCAGAATTAGGTATATTTTTTCTCCAATAATTAAAAAACACGTTATTCTTAAAAAAAATATTTTTAAATATTTTAATGATTCTTGTTACAGATACGCAATCTGAGGATGAAATCGAGCCATAGAGGGAAGATGGTTCTACCCATGAAGATGATAATTAAAAAAAAATATAATTTTTTATAATCGTTTTCTTATAAATACAAGTATTCTACTTAGAAATATATATACTTTTTTATTTGCATGCAATTTTTTGTGCTTTTCAGTTAATTTAGTTCAATGGTTTAAAAAATTAAAAAAATTTAATTGTCAGATTAAAGACGAACCATATATATCTTAATCTGACGCGCTTGAGTATTTCAAAATGACGAATTTTTTTTGCACATTCTAATAATGGCCGTGAGTTTGCGTCACATCCAAATCGTCAGATTATCGTATAAGAGCTTCTTTTAGGTTAACTGAACACCCTCTTAGAAAATCTGACGCGCTCGATAATTTTTTTTTTCATTTTCAACCCTTATGTATGACCACCCCCATCATGGAAACAATCATGTGTACATTTTTAAAAATATTTAGGGCATGGATGATATCAATATCTGACGCGGTCGAGTATGTCCAAGGCAACTGTTTTTTTCTTACATTTTCGAAAATCTATAGCCACTCCCCTCACCGACACCGATGAAAAGATATATATTATGTGACATTTTTTTCTCTTTATCATCTAAGCTTCGCAACCCAATAGGTCTCTATGGCGCTCGAGTAAATCCCGATTTAGCATCGTGGGCTCCCCTACTAGGTGTATGTGAACTGTGATCATGTGAGTATTTCAACTAATTCGCAACCGAGAATCATGTATACAAATATTGATAATTTCAGATATATGCTATATTTGCTACCTTGTTTTCTGCAGATCCCTCTTCACTTCTTCCAGACCCTTCTTCAGATGGCGTAGCAATTGTAGTTACGGGATGATGAGTTGTCTCTGACACTGTTGATATCTCTGGTGACGTTATAGGCTCCGACCGTTCTGTTGTTTCTGCAGCGTTTGTAGTTGCACCATTTGTTTCGCTTGTTCCCGTGGCATTACTGGTATTATGCTCAGTTGATTCTGTGTACTCAGTGGAGCCCGCTGATGTTTCTGGTAGTGCAGTGGTGATATCACTATAAGTAAATAGTGAATTACATTTCTCTTTTTTTTACTTCCTACGCCACTGGGCGAGGAAGTGTTGTAATCGCGAAGATCTATGTATGTTTTTTGGACGTTACATGACATGTACATAATGAAAAACCATGTTACTAATTTCGGTCGGTCTGTCTCTCTCTCTGTCTTCGGTCTCTCCCGTAATCTCCAGCCGCTCTTTTTGAAAATTGGTCTAGTGTTAGTGGAGAGGAAGGCCAGAAAACAAATCACTCAAACTTCGTTTATCGATATTTCAGAGGATCCTGGAGGTGTGGGGTTGTAGGGGGTTGTATACATATATCAATTTCTTGACGTTAGTATACTCATACGCTCCCGCCCCGGTAATTCTGGTACGCGTCTATTATACGCGTCTCTTCCTGCTATCTGGGATACTGTGCTGCGGCAGTGCTTCAGTGGGCACTGCCGCGTCGGACGATATGAGAACGGGCAACGTTGCCAGATGGATGGTAACTATCGATAGGGCAGAGAGAGACTAAGTGAAGTAGAGACTTGAGCCGTTCGTTTCTCTATTATATATGTTCGTAACAAATTTTTGTCTCATAGGGATTAACTTGTGCTGAACTTAATCATTTATGAACTGACAGCGTTGCATAGGAAGTGCAGTCAATCTACTTGACGCCATTTGTTGCAAAACAATTACGTGATCGGAAAAGATAAGCAGGTAGAAAGCATATTACAATGTATAAGAATATCACATTTTTTAAACTTTCTCAAGATTCATGAGGCACCTTTTGAGCACCAAATGATTGTATCATATTTTTTATTATTCTGCTACAATTGGGTAATGACAGACAGAAAATGAAAATTTACCTAGTAGTATCTGCATGTTTTGTTGAGTAATCAGTCGTTTCATCTGCTGTGGTCTCTGAAGCGTCAGTCGTAGTGATTACTTTGCAACCTGCCTTATCTGGCCAATCACAAACCTGAAGATCCGCGTTGAATTCTGTTCCGGGGGCACACTGCATCACTTGAGCTCCCCATGGTGCACATACGTAGAATCTGGTACAGTCAGTTGGATCTGGATATGGTAAGGTGCTTGTGCAGGATTGACCGTTAGCTGCAAGAATATTCAAAATGAATTTATCACGCAAAGCGTAACTGGAAATGGCGACAAGTATATGTTGACTCCGACTTATGAGGCCTATATTCTTCTGAAACGATAAATCGACTAACATTTCAAAATTCAGTATCAGCAGATGCATGTGAGTCAACCTACTCGAAACCATTTTATTACAACTGCGTATGGTTTGTCGCACGATTCACTATTGGCTAGAAGTATATTAAAAACTTTTGAACCGATTTTCAACACTTTTAAGCTGGATATTGAAAATCTGACCATATTCAAAGAAGCTAATGAATGGTTTTAATTAATTAGCTAGATAGATTGCGGCTTTTTTGGTTTTTTATAAACTTTCTTATATTGTTTTTACTATTCTTTGAGACCAAGGGCGGACTTAGAGGGATGCCCACGTTAGCGATTTTTCAAGAAAATAGTAGGTAGACGTAATAATTTCCAGCAATTTCTCTTGGCCACTTTTGTTCTAAAATTTTTTAACCGATAAAGGTTGTCGAGATACAGCCCTCGCCCTTTATTATTGGCCCACCCGGTACATGTCAAAAACATCCGAAAACATAATACAGTGGCGTAGGAAGTACAAAGTCAATAAAGAAATGTTACGTCATTAACGAAAATACATATACATCTTCTTGATGTCATTGGACTGCATGGAAAATTGTACTAGAAGTTGTTTCGAAGGCATGAAAAGTATAGAGCCCTGATGGCATTTTTTTATACAACTAACCTTCACTATTCTCATGAGGTTTCTCGTGCTCGTTGGTATCTTCCTGTGAAGTTTCCCCATGTTCCTTAGAATGTTCGTCAATATGATCTTTATCTTCTTTAGCATCACCTTCACTGTGATTGTCATTTATGTTGCTTTCTGAAGAGTGGTGTTCTTTACTATGTTCTTTGGTATCTCCTTGAGTCTCGCTGTCGTCATCATGCTCGTCATCGCTATTGTTATTCTTTTCCTATAATGATTGATGGAATGGGAAGTAGCCTTACAAAACTATAGCTGCTGCTAATACGCGGAAAGTTCCTATAAACAGGACTCCCTTGCATAGCTACAGGGTTTCGATATTAAGAAAAAGTATAACCTCGAGACATGATTAATACAGGTGATTTTTTGCCAAATACAAATTATTTATCAGTTACCCGTTCAATTTAAAACAAATGATCTCTCTTGAATTGTTTTCCTTCTATGCGCCATTTTTGAGTAAAAAAATTAAAACCGTTTTATTGACCGAGAAAATTAATGTAATATTGAAGAATGCATTTTAGCAATAAATATCTAGTTGCTCTGGAATATGTCACTGGCTTTTGACATCTGACAAGTCTCTGTTATTCAAATCTGTTCGCTGTGACATCTTTTTCATTATTTAGTTTTTACAATCATGTTAATAATGGTGAATTATTCAAATGCAGAAATGGCGGAAATGCATTACGTATATGGTCTTGCCGACGGTAATGGTGAGCAAGCCAGATGGATTTATCACCAGAGATATCCCTATTGTGCTTTGCCAGTTAGTCGAACCTTATCTAACATTCATCGTCGTCTTGTTGAGACTGGCTCTGTCAGAAAAGGAACATCTGAAGGTAGACCTCTAAGTGTGAGAACACCTGAAATTGAGGAAACAGTGCTTCACGAAGTCGAGGAACATCTTGAAACGAGTACGAGGAAGATCGCTAGACACTTAAATATTTGCCATCGAATTGTTTGGAGAATTTTAGTGGATTTTTTGTTATATTCTTACCATATTTTAAGAGTACAGGCATTACTTCAAATTGATATTCCAAGGATTGTGACCTTTTGTCAGTGGTATCTTCAAAAAATTACACAAAATCCGCAATTTGAATCAATGATTCTGTTCACGGACTAAGCACCAGAAATGTAAAGAGCGGGGAATTTTACGTTGATCTGTATCTTTGTCCATGTCTTTGACCATGATCTCCATGGCTATTCGAGGGTGTTCAGGAAGTAGGAAAAGGACAAAGTGTATCTCGGAAGAGAAATGATAATAGAGTGGCAGGGTATGAAAAAATTCATCTAGCTTTGAACGTGACCTTGACTATAATCTTCAAGCTCATTTGAGGGCCAAGACAGTTTTCTTAAATGAAAAACCCTATTTTTGACACCGGAAATAAAAAGAGCAAGAAACCATATTATGTTCAAGTATGATCATGACCTTGACTATGATCATCAAGGCCATTTCAAAATCAAATTAGTTTTTAACGGAAAACATCTATTTTTAATTGCGGACATGACCTTCAACATCATTTCAAGATCGGATAAATTTTCATGTAAACTACTTACTTTTTGTATATAAAAAATCGGAACGTTGAAATTAATTTATTTTTGTATTAAAATGCTGGATAAGGAATGCTAATTGCCAGAGTAATTACGTTTTTGGAACATTATGTTACTTTTGGATATTACATCTAAAACATGCTTACTGTAAAAAACACAATTCGTATGCTAGCCACTCTCACAAATTCCTTTTCGATGATATTCGTTCACAAAACATTCAATTTATTTGAAACACGATCTGTAGTTAACTCTATAATATCACTGGATACATTCCTTCTACGTCCCCTCCATGCTAAGAGTCTATACTATTCTAAAGACAGATTTGTAATAAAGTTGTAGTTTCCTAAAATATCTATTAGATAAGCTTACCAGAAATATTGCCACTGTTTTTGAATTGCCATGGATGTTAGTAAGTTCACTTACCTCGTTATTACCAGATCCCTCTCCACTTGCTTCAGAGCTCTCTTCACTTTCACCAGATCCTTCATCGTTTCCTGTAGATGAAGTTACAGAATGATGGGTTGTTTCTGGGATTGAATTTTCAGTTGTTTCTGCAGCTTCTGTCGTATCTCTATGACTTTTAGTCTCCTCTGTCACCTCGGTGGTAGTATACACAGGTGGTTCCGGATGTTTGGTGGAGCTCTCTGATGTTTCTGGCACTGCAGTCGTGACTTCACTATAAGTAAATAATTTCTATTTTTTAGATGAATACTCACATAACCACCTAGTGTAAATCAAATCGAATCATAAAAGAAGTGTCATAGGTCGACCAGCATACATCAGGGTACTATTTATATGTAAAATGCGGGGAAGGTTTTCTCCCAAAAAATACTCGCTTATCCAAAACAATAGTTGCCGTACTCTATTTTACGGTGTGTTGTGCTATGTATAGGTATGTGAACTTTTTTTATGTTAGTACATATATCTATACGCTCTGAACCCTGGTAATTCTACGCCCCTATGAGACATATTGCACACAGGTTTCCCTTACATTTGTCTTTAAAACTTAGAATGATAAAGCAATGTTTTCAAAACGGGTCTACTCATGCTATCTAAGCTCAGTGCCCGGCGTCACAGTCTGCATGATTGTTCTGCTCGTTCTGTCGCGTCTGAGGAAGAGGCAACGTTGCCAGATGTAACTACCGATAGGGCAGGTAAATAATGTCTATGGACTAATTGCATGAGCCTTTTCACTGACTTGATCCGTTTAATTTCACTATTGTACGTCTTCGTAAATAATTTTTTTCTCAGAGGGCTTAACTTGTGCTGAATTCAATCCTTTATGAACTGATGACAGCGTTCAGTAGAAAGTGCAGTGTCAACCTACAATTTCTTTATATAATTATTATGTCTCATATATCGAATAAAAAAGAGTGTACCAATTCTTAAGTACCGCAGAGTGTACTACCTAGCAGGATCTGCATGTTCAGTCGAGTGTTCCGTTGGATGTCCGCTCGTTCCATGTTCTGTACTCTGAGAAGACTCAGTAGTGCTGGTTACTTTGCAACCTGCCCTATATGGCCAATCACAGACGTGTAGTTCTGCGTTGAATTCTGTTCCTGGAGAGCAGTGCATTTCTTGAGGTCCCCATGGTGCACACACGTAGAATCTTGTACAGTCAGTTGGGTCTCGATATGGCAAGGTACTTGTGCAGGACTGATCGTCAGCTGGGAGAATACTTAAAATGAATTTATTATGCATAGCGTAACTGAAAATTGTGACAAGTAGGTTGACTCCGGTTTATGAGGGATATATTGTCCTGCATATAACGTTAAATCGATTTACATTTAAAAATTTGATAACAGCAACTGCATGTGAATCAACCTACGTGATACCGTTTTATCAAATGAATTCACGAAATGCTCGTGGTTCCGAATTAGGGGTGAAACATTGGTAAAAAACCAGTTACCGGGGGCCACTCATAAATCCTAGCCCTGAACTGACATCGAATTAAATCTACGCATTCGATTTACCTAGGAAACAAGCTCCCATTCAGATCATAGATGCGCAACAATTTTATTAGCTAGTATTTTGAAAACGGGCAGTTCCAGACAGAAAGGGCACCGGATTCGGTTTTCGCAACACAAAAAACATATTATAAGGATGGCTGGGCTCACGTATTTTAAGTCGCCAAAAACAGAATGTGACGTCATTTCACATGTATCTTATCCCGTAAAGGGTCATGGTGCCGAATTAGAGGTGAAAAAGTTAGGAAAAAAAAAGCAGTAATCTGGGGCCACTCGTAAATTCTAGCACTAAATTGATATCGAATTCGTAATCTACGCATCCGATTCAACTAGAAACCATTTCCGGATTGAATGGGCACCGAATTCGTTTTTGGAGAGAACAACAGAGACTAAAAAGCTTGGTGTCATTTTCCTGCAGGTTGGACTTTTCTGTCCAAGTAGCAATTCTGAAGCGACACGGATTCTAGGTTTTACAATGCGTAACTGCCGATCTTTTTCCAACGAAGCATCTCTGAGCACCCCTTTTATCTTGCTGATGCCACCAAAACTGGCTTAAATATACAAAGAAAATGTCTTAAATATTGTTCTTATGAAATTGATAACGTATATCCAGAAAAGGAGATCAATGAATTTATTTTGCTGCGACGTTTCAACCTAGAGTCTATACAACTCCTGAAGTTGAATTCTTGTAAATTAGAGAAGAACTAACTTTCTACTGCATTACCTGTCGTACCAACGTATTATTTTATTCACGGCTATATTCTATGTAATGATTATAATTCCATGGCAGACAGTCTGACATTAATTTCGATTGCATCTGTAACATTTTTTTATACTTTGTTTTATGTTTGTTTCATGTGGTTTTTGCATGCATACTATTAGTTAAGTTATATTGTCCTGTAATTGGATTAGTCTGTTGGGCAGTTATGTATAAATAAATAAATCCACGGCATCAGTCAAAGATTATGTCTAACGTTCACTACCACTTAGCAGCAGAACTTTAAGAATGTTAATTGTTTTGAGTATCATAAGACTTTAAGCACTCAATGCATGGGTTTATATTCTTTTCACTTACTCTGAGCAGCTACACTGGCAATCAATAAACAAAGTACACCAAATTTGCTAACCATTTTTGGACAGGTCATATATATTCGAAATATATCTACACTGTCTAGAAACGGTAATACTGACAACGATTACGTAGCGACGACTTTATTTATAAGAAGTTTTCCATATCACTATATTTACAGATGAGTTCGTTTGATCCCTAATACTACTTAATACCTTAAGTATTCATATTGACATGCGCGTGTTCTGTAACCGTGGAAATAAGGTTCATTACTACTACTTTTACCAAACAATAAATTAATCAGGAAAATGTCTTAAAATATTAGGATAAAGCGAAATGATATTACTCACCTGATCAATGACTACACTGTGAATGTGCCGACACTTCAAACGTGATGAGTAAGTCGTAAAGCGGGACACTAGAAACCTACTTAGTCATGAAAAAATAATTGAAACGACAAAAATAATATGTCAAATAGTGGCATGTGCTTGCAATATTTAAATTAGTTTTGGTTATTATTTTTCAGTTTATAAAGGGAATTGCGAAGAAAAAATGGGTACCCAACAGCTGAAAACAGTTCTTGAGAGAATGATTGCCATCTATGGGGATGATGCACCATCATATTATACAACAAACTTGTTGCCGAAACAGTTTGAATAAATTATGAAATAACTCAAAAAGTTGAAGCCATCGTTCTCGAAGATCGTCGTGTGAAGGTCTCTACCATTAATATGACATTGAATTTATCGGAACATAGCGTCATAAACATCTTGCACTACAATTTGAACATGGGTAAACTGATAGCCAAGTAGGTTCTCCGTCATTTGGAAACGCTTACCAACGATTTTGACCTTTCGATGGGCAGCAGCGGTAGCCGCAGTAGTAGACTCTTCGGTCTCCTGATCAGTCGCCGTGCGCTGTGCGGGTTCGAATCCTGTCCCAGGAGATATTTTTCTCTTGGCTATGGATGTTGTGATTGTCCGTAGGTGGTAGGCGGTCTCTGACTGTCGAACGCGGAGGTATCACCCGGCGGATCTCGTAGGCGGAGCCAGAATGTGTGCATGTTCTCCGCATGATTATTTTCTCGTATATATATATATATATATATATATATATATATATATATATATATATAAATTGAAGAGATGGTATTTCATTTGTCATGTAGATATTTTTACCGCAGAAAAGGTCTAACCAACAACCTCTCAAAAACTGTGCCATACTCATTGTACTTGAAAAAGGCCACCGTGATGGTCCAAACGTCATACAATGAACAAGAATGTGAACATATATGTGGGTTGATTCGGCCAGAAAATATATTCCTATGAACATCACAGCTTCATGTTTGTATCTTCCAGGATTTCCGAAATTATTATTGTTGGTTATAAAAGTTATCCGCGTTTACATTCGTTTATATTTGTCATGGTCAGGTGTAACGATCTAAATATTAGTTTTGTTCCAACAAACCATCGAACTAGTTTTGAACTGAACAGAGTGTGCGCGGATCAAAATTACCATTCCAACAGAAAATGCAACTGATTCTGTAACTGGCATTTTTCTGCTCCAACAAATTCCGAACCGATTCTGAACTGGATCTAACAGTTCTGATTCTAAGAGTTCGAATTTGATAGCGTAAGCGCGTTTGAAGAATAAATGAGGTCGATGAGCAGTTCTTAGCTGAAAATTTTGACTGATATTTTGTACCTTTCCGAACTTTTTAATCTTCTCATATCAGTACATCAAACCTAAACCTTAATAATTTTTCTTGAAAAGGAATCAGGGTTACGTGACCTATTTATTTGACAAAATCGTGCAGCTATCAGTCTTAGCACATACCGAATACTAACTGGGCTAAGACAGTTTCAAACGTGTGTCTTCAGCTTGTGTGTAAACTTTTTAAACAATTTGGTGTGTTCCAGAGTGAAGTTATTTACTTTATAAACGTTAAGTGCCAACTCTGATCGTGTGAAAATTTCAACCCTAAGAATACAAATAGATACACAAGGGTATGAAGAAATTTAGAACAAAATTTTTTGCAATGGAGACTCGTTGACAAATCCGCTTTGTTTTAAGATCTGTATAATAATGTGTTTTTCGAATCTTGTAGCACATCTGTTCCACAACTTACAAATACTAAATGTACCAGCTTACATTATGACTAGGTTCTTGGAGATAACTTCTTTCTTTTAATCGGATCTGTTGGTCTTATGTTGAAGGTCTCTTAAGTAACCATGCATATTACAATTATTACGTTCACTATGGTATCTTTTGTCCAGTAGTATCCTGAATGCGCCCAATGTATAGATGAAATTGAAACAAAAATGCACTCTTATAAATAAGTAACTTTATTGAGAACCTTAACTATCACATTTTGTCAAAGTTTGCTTGTTTCTTCTATTTAGATTTTCATTCATTATGGTTCCTTCTCTTGTTTCCTCTGTTTCTTCCATCTCTTCCAGTAGTCTATTCTTCTTCTTTGCTGTTACCCGCTCTCCTTGAATTACTATTATTTCGATCACTTCTTCTCCTACACCTTCTCCTGTTTCGACTATGTCTATTGTGGTTCCTACAGTCCTCATCTCTATCTTGTTCATATGATTCAGTGGAATCATTACCTTCGCTCGTTTTCTTCTTTTCTTTCTTGTTCTCCCTTTTGTCAGATTTTTTTTTGAACTCTTTTCTTTAGAGCTATTTTTGTCACTAGAGTCATCAGATTCTACGGAACTCGCTATTAGCTTTTGCTCCTCCTTTTTTTCCTTTTCTTCATGCTTCTTCTTCTTCTTCTCTTCTTTAAGATAGACTTTTTTCATCTTATGAATTTGTTTCCTCTCTTTAGAACTCATATTATCCCATTTGTCCATAATATCTTCCAAGCTCAGCTCAGAATTTGTAGCTAATTGTTTATCTTCGCCCAATGTGGAAATACCATCTCCCTCCTTTTTCTTCTTTTCTTTCTTATCATCTTTCTTATTAGATTTGTTTTTCGAGTTTTTTACTTCAGAACTACTTTTCTTTGTTTCAATAGAGTCAGATTCTTCGAAACTGGACGACAGTTCTTGTTTCTTTTTCTGTTTCAGCAACATTTTTAATTCATGTTTCTTCTTTCTGTATGCATCCTTACTATAAGCTTTTTTCATCTTATGTTGCATTTCTTTTCTTTCTTTGGAACTCATATCATCCCATTTGTCTAAAATATCTTCAAAGCTGTTTTGGAGTGAAATAACAGTGGCATAATTGGTAGATCCAGAATCAACACGAGAGAATTGGTTATCAGCTGCAGCACTGTTTTTATTGGAGCCTAGTATATATGTGTCAGAATTTGTAGCTAATTGTTTACCCTCGTCCAAAGTGGAATTACCATCTCCATCCTTTTTCTTCTTTTCTTTCTTGTCATCTTTCTTATTAGATTTGATTTTGGAGTTCTTTACTTCGGAGCTACTTCTCTTTGTTTCAATAGAGTCAGATTCTTCAGAACTGGACGTCAGTTCTTGTTTCTTTTCTGTTTCAACAACTTTTTTAATTCGTGCTTCTTCTTTTTGTATGCATCCTTACTATAAGCTTTTTTCATCTTATGTTGCGTTTCTATTCTTTCTTTGGAACTCATATCATCCCATTTGTCTAAAATATTTTCTAAGCTGTTTTTGAAACCAGCAGATAAATTTGATTCTGTTGAAGCTGAGGCATATTCTGAATTCAACTCTGAAGATTTATCAAGCATAGTTGCAATGTTCAATGAAGGTGAAATAACATTGGCGCCATTGGAAGAACCATTGATACCACGAACGGTCTTATCACGTTTGACAGCACTGTTTTTGTTGGAACTTTGCACATCTTTAGAAAACACTTGTTCCTCGTCTTTACAACTGGAATGTTTATCTTTATCCTTTGTCTTATTTTCTTTTTTGTTGTCCTTATTGGATTTTCTCTTCAAACTTTTTTCTTCAGAGCTGTTCCTTTCTCCTGTACTAAATTCGTCAGATTCTTTGGAACTGGGTATGGGTGTTTTTTCCGGCTTCTCTTTCAGCAACATGTTTAATTCATTCTTCTTCTTTTCATACTCCTCTTTACTATAAGCTTTTTTCATCTCATGTTGTGTGTCTTTAGAATCCAAAGCATCCCATTTGCCTAGAATATCTTCCCAGCTACCTTTGATATCAGGAGGTATTCTAGATCCTGATGCAGTCAGGACACTATTTGAGACCGATGTCTCAATTTGTTCACCCGTTTTTGTTATTTTTGACAAAGAAGTGGCCCTATCACCATTATGAGAGAAGTCGTCATTATGGTCATTCTGGTTGTGTTCGAACTCGTATTTATTTTTCTCAGTAAGTCTTGTATTGAAACTTGTTATGTAAGCCTTTGTGGACCATATATCGTGATTATGGTTACTTTGAGTGATAACATTACTTGAAGCTGACGATGTCTCCATCACATAGCTCGTAGATTCTTCCCTAGTGTTCTGACTGTTAACAATGCTAGGAGTTGTAGACTTTCCTTGTACAACATTTTTCGAGGACGGAATTATCTTATCATTACTAAAATTTTCCCTATTAGAGAGCCAGCATTGTCAGAGAGATGTTCTTGTCTATCTTTCAAATCATTGTTCTGGGAAGCACTGCTGCTCGAAGTTTGTTGTACAGTATTCTCAGTGTTTTTGTTATCTTGAGTGCTACCACTGCCCAAAATGTTTCTCTCTTTAGTACTAATCCGCGTTTCCAGCTTAGTTTTTCCATCAGATTCATCAGTATTAATGTTAACGTCACTAACAGCTAGTACAATGTTTTGAGTTGTTCCTTTTTCTGACCCAATATTAGGATTTTTATCATTCAAATTAGACTCAATTCTTTGCATCGGTCTATATGCTGAATTGTCTATTCTGACAATATTGTCTCCTACAATACCTGATTTTTTGTGAGTTATCTGTTAACGATGTTCTAGAATCATTAAGGTTGTCAGTTTTTCCAGTAGCAGAGTGTCCGATAGTAGACATAGATATTTCCTCATCGGAGTCAGGTGGTTTTACATCTTTTATGGCTGTTATGATAGATCCTTGTCCTGTAATAGCCGCATCTTTTCTGTCAGTAGTCACCCTCACTGATTCTTCATAACTCTTTGAAACAGTGTGAGTCGAATTCATTAGACTGGTATTCTTCATACCACTCTTGTTGATAGGTTTTTCTATAGGTGAAATGTACTTATCATCCTGGCTATTAGTGATATCCGCCGTCATCGTAGGTTTTTTCCATATGAAATGATTCCTCATCTGCTAAATGAGCTTTGAATTTATCTAATTCATTACCAACAACAGCCGAAGGTTCTTCACTAATGACATTATTTACTGGGTCTTCAGTTTCAAATATTCGTACATTTTCAGAATTCTCCAGTTCTTCGTGGATGATGGTAGCGGGTATGCCTTTTTAACTGGAGTAATATTAGTAATATGTGCATTTGTTTCAACCGTTTGATTCTTTTTCACCTTTTCAGCAATCTGTACGATGTTATCAGCTAGTGTGTTAACTTTTGCATTCTCCATATTTTCCCTAAAAATTTCCCCACTAATTTTATCTAATTTGCCTTTCTGGACATTCTCAAAATATTTACCTGTCACATTCGCAGTTTCATCCTTATTTTTTTCAACAAAACCGTTTACCACAACAATGTCTTTTTCCTCATATTGATCAGTAGATGCAACAGTGTCTGGTAAAATATTTTCCGCTTTCTGAGGTTGTACCTTTTCTACATTTAAAGATTTAGCGTATTCGACAACATCCATTACAAGTGGGCTTTCTTCAGAAATCTCAACGTTACTGTCTGTATAGATTTTATTTCTTATAGTTGTTTCCTCAGAAGCGGTATTTCCTGATCTTATAGAAACTATATCTCTTATATCTTGTATATTAAATTTTCTACTTTCTGTAGAATCGATGCTCACAGAATCTTGTATTGCCGCTTGATGTTTCGTGCCATTCAGTACATCTTCGTTAACGATTCTTGCGTTACCAGTAGAATCCAATATCTCGTCGACAATTTTATCTGTTTTAACTTCTTCCACATTAAGTATTCCACCAACATTTGAATCTCCTGACTTTCTTCTTGAACCTACTGCGCTGATATCATTCAAATTGTCTTCAAAAACTGATTCTATTGTTTCTGATTCTGCGTTATTCTTAGTGTTAATGGTAGTAAGTAGCTTTGAGTTTTTTCCATCAGCTATTGTGAGAACGTCTTCTGGCTTAGATAATATAGTTTCTATGCTCTCTATGTCTTCTACATTTTTTGGCTTAGGTAATATAGTTCCAATGTTTCTCTTTGTCTTCTAAGGATACCGCTTCTTTCTCAAAGCTAGTTCTAATAGTATCTGTCGGGTTTTCATTAAGTTGTTGCTTTATATTTTTTGTTTCTGATTGCTTCTCAATTACATCAGTTATGTCTATTTCTGGATATTTATCATCATAAAATACACGTTTATTTGTTTCTGCTACTCCTACCTTAACAGTTTTTTTTAACTTAGTAGATTTTTCTACATCGGCTACTTTGAGCTCATTATCAGACTTGTCTGTTCCTATGTTAATATCACCATTATCACTCTCAGGGATTGTGTCACTAGGATTTGTAGAGTTCCTATGAACTAGTGACCACCTTTTATCTATTGCATTATCTGATTGTTCCTTGCTTATGTTTGACATGGTAGCTGATACGTCTCTCTGGGGATTTTCTAATTCAGCAATTTCATCAACAATTGTGTATGTCTCTACAGATTTCTGTACCTTTAAGGTTACCTTAGCTTCATTGTTATCTTGCATATCATTTTTAATAATTTGCTTTGAAATACTTGCTCTTTCTCTGTCAACTACTGTTGGAATTTCTTGAGAACTAAATTTATTTTCCGTAGTTACGGGTACATCACTTTTGGAGCCTTTACCTAATATAGTACTTATTTCATCAGCCTTATCATTCAAGATAGTTCCAGTTAGACTAGATATTTCATCATAAAGACTCTCTCCATGTTCAGTTATACTATTCGGAGCGATAGGCAATTCTGTTACAACTACAGTTTGCTCTAGCTTTGTTTTTTCAGCTATCTCTTCTATATTACCATGCACTATTTTCTTTTCTTTGCCTAAAGCTACCGATTTTTGAGAGCTTGACCCTTCGACTGCATCATCATCATAGTGATTACCTTCGGAAACACTTGTTATCTTTCCCACTATATCTAAAGTGTCCACATTACCATCTCCAGATCTCTTTTCCTCTAGGGTGTTAACTTTCTTCACTTCCCCTGTTTTGATGGTACTTTCTACTATATCTGGATTTTTAGACATTGCGGCATGATTGACATTAATTAATTTCTGTCGATCGGCTTCGTTGTCACTGCTTTCGTAAACTTCATTTACTTTTGAATCGCTCTCTGATTCTTCCTGAGATGTTAATATTTTGTTTTCTTCAACGATTTCTTGTTTATCAATGATAACTTCATCTTCATGTATATTACTTACACTGTCTAAATTTTGTCTATCAACTGTTTTGTCTGCAACTGGAGCAGATAATTCTCTTACAATACCTTCTGTTACTGTCGAATCGTCTGAATCGCCTTGATCGATAATTACTTTTCCAGATTCGTTAAATGCAACAAATTTTTCTTTAATTACAACGCCGCCTTTATCTGCTTTATCCACAGTACCCTGTTCTTCATTATCTCCATCTTTGTCTGTATTTTCTGTCATAGACGATCCACTTTCATCAATCATTGTATTCACGCTTGAAGAAGAGAAGTGCTCCAAACTTTCCTCAACAAGCTCTAAATCAATCTCCTTCGTCATAGTTTCCTCTTCTTTTTTAAAAGCTTTCCTTTCAGTGTTTTTAGCAGTGTTTTCCTCAACCACAAGTTTTTCTGTTCTCTCCTCATTTGCTTTTACTCTATTTGAATCCGTTTCATTAATGGCTATATCTTCCATCACGTCTTTGTTTTTCGAAGCAGATGTTTGTGAAGGAGCCTCTTCAGTAACTAGTGAGGTGTACTTTTTCGTGGTTACGACCTCTTCTTGTTCAGAGCCCTCCTCGTTTGGTGCCTTTTCTATAACTGTAGAGGTATTCTCAGTTGCAATCGTACCTTGTATAACAGCATCTCCAGAAGCATCTAGGTTCCCTAATGCAGCTTCTATTTCTTCTTCGATCGAGATTGCCTTCGCCTGCTGAACGACTTCATTTGATGCTGATGAGTCAAATATATTTGTCATATCTTGAGGAAGATGTGAATGTGTCATTTTATGGGTAATGGTATTGTCAGGGGATACGGTATTGTAAGTAGTGTCCACATATTTTTCTGTTCCTGCCGATGTGCTTAATTCTCTTCCATCATCTAAGGAAATGTCTTTGTTTTGTACTGGGCTAACGATGGCGATTGATTTGGTTGTGGATGCTAGGCGTTTGATAAAGGTTTTGTTGTCTTTTACAATGATTTCTGAATCATCAGTGGGAATTTTAGTCACTATTCCAGTTTTGGAATCACCTTTAAAAGCTGCGACATTTTCATAGGTGGCATCAGTATGTTTGTTAGCTTTGCTTAACATTTTATCGCCAGATATAACATCAATATTAGTGTCGATGTATTCCATCTTCACACTTTTTGTTACTGTGAGGACTTTGTCTTCGTGTGACCTATCCATATCTGCTGTCATTATTTCATTTGCATCAATTAGAGCATTTTCAGTATGAGACGGAAAGTCTGTTGTGTCTCCTGGTTTATCATGTAACCTTACTTCTAGAGACATGGAAGTTGTTTCAACGTTATTGAAACGCTCGATAACTTCGTCAATCATAGAGTTGGTAGCTTCATCAGCAATGGTTTCATCATTAGATCCTAGAGCATATTCCTTTTTGGCCAAAGGAGTGTTTGTAGTATCAGTATGCATTGTAAAATTATTTACAGTTGTACTTATAACGTCATTTGTTACTGGATTCTCTGTTACTGTAGTAGTAATAGAGTCAGTATGAAGGAAAACTGTAGTAACTACGTTCTGTGCTGGTGTAGTTGCATCCTCACTATGAGTGGTAACCGTAACATCTTCCACACTTGTACTTCTGATATCAGTTGACACAAATTCGGCATTATTTTTTCTAGTCGAAAAAGTTGTATGAAAAGTAGTCGCAACATCGTAAGTAGATAGCGGTATAGGTTCAATGGTAACACGACCTTCCTCAGCGCCTACAGTTTTTCCAATTATGGTTTCACTTTCTTCCGACATAAAAAACGTCTTCTATATTTTCAACATCAGAAGTTAGTGTATCAGCCAAAGGCTCTTCTTCGAACGAAGTTGTTGTAGCAGTAATATAAGTGTCAACCTTAACGTCTTCAGCATCTGTGATTGTACTGTCGCTTGATACTGATTCCTTTGTTCTTACAGTAGTTGAAAGGTCAAAATGGGGAGGAGTTATAATATACTCAGTCGTTAAAGATGCATGTTTAGTTATAACTTCGTGTTCTGTAGTTCCGGTACCTTGAGATAATGTAGTATAAGAATATCCACTATTTTTGTCAGTTGTTGCATATGGTGTAGAAGACTTGTTCGATTCAATCGCAATGGTACTAGTTTCTCTAGTGGTGATTCCAGTATTAGTTATTCCATCATTTGAGGTCTCTTCTTTGTCTGAATTGTTTGTGTCCTCACTTTGATTGACAAGCGTAACAGACACACCATTTGACGCTGGCGCTTCTTTGGTAGCAGTAGTTATTAAGCTAATATGAGGAACAGTCGTAGGGTCAGTAGCTAATGTTGCCTGTTCAGTAGTAACATGATCTGTAAAGTTGCTAGTTTCCGCATAAGTTGCGGTATTGACATTTTCACCATCAGCTCCATCATATAGATTGGTTGTTGCAGTTGCTCCTATGTTTTGGATCGGATCATTAGTCGTAGTTTCCTCTCTTTTAGTCGAAGTTGTTGTAACTATAAAATTGCCTATATTTGTGCTTGCAATGTAATTTAATACTGTTTCCTCTTTTACTGCGGTAGTTTTAAAGTCAGTATGAGGAACAATCGTAATATTCTCAGTCGATAATGTTGATTTTCCAGTACTAACTGCTTGTTCTGTAGTGCTATCAGCAGGTGTTGCAGTCATGTCACCTTCATTTGTTGCTACGTTTTTTGTTCTGGGAGTTGCAGTTTCTTCGGTCGCAGTGTTATCAGTTTCTTCAGTGCTGGGCGGTAGGCCATGTGTTGATGTTTCCTCTTCTTTGACTGGAGTAGTTGTAGTCTCACTATGAATGGCAACCGTAACACCTTCATTTGTTTGTGATATATAACTTGTTACTGGTTTTTCTTTGCCTTCACTACTTTTAAAACTAGTATGGGGTATATTCGCAGCATACTCAGTCGCTAGAGTAACTTGTTCCGTACCTACGAATTTTGAAGTACTACCACTATCAGCAAGTGATGCGGTACTGAAGTATGCAATATCTTGACCAACGGCTTTATTTTCCCCAGTGGTAATTGCTGATTGTTTGACCGTAGTAACACTAGCTTTCCCAGTCACATTTCCTACATTGGAAGCTATGCCATCGGTTGATGTGTTTTCTTCTATGGTTGAGGTGATAGTCTCAATTGGAGTAACAACCGAAGTACCTACATGTGTAACATAATTTGATTCGTCTTTTATTGCAGCGGTTTTTAAGCCAATTGGAGGAATAGCTGTAGCGTACTCAGTAGATACGAGTAATGTTGTCTCTCTTGTACTGACATGTTCTAAACTGGTGCCATTGTCAACAGATGGCGTGGTTCTTGAGTGTTCACTATCTCTGTCAACAATTTCATCTTTTCCAGTAGTTGCTGGTGTTGCTTTTGTTTTATAAATCGATATTTTGTCTTTATTTATTGAAGTAGTATGAGTGGCATCTGTAACATGTTCTATATTTGCACCTTTGACATCGCTATATACTGATTCATCTTTTCCTGCAACTGAGACAGTATGTGGATCGGTCGACACATGCGCAGTACGTGATGTTACTTCTTCAGTGGTAGCAACATACTGCGTATCACTTTTAGTACTAGCCCTGTTACCGCTAATTCTAGGTTCCAAACTTGTCCTTTTAGTTGGAATATCTTTCAGACAAACCACATTAACTGGCCAGTCGCAAACAAGTAGATTAGGGTTGAATCTTAGCTGCCCTGGACACTGGAAGACTGTTTTCTTTCCTGCGGAACACATGTAAAATCTTGAGCAATCGGTTCGGTCGGGAAAAATCCCATCCATGGAGCATTTGTTTCCTTGGGAGCCTGCAACTGAAAAAAAAATCGTGAATTGGCGAAGTGGATTGACAGCATGACGCAAGATTACACTGTAATTATTGGTTTAAGAAATGTATAGAAGTATACATATACAGTATCATATATTTACTGGAATATAAGAGGTTCACATTTGACAGAATGACGGAGAAAGGGTGTCACACTCTTTTATTCGAAAACTTTAAATATATTTATATATATTTTCAAACGGATTTTTTTAAACCTTTATTAGCAGCTAAATTAGAACTTGTTTAAAAAAATGTATTTATTTTATTAGACATTACAAGACACTAATTCTTTGTCCTACATATAACTCTGAAAGAATCTACCGATTTTGATGACACAGGTGACTACTATGGTAAAATTGATCCAGAGGTGACGAGAAACCTAAAAATTGTTGAATCATGAAAATTTGGAACAGAGGTGTATTAAGAAGGTACAGAATCAACCTACTTGACGCAAATCGTTAGCGCCAATTTTTTATTCTCATCACAGAATTATTAATACATAGGACAATCACACAAGTAGTTTTTTCCTATCATCATACAGGGTGATTAAAAAAATAATGGCATTATTTTGGAGATGTCCATACAAAAACCGATTACCAAGCTGGCGGATGTTATGCCTCTAATGAGGATGGTCAAGGTCAAATATGAGTTTCCTCAGATAACTTTGTAGTTAGGTAGGATTACTCCCATACAGTTAGGTAAGGTTACTCCCATAATCAAGTACATATAATTTTAAATATCAAACTTGACAAATTCCAGCGTATTTTCAAGGTAGAAGAGACTTTAGTTCTTTATACGGGCTTCATCTCATTGGCAAAGCTGAGCCATGAAAATTTTGTATGCATTGATCAGGCTGTTAGCATTCAGTGTATGAAATTTCAAGTCGATATCTCTATCCACTCAAACGATGTACTAGTTTTTCCTTAATTAGAAGTGCCACAGCGCTCTTCTGGTATCGATGGATGGCCGAGTAGTACCAAAGAGTCCAGATTATCGAGAACTTGATCAGGAACGATCACATCTTGTCAATAGCGGCATCTGCTGGGAAAGGATGGTGTATTTGTTTAGGGCTAAAAAGCACTTTTATCCACATGACCTCACTCTGTACAAGTCCCAGACAAAACCTAGCCTCAAGTACTGCTTACATGCTAGGGATGCTGCCGTCCCGACTACATTATCCATGGACGATGCTGTTCAGAGACGGGCCGACTGATCAATGACTCTTCTCTAACTGACAGACTCGGCACCCTATCGCACCGACATGCCGTCGGGCTACTCTTCCACCGCTTTCCTCCAAGATGCCGCCGCGCGATGTTCCTACCCGACAGACCCACCTGACTTCGAGCTTCCATACTAACTGTGTCCAGCTTCGTACATCCAGAACTGGCCGATGCGACCGCTCTTTTGGCCTTAGGATATCGATATTGTAGAATATTCCAGCCGAGCATGCTTTTCCCCGTTCTACTAAACTTAGGCAGTTCAAAAATCGGATTAACAAAATGTCTTTAACTCCTCATAGCAACCACAGTGCCCTGGTATTTAGGCTTCTACCTGCGCAGCTGCTTCGGTATAAAAAAATATAACTAAATATAAGTTTAACATTCTGTATCTCGCTAGGGGGGGACGGCATTTCATACTTAAATTTGATATAGATAGTAAGATAAGAATCATGATAATTCTAATTCTGAGGTTAAGCTTATCTGTACAACTTATGAAGTCACAAAATAGAAACAATAGTTATATAAAAATCTTATAAGGTATATTATGCATTTGTTTTATTCCAGATAATAGCAAAATCATTCAAAAGATGAATCATGCTTTATGGGGGATCTGATATGCATTTGATCATACATTGTTGATGTGTGTGTGTGTGTGTGTGTCACACAATAATCCTTTCGCAAATAAGCTTTGACGATATTTCTAAATGACTCTTCTAAACGGATAATATTTTTCTAGCCCGGCAATACTTTTTGATATTTCCGACCTACTTGACGCCACTTTTTTCTGTTTTTTCAATTATATTAGCTTGATAATAATGTACAAACAATCTAATGAATGGAACTGATTAATTAGCAAAATAGATTGATTGTGCTTATTTTGGATTTTTATTTATTCAAATATTTTATTTTTAGCAGTGTATGTAACTCAAAGCTCAAAGGGTTATCCTTAGTTTCATCGACATTTGATAAAATGATGCTTAAAATTGAACCAAAGATGTTTGGGAGCTCAAAGTGCCAGAGTCGGATTCATTTTTTTTTTATTTCGTCATATTCTATAAGGTTCAATACCCTGTGAGTTATACTCTGAATTTGTTATTATTTAGCAGAAAAAGGAGCAACACGTAATGTTAATAAAAGCGGCAATTAATGTTATGCCCCCTATTTAGTTTATGCACTATTTTTTTAATGATTTAATACTACCAACTACATGAGTCCTGCTTTAAAGGTAAACAGCATTTAGTATGCAAATGCACTGAATTTGACCATCCAGGTCAACTCAAAATTATGATGATAATGTAGAAAAATTTAATATACAGGTCCGGACTCTCCACAATGACCTCACCCCTACATTAGATTTAGTTACATAATGCACCGTGGTACATTACACATTACTTATTTAATTTCAAGTTGGTCTTAGTGGATTTGCATACCGAAATAAGTAAATAAGGTGCATGCCATCAATTTTTCCTTATATTTATATCATGTATTACTTTTTTCTGTTAAATAATAATAAATTCAGACTATAACTTACAGTGCGCTGCTCTTAAAATACCACAGGTTATGTTTACCCCTTCGAGGATTGCATAAAGAAATAAGGTCGATTTTTAGCTATGCGTAGCTGAAATAAAATATTTTCTGGCAGGAATAATCCATATTTTTTTTTCGAAGATCGCTACACTTTGGAGTGGATATTTACTCCTTGTATGAATGGTGTAAGTGACCTTAGGGCAATTTTATATGTATAGAGAGCAAGTATCTTTTGCTTTGAGCTTATTTTTACCTCTTCTAAAGTGGCGTACAGAGATACGAACATGGCGTAAGTCTATAGGGTACCATCGATTCAAGGTTATCTATAACTAGAATAGTATCTGATAGGAATAATTCATAATGAAACATGAAACATCAAAAAACGAAGTTTGAGCGATTTTTATTCTTTTTCATTTTTGGCCTATTTTCTCTGCCTCCACTGGACCAATCTGCATCAACTACTAACCTTTCGCCTCTTTGGTATTGTAGTAACATTTTGTAAAAATTCATCGAAATCCGAGCGGTACTTCTTAAGTTATAGGCGGTTATAAGATCAGCGGACAGACCGACTGACAAACAAAGCAACGGGAATGAGTGACATGGTTTTTCATGATGTAAATGTGATACAACATTCAAAAACGTAATATCTTATTTTTGAAAATTTTCGTGATTACAATTCTTCGCCAGTAGTGAGCGTGGGAAGTAAAAATAATAATGATTTTGACAAAATTCGGTTTCTTTCGTTCATCTCCGGAAATACCAGGAATTGCAAAATTTTACAATTGCGCATTTAAGCGACTTCGACTTGGTATCTGTTATTGTTACCGAGATCGCAATGGTGAGAGTCGAATTTGAAACACTCGGTATACGGTGTCACATCAAGTTCTCATTAGAGAAGGTACGACTGCGCTACGGTATATCCAGGAAATACTGGCACCGCATTCCTTGTTATTTCTCCAAACGCCTGGAAACCCTATTTTTCAAAAAAATAATACCCGCCCTTATATTGCTAATGCTGTAATGAGTTACCTCAATAACGCTTAAGTCAGCCTCCTTTGGCCTGCTATATCTACAGAGCTTTCGCCCATTGAAGATCTGTGAGACATGATCGGAGGAAGAGTGATCTCTTTATCTCATCCTCCACAAGCACTAGTAGCTGGTCTAAACCAAGTACAGATTGCTTGGGATGAGGTAGCTCCGATTGAAACATTAACCAACTTTTGACCAAAATATTTTGATACTCGAGACACAATCACAAAAAACTCTTTTTCAAGTTTATGGAATCAATATATATATACCACTTGCAACATTTCTCGTGTTATTTTAGCAGACTGCTTTCCGAACTTTCAATAACAACTTACCATCGATTTCTGCTCTGAGCACTGTTATCCCAAGAACAACCAAAAATAAGTGTAAAACATTATCGAAATGCATCATTATACAACCGTTATGTCAACTGCTAACCACATAAGCATTTGTAGAAATTAAAGACCACACTGACACGGATTTATTCTTATATGACAAGTTAATGTTGTTATTCGTTTTCAACAATGATAATGTACAAAAACGTAGTCTGGTTTGCATAAGATTTAGTTATAATCACTTTGAATTAAACGGACTGGAAGATCCCCTTTCCAATATATCACAAATGTTTCGGAACGATTAGTAGAATAACGGAGGCTAAAGAAAAATATCAGAACTTAAAAAAATATGTAGTTGTGTGGTCAAAGCAACACTATATTTTGTTAAACGCCTTCTGATTGCAAAGGTGTTCATTTTTTCTCCAAAATCGACAACGAAAACTAAAAGGTTGACACTACTTTTTCTGAAATGACTTTGAACTCTTTTTCCTCCTTAAGCCAATCCAGTTGCGAATAGAATGATGTTAACAAAAAAGGTCACAAAACATTAATATTGTCAAACTGTCATGCATACAGGGTGTTCGGGAGGTCGATACCAAGCTCTTAGGTTAATCCATTGAGTAACAAATCTCTTAGTATGAAGTGGAACCCGTCTGTGAGTTACGTCCAATTCTGTGAAATGCTAGAAAAAAGCCAAAATCATGCGATAAACTAACGCTTGTTCAATAACAAAAAGCAATTCCTTTGTTACTTTGGTTTTATCATTTATCTTGATGCTTAGTTTCCCTATATAAGTAGTTACAATGTTATCGTTACTTCCTCAGTATCCACTTCAGTACTACATGCGGTTTCGGACTATCAAAACGAGGACTGTTTTGTTCTAACATTGCCTTTTTTAATTATTCAGTGTCAGGTGGAAACGCGGCGCGGATATTATCCCACTTCTGAAGTAAAATGAGGGGAGTTTTTGTTGCATTCACCCCAAAAATACTCGCTTATATCCAATCAATAATTTTATTCAATGTAATATGCCTTGCTAGCCCCAGCAGGCTATCTCAAGTGGGTATTCCACCGTCTTCCTGCCGTTCGACTTTGTCACCTCAGGATGATAACCGATGTCAATAACCAACCTTCAGTTGAGAGGAATGTAGCGTTGCAGCGGTATTATGTGTGTTCCTCCCACGTCTGAAGTTTCATGTCTCATTGCATATGAAAATGGACACCTTATAGTGAATAAACGTTTCTTTTTCACGAGCCTTTTTATTAGACATTCATAGCTATTTGTTTTATTTAGTCATAGAAGTAACTTCTCCATTATCATTTTTATTACCTGTCTACATCTACTCGCCTCTATCCTCAGATAAACATTGTCGCGTTCTTTGCTAAGTATTAGTGGTTAGCTTAAGTGTTATACATTTATTGTTATTCTTTTTATTGTTTTAAATCTGTTTCTCATTATAAAGCTCCCGGCTCTTCACAATTAACAGAAGTATTTGTAGGTGGTACAGCAAAAAAAGTATTTGGATATCTTTTAAGCTTACGTTAAGCTTAGGATGTATGTTTATTCTACTATTCTAAATGGTCAATATTTCCACTGCAAACTTCCATCCTATGTCCTCTAAGCGACTTTGTCTCTGGCCGCAAGATATCCGTCGTAATTGACGGGTCTCCTCTTCATTCTACGACATCAACGCGGGTATTTCCCAGTGAGCGGTCTTGGCTCCGACACTGTTCCTCTTACATTGCTGATACCCAGTCCACAGCTTTGATGATGACAGCACTCTACATGAAGAAATTCGGAGTGACAAGCCGATCTCTACCGGTGAGCTGGAAAAAAGCGACTTCTAAATGAGTTACGACAATTGAAATTAATTTCGATAGCGCCTTGTGACAATATACTTGATTCGCTATGATAGTCTTGACAATACCATGATAATTTGAATATAAAAAATCCATATGAGCAAATATCAAAATTAGCGGTCGAAACTCATTTAGAATCAGACCCCTGAAGGTTATCACTGCTTGGGTCGCAACACAATCTTGTACAGTTTAATGCTTCCCAGACACAGTACTGTACCTTAACCAACAAAAAGCGTCCTAGCGCTCATCCGGTTTCGACGGATGACCGAGTTCTGCCAAAGAGCCGTTCATTTCGGCTCGTCGGTCTCCAGATTACCGAAGACTGGATCTGCCACGAACACATCTCATTAATAGCAGCAGCTGCCAGGCTATTTGTTTAGTGGGCTAAGAAGTACTTACGACCGCTCGTTCGTCCCGAGGGTGTCGATATTGTGGAACAATCTACAAGAAGAAGCTTTTCCCAGTTCTACTAACCTTAGGCAGTTCAACAATCGGATTAACAAAATTTTCTTTGGGATCCACATAGCAACCGCGGTGTCATGGCATTTAGGCTTCTGCCTGCACGGTATAAAATTAAACTACTTGATCTAGCCGAAATAGCCAGCAGGGCAAAATTTTTAACAGACTAAATAAAAATTTTCCATGAATTTTCTTCATTACTTTCCACGCCTACTGGCGGTGAAGTATTGTAATCGCGAAAATTTTCGAAAATGAGAGATGATGATATATGATATTAGGGGTTAAAAATTGGGGATTAGGGGTTGCTGTGGGAGGGGAAGGGTATATCTCAATTTTTTGACGTTGGTATATTTATACGCCTCCTACCATAGTAATTCTACGCATATGTTAGGCATATATTATCTCTTAAAACTCCTAAAGCCAAGTGTCATACCTGCGACGTTGAACCCCAATGGACAAACGTCATCGTCGATGTTTGTACGTCACAAACGGCAATTACCTTCACACTACTGTGGACTGCACGCAAATACGTAATGTGCATGATGGAGGCGGTATTGGTCCTCGCAACGATCAAGTGCACCTGTAGCAATTCATGTCAGGGGGGAGGAGGCAGGTCATTTAACTGTATCTAATAGATGTTCGTGGCTTCTTTTTTCTTAGAATGGCTAACTTGTACTAAACATAATCCTTTACGAACTGATGACATCATAGCATGGGAAGTACACAGTCAACTTACTTGACGCCGTTTTTTTATGAGCTTTTATTTAACTTGACCTTTTCGTACGTGTAAAACAAATCTTATAACTGAATTTTGAACCAGTTGACCTTAACCAATTGAGCTGAAATTTTGAACAGATGTTTGGTACACGTGACAAAATGATTTAGCTACCGCCATTTTGATTCCAATATGACGGATGTGTCAAAATGACGGTTCATCATTTTCATATGGGTGTCAAAGGCAAGGGCTTGATGAGGGAAACATAATAAGCGAAGTGACGTCATTCGAAATTATTCTAAATCCAATATGGCGGCAGCTGCTGAATGCTGATTTATAATTTCCATAGTCCGTTGGAAATTACTGACATGTTTTTTGTGATGTACATGGCCTGGATGACGATTGACGGTCCACATGCAGTCGACCAGCGGAGGCCGACTGCTACACACACGCATGTAGGACTGACAGGCGAGGGTCGTAAATATTTCTCCATCATTCTAAGTTTTAAGGATAAATATATCGAGAAATTCTTGATGTTTGAAACGTGTCTACAAGGCGCGTAGAATTACCGCGGTTGAAGGCATACTGACGTTAATAACTTGAGATATGCCTTGCCACAACTCTACAACCCCCACCCTTCAATTTTTTACACCTATGTTTTCTCGAAATATGATCAGGATCCACTGAAACGTCAAAAAAGTTTGACCATGTTTATTTTTCATTTTTAGGTTTTTTCTCCGCCGCCACTGGACCGATTTGCAGAATTTACAAATTTCTTTCTTAATTGGCATAGTAGTAACCTCATGTGAAATTTGAGCAGTACTTTCCAAGTTATAGACGGGACCGAGATTAGTGAACTGATAGACATTCAAAAAACAATATCTCATTTTAGAAATTTTTCGCGACTACAATACTTCCTCGCCAGTAGGTGTATGAGGTAAAAAGGCTCTAACAATTTTGGTATTTATTTTATATCAACCTTCCCCACCAAGGTCTGCTATTTTGACGAATAAAGCTAACAATGAGATAACGGTTTTTCGATTCTCATAATTTCTCTTCATATCTGACAAATATTTTAACAAGGCGTCATATATAGAAAACAAAGTTAATCTCTAAGGATTAGGAGCGTGTTTAATTATCAGAAATGAACAATATGCTTGTTGATCTGAAAATTTTACCGAGAACTACGTGTAAGACATCGTGTTTGAATGGATAAAATGCAAGCGAAGCATCTAGATATAACAGCTAACAGATGTTATGGAAATGCCATGAGCACGCAAAAATCTTTCAGATTATACAGTATTCAATAATCCACAAGACAATTCCTTTGGTAAATTAAGGACAGAAAGTTCATATAAGCATGGGCCCGCGAGGCTTTCGTTTTCGAGTTATAATTTCGAAATCGAGAAAAATTATAGTGTTTCAAATTCGTCCCTCTCCATTCGAACATCGGAAACTGTAAGAGGTACGGAGTAGATTAAATGGGGGCAAAGTTGCGTATTTAGATAATAAGCAAAATGCCGTTTAGAAAGTTTCGAAATTCAATGTACTTCCGTTGAGAGACAGAAAAAAAACAGAATTTTCCCAAAATCGTTTTAATTGTTTCCTGACTTTATTTTTAATGGGATTTCAATATAAATTTCACATTAACATTGTCATTTTTTCTCCTCTACAAGTTGTCATAATTAGCATTTCAATATGACGTTTCGTTCTTCAGCATCAACGTTATTTTTTCTTATGAACGCCATATTGGATTCTTGCACAGATGAATACAGTTTCTGAATCCAAAAATGTAATACGTCGTACATTGACATTGCCAAATCTTATTTTAAAAAAGCAAAATTTCCCAGATAGGCCTTGATATTATCAGATTTTTTGTCAGTCATTTGTTTCGCATACCAGTTTTATCCCAAAATATGTTTGCCTGGGATTTCAAAATAAATTGCATGATAGTATAGTCAATTTTGACCCACTTTAAGCGATTCCGTATCTGTTACAGTTTTCGGGATCCCCATGGTGAGGCTCGAATTTAAAACACCCTGTATATTTTGAGTGGTACTGACGTAAGGTTTTATAGGCGTAATACAGCACAGTATGGGGCCGGTAAAATCACTCTGGCTAATATTTGTCAGACCTCACAGACCTTTTGATCGACAGTACTTTAACCAAGACCAAATGCCCCACGGACCGCTCTGACGGACAATGACGAATAGAAGCGACACAGGGTACGGCTGTGTTTCCAGCGCTGTTACCTGCGTTGACCTGTGCATTGTTCAACATCCAAGTGCAAAATTATTTTGCCTTGCTATGAGCTGCTCTTATCTGGTCTGTTATAATATGTGAACATTCGGGAAATTAATTCTTACCTGACATTGGCATCCTATTTAAAATATCTTCCCACATTTTTTTTGGTATACGAATTCGTTGTCGACTGTACTATCGCGTTTCGCACTGCTAACTCATTATCTGCTGTATGCCTACTCTGCCCGCTCTCGGCGCATGTAGTTATCTTCGATTCGACGTATCCAAAAGTCTTCCAGGCAGAACTTAAGCCTTCATTAAAGCTGGCTAGATGGTGTGTTTAAACGAAACTTCGTGTTTAAACAAAACTTCTTCGTGTTTAAACAAAACTTCACACTAGTTTTGAAATTTTCTACAGGACTATAAGTGAAATTATTTAATTCCTCCAACATTTTTGAATTCGTTATATGACAAAATCAGCTGAAATATTAGTAAATAGAGATACACCAGTAAGTAGTTAATGTTTTTTTAAAAACGCTGTGGATACTGTGGAAGCTTCATGAATCTTTTACATGGTAACTAGTTTTTCCCATTTTGGGAATAGAAAATTCATCGTTCGATTTTAATTAATTGAAAGATTGTGTGGAGATAAGTATTTAAATCTTCTTCGGAACAATCTACCAGAACTCTTAGATGAGATATTAGACATGCTTTTAGCAATGTTAGGCGGGAAACAATGTTGTCCCAGCATGAAAATAAGACACTTCGAAGGCTCACTATGCTTGAACATTCCATACATCTATACCATTTATCTATATACAGGATGTCCCAGAATTCGACGTCAAGCCGGAAAAGACAGACAGTAACGCCACTTTTATTAATTCGTGAATGTATTTATCAAATTCACAATAAGTTGGCCTTGAGTAAAGTTTTTCTTTCACCGCTCCCCAGTAAAAAAAATCGAGTGGGTTTAAGTCAGGTGAACGGGCTGGCCACGAAGTTGTACCAGACCGGCCTATCCATCTGCTCGGGTATTCCGCATCAAGATACTTTCTAAATGAACGGGCATAGTTTCTCAGGAAGCCGTCTTACTGGTACCACACACACAGAGATGGTAGCACTACACAATCATAAATTAATACAAGTGGCGTTTCTATCTGTTTTACTGTCGCTACGTAGAATGACACTGTCCGTCACTCCGTCTAAGAGAAAATTGAAACTTGTAGTAATGGGAACTGAAAGATTGTCACAGGGTGCAGATTTTCTTAAAGCTCATAATTTGAAAAATACACGACTTAGATTTTTTTTTATATTTTTCTGATAACTATTATCCCCCATTTCCGGCTTGACATCGACTTCTGGGATACCTTGTATATCATTTCACTCTTCTTCATTTTTTTTTCGTTGTTTGAATTATGATTAGATCTGCTATAGATCCATGTTAAATATTCTAAGAGTATAACAAACTTGTGGAGGAGCAAGTTGGCGGGGAGTATAAAGAATTATCATTTAAATATGGAATATTAACGTGAAAAGTTTTTTTTTTAGGAGGCATATTTTCTTCATCACTAACTATGAATACAATGCTCTACTTATTTAGAGTCAGCTAATAGTCAAGCTATGCCGAAACACTCAATCATAATACATCTGCAACTTGTGTGTGTTGGATCTGAGTTGTGCTTGCGCCTAGTTCAGTATTTACCAAGCTCAAATCTTGACTATAGGAGAAATCGGGTAATTCGAAACATAACTACGTATATGAACAAACTGTTTACTAACTTCTAACATATAGATATCATTTACAAACCTTATACTAAACGTGTATCTTCAATCTAGTAAGCTATTACGTTATATAAACCACTAAATATAATGGCATAAGCCAGTATTTTAGAATAATATTGCGTATCACTACTTGAATACAAATAATCTGCTACAACATCATCTACATCTATAGAATTAGTACTATTATCAGTATTATTACGAGGAAGTATCAAATGTTCCATCCCGTTCAAGTCATCTTTGACACTGTTCATAATTTTCTGATAGTCTTTCATATCACCTAAAAGCTCTCTGACAAAGTCAGATACGTCCGGAGGGGCACTAAAGCTAGGCAACGGACTAGTCATTGTATGCACTGTATTATGCGTAGCATTGACTGAATCAAATGACGTTGTATAAATGATAGTAGCATTTTTATCGTCAGATAACATGTCATCTGCTATATCAATTTCTTTAAGTACTTTGTCTAACAGTTCTTGATGGGATTTTGAATCTTCGTCAGCTATAACTGTGTGATTTTTAGCTATTTCAACAGAAATATCTATATGTAGATGATCCCCCGTAATGTTATCAATGCTGTGTCCGCTGATTTTTGACAGTTCTGATTTATCAGTTAAGTTAGTTTTAATTTTAATTTCTCCTTTAGCATCTTCTTCCTCCAAAATTGTGCCTGCAACTTTGGCAAGCCCTATGCTGGTGTTTGGATGACTGTTGTCGCCCGAACTTGTTGCATTTATTATTGTTATTTCCTTAATTATATCAAACTGGATGGTCTCAGTGGAATTGTCTGAACCAGAATCTTCGACATTGGTTGTTTCATCAGAAGTGTCGTGAACAATGGTGAAATTTTCTATCTCTTCTCCAAAAGTTGTAGAATTTATAAATGCAGTATTAGCTCCGTTCGTATCTATATCTTTTGTTACATTAACTTTATCGTCTACCGAAACATTTACCGTACCACTGTTAGTTGCAAAATCAAAATGTTTTGATAAGTCTGTAAAATTAGTTCTATCCGTTTGATCTTCCGAATCGGCGTTAGTTAGTGATATATTATGTTTTTCTTCCGCAATCTTAACATTTGTTATACTTTTTGTAGTTATAATTGTATTGACTTCCTCTGCATTAGTTATGTTCTTCAGTTCATGTGATATATAAATATCAGCTGTATTATTGGATATTATGTGTTGCTTGTCTTCTTTAGATAATGTGATATTTTCTGTGATATTTTGAGTTCTGTCACCAAGCAGTATCTCCTCATCTAAAGTGGAGTTAGTAGTATTAACTTCGGAGTATTCTTTTGAGATATTAACATAGTTCTGCGATTCATGATGAGGTACAGAAGCGGTGTTATTGAGTGCAGCACTCTTATTTGTATCAATTTCCAAAATTTCAGCGCTGGTGTTCACAGAAAACTCGCGTGACTTGGAATTATTATCATATATGGTTTCTTTTGGTGTACCAGTGGAACTACTAGAGTCCGTTTCATTTTTTTCTTTGGACTGAGCCGGATTTTCAGGAAGATCAGAACTGTATACATCTGCATATTCAGCGCTTTCGTCTTCCATACCTACGTCATAATCATCATCTACAACCATTATCATGCAAGAGAAGTTGTTCGGTAAGAAAGTAATGTCGACATCAGGGGTTATCACTTCCTGGCTTGAAGGTAGAATGGAACTTGATTCACACTTCTGATTTTCATCTTGGGTACAAGCTTTCTTCTCTGGGTCAAAGTAGTTTCCAGTAGGACAATAAAACTCCAGTGGTCCACAAGGAGAGCACATGTAAAATTTTGTGCAGTCATTTGCGTCGCCGTAAACGCCATTCTCTTTGCAAACTGGAGGAGGTGCTAGACCAGCTGAAAAATCACATTGGATGAAAGCTATAAGATAATACAGATAGTCCGGGCAATATCTTCGCATCTGAAAGAAAAATATTCTGTTCCGAATTTTTTGCATAATCCCGATCAAAAAGGGCACCCTCCTCCCAGATAAAACAAAATGTTTGTAATTTGTTTAAAATAATTGTTACTAAGACATTTGACGCAAATTTTGGCCAGACAACATGTGATTTGCTAATAGATTATGTAAAAAATTCGAGTCAGAATTAAATATGGGAAATATTTCCATCGGGTACGAAGATACTACCCGGACTAAGAACTTTTCTGAGAAATGCTTTTCGGCCTGACATGTTAGAGCAAAAGTGCTGCTGGCCACGATTAGTTAGCATAAAACAACCAGATCAATTGAAACCCGTGCATATGGGTAGTGGCCGCACCAACCACTTAGACTTACATACATACAGGGTGATTCAGAAAACAATGACAATACTTTTTGAACGGAAAGTTCACCAAAAATTAACCACAGGTCCCTATAAGCATATTATGTTCTTAAATGTCCGTTTACTAAGAACATGATGTTGTAAATTTCTACATCAATGATGAGACTGAATAAGGACAAAACAAGAATATTGGTAAATTTTTTTTATGAATTTTTACCACAAATATTCAAACCACTTTGACTCCCAAAGAAGTACATAGTCTGTCAGAAATTTCCAAAGAAAGCGATCCATGTAAAAATGAATACTGCATATCGTCCAAAACTTCGCGATAGTCCATAACTTTGTTATTTTTTGTTTGAAAATCAGAAAATCCCGGTGTATCTTATTAAATTTTAAATAAAATCTTCTCCTCTATCATTAAATTTGAGGTATCTTAAAAACCAAAATTTAAATTTTCATCCATTAACATGAATGTTTGGCAATCTTCGGAACCGGCAGTCGAACGATAGATGCCGAGCGAGACGAACTTATCTGTAGCTGTAAGGCTATGCATTAAATTTCTTAAGTTCCCCACAAGAGAAGTTAATTTAACCTAAATATGTGATATCCAATTAGTAAATTCATTATAAACAACTTGAAATAGAGTGAAGATTTTTATAGTTGAAGAAATGGAAGAAATTGCAAAAATCTAAACCTCGACATTAGGTTTAGTTAATTTTTGTTATGTCCATAAAAACGTCTGTTACTCCCTAAATAAGGTTATTTAACTGATTTATTTTTGCTTCATATTTTTTATGCAAATAGTATGTAAGAAAATATAAAATATACATACACCTAATGTAAAAATGTATAATGTTTTTTTTGAGCGAATTACGGTACACACTTTGCATGAGGAAAATTTGAGTATGTGTGTGCAAAGTATAATTTTTTGTCTTTACTTGAACTGATGCATCCTTTTTTGCTACAGTTATTGACTACATGATGAGAGTAAATGGTAAGTATTTTTTACTCGTAGTTCACACATTAATCATTTCTATATTGGAAAATTAGTAGCACGAAATAAAGAACACGATTTGTTTGTTCTATCGCTAAATCGGTGATAAAGATACTTTATAATTATGAGTATTTTATTACGGGACAATTGAATCAGGGCAACAATGGGGAGTTTTAAACAAAGGTAGGTCGTTATTGTATCCATTATCGTTGTTATCTTCCCTTTTAGCTTATGAATGCGAAGATGTCCCTAATATAATAGGGACCCCGGTGCCACTCATACAATTACGATTAGTATGGGCCAGATATGTAGTGCGTTTCTATGTATATTACATATTTATGACATACACATTTACATTCATAAGCTTTTTCTGAGTTGCTGAAAACACAGTTACACTCTGGCTTTTCGACTTTGTTCTGGATGATTAGTGTTTACGCTTTGTATTGTATTTTATGTTTTGTGTTGAGATACTTTTGAAATTATTTCGGGAAAGCGCGAGAGACAACTGACAAAATCGCAAAAAGTGGCATGCAAGCCCGAAATCCGCCCTTACCGAGATTTCGTAGCGCCAAAGGGCAATATACTCGTTTGTTGCATCCTCAAATAAAGTTTTTTAAATGGCCAAGTCAAACGAATTCAGTTACCTTCACCCGACAAAACCGGTTTTGCTAGCAGAAAACAGTGGTTATATTTTGTAACATTTACAACTAGGTAGATTTATTTTTATTTATTTAAATAGACACCAATTCTAACGATCTGCGGTTACTATAAGTAAATTGTATTTATCCCAAAAACCGGTCGTACAAAGCCCCAAGAGGTTGTGATAACGAGAATCAAAGAATGTAAAAATGCAAAGGGTTGTCCACTTGGAGTTTTAAAGAAATTTTTCATTTTGTTTTCTTCACCACCCTGTAAAAGCTGTTAAAAAAACTGAAAAAGTAAGTGGATAGGAACAAAATATGGGATCATAATTTTATAACCGAAAATTCAGTACTCTAGCTAAGTTCAGTGTTTTATCCAATAGATTGTCAAAAATATCTCAACAACTTGGATATAGAATCTCATAGTATGTTACTTCAAATTGCTCCGTTTGAAAGGGTGTATCTGAATCTGTAATAAAATATCATATTTTCCATTATAAAAATGCATGTTTGATTCACCACATAGTTATGATGTCGAAAAAAACATATTTTCCACGTAAGAAGCATACTGTTGGCTTCAATTTTTGTGATTAACTTTTTTAGATAAAAGGTTTACCGACCGAGCCTACCCTAAAAACTAACACTGTATATGCTAACATAATTCCTGGTCTATAAGATCAAAAACGATTCAGTAAAAGCTTGATCAGAATGGAAATTTCCAAAAAATTAAGAGCAGCCTATTTTAAATATTTACACACTCAGATCAGCTTTTACGCGTTTGCTTGGATAGTAGTAATGATATAGTGTTCTAAAAACTTTCTACTTACCAGAAGTTTGTATCAACAGAAATAATCCAAAAATGGATGCAATCACTCTCAACGTCATTTCAGTCGTAGATATTTTGGACGATGGGTACATTGTAATCAGTTTTTATTATCTGTGTTTTTTTAACATCTCATTATTAGCTGTCATAAAACAGCTGTGTATCTACTATTTGCATAAGAAGGATATTTGGAACAACGTGATACAATTGACGACAGTATTTCGAATGAGCGCTAGATCTTTCAATTATGGATCAAAATATGTTATAATTTTCCATACTCTAATCCCATATTAGAACACTTATATACTTATCTTGCCTATAGTTTTAACACAGAAACTAATAGGGCGTAGAAAAGTCAGGTATAAGTTCTGCGGGGGTTTAAGGTCCTCAATACTCCCACCGATTTCCTATCTAACATACATCTGTAGTTCAATCATAACTTATTTGTTTTCCGAGTTATAAACGACACGTTTATAAATACGAAATAGAATGAATTAATTTAGGGAAACGTCCTTCAACTTTATCAAGAAAACTTTGTTTAATACCAATTTCGAACTGCTACATGAACTTTCAAATTAAATCATGCTCATGCTCCAAAATGTACGTTGTATACTTTTGAAATGTATGTTTAGCTGTTCATCATATTTTTTCCAATCAATAACAGAACGGGGCTTCTGATTTGGGCACTATCTTTTTTCTATAGGTCACCACAGATGAAAAGGATGCATTGAAAATAGTAAAACACATTTTGATTAAAAAATACATTTTATAAAACTGAACATCGGTAAAACTCCAGATTGCCTATGACTAGACTTAGATTATACATCAAGACATTGCAACAGATACATAAAACCAATTTAATCATAATTTAGCTTAAAAATATAATTTTAGAAACTCAAGTACTTAAGCACCATAACACACATCTGAAAACACCAGAAATATCACAATTTAATTTTAACAAACATAATGAGCGCATAGAGCTCATTTAAAGCAAAGCAATCCGGTGCCGCAGAGCTTTTGTGCTGAATAACAGCAGCAAAAGGGATAGCTTTGTCAGTCTGACAGCAGTTCTTACCTGGCTGTCACATTTGAGTTTGTTGATGGAATATTGCGAACTGTTAAGGCTGTTGATATTCAGTTTGAAAGCGCCGGACCGCTTCACGTTAGCTCAATGCACTCAATGTCTCAGTATGTAACAGATTAAGGGAAAGTAAAACGTAACCTCAAAACAGTTTGGACCTAATCGAAGCTACTACGAGATACACAGGGTGTCCCAAAAGTCCTGGACCAAATGAACAGAAAACCATATATTATATGTCCAATATATGTATCCTAATGTGCACGGTTTTTGATTCATCGCCATTTTTAAGAATTTTTAGAAAATCTCTACTTTTGAGACTGTAGTTGCCTCTTCATTTTAAAGTCGATGTGCCTCTTGCTATTTCTGAATCGGCTTTACAACGTATCATTGAAAAATTAGACCAGGTAATGATGGTAGCAATCTGATAAACCGCAATTTTGTCTCTTATCAAAAATATTACGGCATATTCAAAACACTAGTAGCCAGATAAAGTATCCATAGTTCAGACTAGAATGAATTCTAGGTCTAAACAACCCAGCATATGGCGATTTTTACATAATTTTGGGTAATACAAGCATTGCAGAGACAGTGCCAAATTATCTGATCCTATAACCGCAGTTATCATCTTTTTATAATCCGAGTAGATGGGACAGCAAGACCTCATCTGTCCACTAATTTTTTGTTCAGGCCTTGATGAATATTTTTGACAACAGACAAAATTTTGGTTTAGCCAAAGGCTTTACCCACATTACTAATGTTTCATTAATAACATCATCTTGGAACATACTCTGTAAAGATGATTGTAAAATAGCAAGAGACAACTTCAGAAAAAACAGGACAGCCTCAAAAGTAGGGATTTTCTAAAAATTCTTAAAAATGGCGATAAGTTAACAACCGTGCACAAGCGGATAACGATATATATGGTTTTTCTTATTGGAAATCACTCCATTCCGCGTCATCTGTGGTTTTGGGGACACTCTGCATAGTTCTGGAAATATTAATATCAGCCTTCACCGATCTGACGGCCAGTATTTTTTATGTAGTACAGTAAAAAGGTGTATGTAATAGGCTGCCTAAAGAAATCCTGACCAGAGTATTTTTGACTAGACATTTTTTTATTTCTCATTGACTGAGCTGTAATCAAAATAATGATAGGCTACCCGCAAAAATCTGTGCAAAATCACGGTTGTCAAGATTTGAAATTAATAAAATGAAATGTGCAGATGTACAAGTTTATTAGTCAGCCACTAATATTACGTGTACTCTTATTAGTGTCCGCAGTGTGCATGCGGGGCATTATTGAACATCTATATGGGTATACATATGGCTGTCACGTGTGTATAATGATTATTCAAAATACATTCGGAACCAACGGACCGATTTCGACTTTTAGTATTTATATGATTGCAATTCCTTCAACGATTTGAATCTTTACTAAAACAAGCCATTTTTCAATATAAAGTAGTTCTAATTAAATGCCTTTGCAAATTATTAAAAACCTTCCTATATCTAAATAATTATTGGATCATTCGGAAAATGTATGATTATAAAGATATGTTTGCCTTTGAAGATATGTTGAATGGCCATTCTTAAATATGGCGGACAAATGATCACGATTTGGATCGCGTGACCTCGTTTCTTATTTTTACAAATAAGCGATTTATGTCCCTCATTCAAGCGGAGGACGCATATAAGTTTATACGTGACCTTGGTCGCTGGTCCCTGATTTGCAATGTTATATCAATTTTGTGGTAAGGTTATAATACTATTTACTTTTCGAAATTGGTTTATATACCGAAATTTTACCATAGATCGGGCCCTTTTTCATAAATCCGCCACTAAACAGTATTCAAAAATGAAATGTTCGTTCTATGGAATCCGACTCCGTCCTCGAATACCGATCCTATGCTTCGCCAGTCGCTCGCGCTTCGAACGTGTGACCTTGTAAATTATATGCCCCCAAAGTCGGTCATTTTCAGGCGTTGTTTACACCCGCATTCCCCTCTTGGCCTTCGGCACCTGCGCAAGGATTTATGTTTGATCTTATCAATAAACTAGTAGAGTAGAAAAATACTGTTCATCCGACCGTCTGATCGGTGAAGATCAAGTTGAAGAATCTTATAACTTAAAGCACTGTTGAATCGGCATTTGGGGCTAGAGACTCTAAAAACAATTAATGAATTATTGAAGTTGTAAAAATGACACAGTGATGTTAACTCACCCAACGTCCATCATTTGCTAAAGATTATGAAATTTATGGATAAAAACAAGTTTGTGAATTGGGCATTGTGTGGATTTAAAAAAACCGTTGAGATTATTACGTTGACATAAACTTTATTCAAAGATTTGAACTGGAGAATCAAACATAAAATACTATTATATTTCTCTTACATATCAATCTGTGCACCAATTTATTTCAGATATCTGGTATCGTTTCAAAGTCTATATCTTTCTCGTTAGATATACTAACCTAAGAATTAGTTTCTCTTTCTGTATACATGCGTGTTATTTACAAGTTCTCCTCACTAAATAATAAATATTTTTTTAAATAGTTAACTACTTGATGCCAAATTGAATATTATCAATTTTTATGGCTTCTGAAAAAAATAAAATGTATATACATTTCATTATGGTGCTAAATTTCAAATTTCACTCAGAAATCAACGAGTTTTGTAGAATATCCATTTATCGGGTTTTAAAAATAGTGGCTGAAGGTAACTATGAAGGATATTCGCAGGGTTATTAATGTAAATCATACAAACACAAGTCGGTCGAGTATCGGTAGATTGAGAGTTTGGTGTTTGGGTAATAAACCATCGATACGGAAAAAATGATTGATTAGAGCTCTTGCAAAGAATATTAATTTATCCACGAATAGTGACAGTCAAGTAGATATATTGATTTCCTTAATCATTCATTGAATAATAATTCATGATAATTTTAATAATATAAGAAAATAAATTCATTTCTAAGGAAACAGCGGATTAGTGTGAATGAAGTAACAACATTATCATCATATGAATATCAGTCGTTTGTCAACCTTATTAGGGTTGTCATTAGAGATTACCACATTAGCTTAGATCCATCCATTCAGAGGCATGAAAGACTATCGAATTCAGGCTAGATAGGAGCCAGCCAAGGATCTGTTTGTCTCTTAATTCTCGTAGTCTGTCGTGAGGATCAAAGTGCACTTGATATAAATCAATTTTTTGGCAGTTCTGTCATTGATTTCGTATTTTAGTGTTATTTTTTAAAAGTGCGACTGTTTGCAGATAATTGTGTTGGTGGATTTCAAGGCATGATACTTCTTACATAATTTGCAAAGAGCTGCACAAGCCTAATGGAAGTAGAGGTTTCCATCAGTAAGTATTATTATTACGTCGCTACACTGTCAATTTAATAGGCATTGGTGGGAAACTAAGTTAAAAGTACAAATATGCACTAAAACTACGCAATTTTGACGACAAACCATGTAAAGTAAGCATATACTATATGCTTGGCTCCTATCTATTCGAATTCGTTGTGAAAAACCAACTATTTGGTAATCGGTAAAAGGAGTAAGACCAACCAAGAACGAGAGACTAAATCGCCTAGAGTAGCGCTTATTGGTTAACTTTTGCCATCATGTAGACCTATTGTATACCGACTTAGATTCATAAACTAAATAATATACCTGCCGATCAGAGTTCTCAGTCGACAGATACAGGTGTTTACAAAACATAAGAAAAAAAAAATTGGTAGGGCAGGACGATTCTAAGACTGTTTTGTTCTAAAACGACGTTCGGAATACCGTTTCGTTTCGGAATACAAATGTAAATAAGTTTTTCGTAGATAGTGAACAACACTATAATCCAACCGAGTTAGGATAACAGAGTAACCTTTTGAAGGTTCCCATGACGACTACAGAAAACAATTAACTCATTTATATCGCTAAAAGCGGGTAAGCCTACTACAATATTGTTAATTTTGTACACTCTACATACTAACTCAATAATAACATTTTTCACTTAGCTGAAGAAATGTGTTCCTGCTTTATTCTGATAAAAATAACTTTTTGAGAAAACTAGTCATTTTTCAATACAGCTCCTATCGATTTACACTGCTGGCGTTCCTTAAAAATTGGACAAATGCTTCAGACTTGGTAAAGTTATTTGAACATTTGAATACAGGGGTTTTTCTGGTCGTTGGTTATTCAACTGTTCTCGAAATTATATATTCACAAAATTGCGAAACCCGGTATGGAACCAGTCCATCGATGTCAATATCATAATAAAACAATAGTAAAACCGTCCATTTTATCGAAACAAAACAAGAATACATTTATTCAGATGAAGGACTAAACTTTTCAAAAAGATTACTTCTTTGCCATTATTATAGTCGTTCAAATATTATGTAAGCAGATTTTTTACAATTATTAACTCCCCCTTTCCTCTTGTCAGCAAAGGTAAGCGGGGGCTTACTTCCCTACTTAACGTAAACATTTTGGTACATTTTAGTATTTGAACATGTTCTGGATATACTATTCAATGTGTGGAAAATGGCTCGCCCGACTCAACATACTTGCCAGTAACATGATATCCATCAATTCCCATGGAACTCCATACCTATGATAATTTCTTAATTACCGGCAAACTCGAAATTGTATCATTCTAAATCTTCATTCGACTTCGACGTTACAGACTAGATTTATATCTAGTACAAAATAATGACATCATTTAGCCTTATAGTAAGTCCATAAAAATATAATCTATAGCATATATTTTATGTAGCTTACATTAAATTGATAACGTATTTTTGGTTTGTATCTACATTTTTAAAGGATTTGCATTTTATCAGCATGTCAAAAATTAAGCGATATATGAGACACATTATGCAACATTCTCATATAAATCAGATATCTTGAGGAAAATGAACACATACCATCAATTTAACACGTTTTTGAAATAAATAATTAGTTTTCGGCTAAGAAAAAAATTCGAACGTCACAATTTTTGACATATCCAAAAAAATACCAATAAATATCTTAACATTACAATGATCACAACCTAAAATCGTTTTTGTTCAAACCCATTTACAACGAGCGAACTTTTGGTAATAGAAGAGGCGGACTCAAATATAATAATTATATATTTGAACTACCCCTTCCCTGAATTTGCAAAACATTTTTGGTTTTGTTTCAGCAGTTTTAATCATCGGCCAAGCATTCACCAAAGCAGAATAATAAATCATTCATGGATGTTTCAAAAGGACATATTGTTGTCAATTCCAACTCTCTCAAACTGATCAGCTCAATAGATAAAACATACGAGCTCAAAATATAGTTGCTTTTGGATATTTCTGTTTTAAAACGTTTAGTTGTAAAAATAAGTTAAGCTTAAAAATCACACTAGTTATGGCAAAATTCATTATACTTTGAACAGTTTTCCACCGTCAAATAATCGATATACGTCATAGTTTTTTTAATTCTGATACTAAAGAATGTAGAAAGTCGTTTAACTTTTTCTAATTACATAAAATGATATTCGTGTCGTCCGGTTATTAAAATATGTTTTTAGTAAATACGCTGTTTCGTTAAATTTACATTTCTTTGAAAATTATAAAATAATGGACCACAGTTACTAAGGACCTTAAGATTTAGTCAAAAAATAAAAATACTTTTTAAACTGAAAAATAAAACAATCAATGAAAATATAATAATTTGAAAATAGATTTTAATGTTTTGAGTAGTTACTATGCTTAAAGTATTTTTTATTTGATTTTTCCTTGTTACAGTTCTTGTAGTTTCGGACCAACACATAATATGTTTGTGAAAAAGTTTTTCAAACCTTAATTATGTAAAAAATAAATACCGCACATGTTATAATATTACAATATAAGCAATGTCAGAAATCACATTGATTGTATCACCTTACCCACCTTAGATTTGGATTTGAGATACTTCTTTTTTCTTTATTTAACCTAACATGATCTTTTGTTTAATTTCGCATAATAATAATTAAATAATTGGATGTTCTATCGCATAAGTTCTAAAAGTAACTAAAACAGGAATTTTCAGTGACCCGCTAAAAATGTGTGAATTCTCCTTTTGGCCCGATTGTTAATAAGAGCTGAGCAGCCTTTCCCTAGACGATACGAAATGTAAAAGAAGAAATAATAAATTATTTAATTTTATGGTCAGGTTAAAGGCTTTTGTAAGTCTATCGTTTTACATCATTCTACACAAATTATCATATGGAAATACCATCTAAGTACAACTTTTCAAACTTCTGGGAACAATCCATATTTTTGTAACATAGCATCCAACTTTATACTTTTTATTACTGAACAGGAAAATGTGTACAGTGAGGAAGTTTCCTATTTTTGAAACAAAGTTAAACGGATAGTCTAAGTAAAGTGAAGTTCAGCACTGTATTGTAATGTTACGCTACCCAGACCCAGAAGTTTCTTATTTGGAGAATTATTTTGCTGGAGCGTGACTGAGTGATGACGTCACATCACACAAGTTACTACCGCCACCATAAAGTGATGCGCCCGCCGCGCACACTTCGCGCCATTTATAATCATTGCTCTGTTAGGACGTATGGTAAAAGTGGGGGAAAATGGGTCAGGCCTCTGATTTACAAATACTGTTTTGAATCTAGCTGTATAAATACAGGCATATAAGCTACAGTAAAACATTTTTACTTGTACCAAAACATAGAAGAATTAGAAGGAAGTGGCGTAGGGTATGGATAGGAAATATCATTATCATCATTCTGCTGCAAATCTCATTTTGATGTTAGTAGGTATTTAGTTATTATGATAGAAAGTATCAAAATAAATGTTAGTGTAGATGCCTATTAAAATGGATAACTAACCTAATTGGTGTAAACGAGAACGGGGTTGGACTTTATTATTGCTCTGATATGATATTATGGCTGGAGGGGAAATACTCATTTATCCCTGTCTGTGTCAATGTGGAGATGAATATGCGTGCAGTGGGAGCCAAAAAACCTGGCCAAACGTCCAACAAAATTGTATAAAGAAATATTGTCACGTTTTAAAATGATCTGCAGTATTGAGATGCGGCAAAATGGATTACGGAGTAAATATGTAATTCATATTTTTTCCGTAATCAGTGAATTCAAAAAGAGTTTAAAAAAAGCCCATTAGAGTCCGCTCTATTTAATAGTGGTATGTTCATCAGATACTCAGTTAAGAAATATTCAATTTAGGCTGCAGCTGACTGCAACTCTGGCAGTTATGGCATACGCACGCGATTAAAACATTTTTTGCAAACACACTATATTACTCGTAGATCCGCTATTTCAATTTTTGAACAATCAGTATGAAGTTTGCTATTAGCGACACTGAAAACATTTTTGCAAAGATGTATACCACATTATATCCGCCATTCTCATCTTTGACAAATGGATATCATATTCGTTGAGAGCGACCAGGAAAAAGTCTTCATGGATTTTTTGAAAAATTTAGTGAATCTTCCTGATTTTGACCATACTTTAGGACTTTTGAACCACTGTGACGTCGATCGCGTGTGGGCTTAATTATTATAAATGTTAATGCGAGCCAAAGCATAAATGTTTCGCATAGAATATTTTCAACCACCTTTGGAAGCTTAGGGGAATTAATACGCAGAAAACCTTCTCCCATTTTAATTATTGCATATCTATAATATCGCACAACAGTATATGCCAAGGTAGAGATACAATACATTGCGACTGGACAGCCTGAGCACCAAGGACGAATGTGGCCGAACTTATGCCTTGTGACGTCACGACCGAACCTCAACCGGCGAGGGCGGTCGGCTACAGCATCCAACACTGAAAATGCTATAACTTCCTGAAATTTCAAGTTATAAAAATAATACTTTAAGATTTTTGAAAGATATCAGTTATACTAAGATATGCAAGTCAAATTAGCTGTATTTTCGATAATAAGAAACTTCCTCTTCCTCATTTGTAGTAACACTACATTCCACAAAATAATGTATAATATTTTTTGCTTTTACACAGAAATATCTTTATCATACATGATCATAAACTGCATAAGTTTTTTTAAGTTTGCTTGCAGCGTTGTTAGCCATACCTGCAATAGATGTTTTATCTATAGGTAAAAGTCGCACACGTGTATGCTTGGCCAAATCCAATGGATACAGTTTAACTTTGAGTAACCTGTTGTAATCCATAACAAAACAAAGACCCATAAGAATAAAACTGTGTATCAAGATCCTCCTATAGGTATATGATCATGATTCTGATAATGGGTATGATCATGGTCATGATGGTGTTCCGCTACATAAAATAGGAGTATCAATGGAACCGCAAAGATGAGTATCACTATGCAGATTATCAGTGCCACCCACGATATTCCGCAGTCTGCTCCGTTGCAATTTAATTTTGAAACCACCTGAAAAGAAATTACACTAGTTGAAAAACTGACCAAACACAGATAGTGAATTGGGGCATTTTGTTACCAGGTCTACACCGATTTTTCGGTAGATCTATCGATGTTAGTCTTCTTCTACCGAAATATGGATTTTAATGCAAAATATACCGGAATAATATGTTTCTGATATAATTCAATGAAAAGAGCACTTTGCTTCTCAATTCCGGATTTGCTCCACTCTTAAAATTTTTCAATTGCAACATTTTAGCATTTGATGCAACCCCCCTTCCGCTTTTTTAATTTTCCAAATCAAGTGTAGCTCAAACAATCATTTTCCATCACCGGCAATGGTATTTTCAAATGCCATAATACCCAGAAGATGTTCGTACCCATGGACACTTTATCTTCTCTCTGGCGTTTTGTAGAGGTCATGTTGAATATTCTGTAATATTTTTGACAACAGATTAAATTGCGGTTTAGCCGATTGCTATACCTACATTTACTGAACTTATTTTTCACTGATAGCTTTTCTTCAACCTAGAAATATATCCTAGGGAGCTGATTAGGAAATAATAAAAAATAACTTCAGACAAAAATAGTAGTCTCAAAAATAGTGTTTTTCTAGAAATTCTCAAAACTGGAGAGCTCAAAAACTGTTCACAATCGAATGAGGACATATGGTTTTTTTATCAGAAATATCCCCTATTATATACTCATGTTGTTTGATCCACGACTTTTGGGACAACCCGTATAGATAATAGATATATAGATTATATAAGACGTACAGGTTCTGCCAAAAGCATTTCTCTTTGAGGCTGCAATAAACACGCTTCTTCATTCAATTCTTCACCAACTTCTTCCAACCTCTCACAAGAAGGTTTTTGTACAATATTGCTATTAAATATTATTTCGTTGACGTTTTTTCCATTTTGAGGTATCAAAATGCCTGTAATACAATAAAATAATTATGGTTAGTTATGTCAAATGTTGCATAACCACAAAACACGATGCTATCCAGATAAATTCTGACAAACTAGTAATATAGCTTTCGTTCCTCCGACCAAAGGGCTTGATGAGAGAAACGCAACAGGCAAAGTGTCGACGTTCTAAATCCAATATGTCGACCGTCCCAAGATGGCGTCTATAATTGCCATAGTTACCAATATGATTTAGGTATCAAATTAAAAGGCTTTATGAGAGCAACGTGACGTCACTCTGAATCCAATATAGTAGCGACCGCGAAATGGCGTTTTATAATTTCCACAGTCACCCTTATAATAGGGATATCAAATAAAAGGGCCTGGTGAGGGAAACATAATAAGAAAAGTGATGTCATTCTAAATCTACTATGGTGACCGCCGCTAAATGACAATTTATAATTTCCGTGGTCACCGCTATGACATGGATATGAAATAACAGCGCTTCATGAGGAAAACACAATAAGCAAATAACGTCACTCTAAATTCCATATGGCGGTCGCTGCAAAATATCGTCTTATCATTATATGGTTTATATCTATCGAAATTCTATAATACAAATAAAGTAAGAAGGTTTATGGAACCATTTTATTGAAATATATGAAAATTATATAAATTACCAAACTATTTAGTTGACATCATAGACACTAAAAAGTAAAACATAAATAAAACAACAAATACAGTGATTTTTTTAGTACTTACTATCTTTCAGTCTACTGTTGAGCGACGTGATGTCCACTATTTTACTAGAGGAAGGCAAATCTTTAATTGGTGATGTTGTGCCGCTACTGTGGACCCCTGCCAATGCCATCGCAAATGGCCTATGGGGAACACGTATTGTTGTCCTTGCAAATATCTCATTTTCTTTGTGGATATTGTTTAGGCGCTTCAGCTCTTCAATCTGAAATGGTAATGTGTTCACTTTAGTATAGACAATACTATAAGCAAAACTCGTTATATCTTGCATCTGGTGATGGTGACGTGGATTGCAAGACGACACTCTTAGAAATGGAGAAGTATCTCCAGACATCTCCGCCAGGCAAGGGAACTCATTGAAGGGCCCAGTGCTAAGGATGGACGTTTCTGCTTATCTCTGGATAGAGCCAACCTAAGGTTGCTGGTGGGACTGTTGTCTGGCCAGAACACGTTAAGGCGCCACCTGCACGTGATGGGGGTGGCTGAGATCCCTTGTGTGAGCGCTGCGGGGTAGAGGACGAGACCTCGGCGCACGTTTTGTGTCGCTGTGAAGCTCTGAGCTACTTTAGGCAGACTATACTGGGGTCCATTACTTTGGACCCTCAGGACGTCAAGGAGCTTGGACTCAAAGTGATTCTCAACTTCGCTAAAAGGGCGAGGCTTGTGATCTAAGGAATGTAGAGATGCATAAGGGCCCGTTTAAGCGGCCTATGCACTGGTTCCTTATGGTGGCCGGAATGCCTCTAATTTCACGATTTATTCACTCATTCATATCTTGCATATTTCTAAACTCGATCTGGATTGAGTTGTTGAGTTTTTATAAAAGGGTGTCCGCAAAGTTGGGACTTTCCTTTACACGGCATATAGATCTTGAAAAAATAAACAGTTTTTTACTAGTAGCTTATAAACCAAAGCCTTAAGCTGACCGACATAAGAGGTTCCGCAAAACCAGTCAAACCTAAACCAAACCTAACCCGCTCCTGTACCTCGATCAGGTAAAAAAAATGTGAGAAAGCACGAAGCACGTCAGTCCTCAACCCAGGCGCCGACAGCGTAGGTAAACAAGACATTTATTTACCAATTGGTTAAAAAAACAAAATCACACACTCGTACAACAATATGAAACTTGTCGGCATGATTTTAATTTATGGTGAGTGTCGTCAGAATGCTACCGAGGCTTCGCGAGTGCTTTCCCAGAGGTTATCATTCATGATAACGTAGATTTGGTTACCTTGTGCAAACAGCTAGAGATCCAGCTCGTTTGCGGGAAGTTGAGGTGGACATATTTTTAACAAACATTTTCTATGAATTTTAAATGGTATGCTCAATGGACATTTTATTTTCTCAAATTTTGTGAACAGTTTACAATACCTAGACCTTCTATGAAACATTTTATCAATGGCGACAACTTAGAACAGTTCTTATAAGTGACAGAACCATACTTGAAAGTTCTCAGTAAATGGATGGTTTTTCATTTTGTTGCTATTATTTTTTCTCTACTGTTTCACCACACATTAGTTTTGTTATTTCAAGCATAGTTGTTTCTCAAAAGGAAAGACCCAATATTCAGGACACCCTGTATATGGGGTGTCCGCAAAGTTGGGTCTTTCCTTTACACGACGTGTAGATCTTGACAAAATAAGCGGATTTTCTTAGTAGCATATACACCAATGTCTTAATAGAGCCGAGACATTGGACTTCGCAAACTGCAAACCTGAATCAAACCGAATCCGGACTCGTCCTATCCCTCGATCACGTCCAGCGCCAGCGCCCGCGTACAGTTATACAACTAGGATGTAAATACTGATTTTACAACAGAGCCATACTTGGAATTTCAATTCAACTGAACAGCACTTACTTTTTCATTTTTTGTACTTGCTCGCTCACGTTTCACCACACATTAGGTGTGTTATATCAAGTGTAGTTGTGTCTAAAAAGGAACACCCCAACTTTGTGGACACTCTGTATACAACTGTGATTGTGTCCTGTTTGTCAGCATATTGTCTGACCCACAATAGGGACTTAACTAAGTCTAATCCGAAGAAGGTTATAGGCAAGGTTTCATCCGCGAAAATATACAGGCTGTTTAAAAATTATCGAAAGATCATAATATCTCGAAAAATACGGTTCCTAAGGAAAAATGTAGAACAAATTTGGAGGGTTTGAAAAGTTTGATCCACTGATCATCTTGAACGTGATCTTGACTATAACCTTCAAGGTCATGTGAAGATCAGGTTTTCTTAAATGAAACCCCAAATGACATACACTTTACTCCACGTGGGTTTAGTCTAGTAGTAATATAAATTTTAGAAACTGTCACATTCTCTACGTGAATATTATTATAGAATTTTTAATAGCTGAAATGTATTGTATGCATCATCTTTTCAAAGATGATGTAATCTATGTTCAGTTTTCGCATGTCTGATGGGAAAAATGTTTATAAGAATCATGAAAGGTTGACTAGTTGAATGTTTAGTTTTTTTATGTTAAGAAAGCACTTCTGATAAACTGACTACTACAGCAGCATAAAAGCACTGCTGTCAGACTGCTTTACAATGGTTGCAGTCAACAGAACGTAGCACTACTGCCGAAATAAGGTAGTAATGTTTTGAAGTGATGCATCAAATCTCTGTTCTCTATGCACTTGTCATTTTGTTTGTCATAGATGTCATTTGACAGGTAAAGATTAAGCAAGCAGTAAACCTCCAAACTATTGAACTACTTGAGTTCGAGATCAAGACAATTTTTTTTAATCAACCATTCCCAGGTATAATGATGATTTATTTGAAGTACCTTTTCGGAAGTCAAACAGGGCCTTTCAGGTATGTTTCAGTGTTTATACCTATTTCAATTTGAGCACTTATTTAGTTTAATAAGCTAATGGATGCTAAAGCTAGGCTTTCATTATTTATAGTGTATTATAAACACTCTTGACAGAGTCATCTAACAGGTCCAAGATAAATTGACTTCATAAGCAGGTTTTTTTCACTATATGGATATGGAACCCAAAATCTTGTTGGCAGTATGCAAACACAATTATTACAATTTGGTAATTCAAAATGAAATTCAGATAACAAGATAACCCTGTAATAGTAAGGATGGTATTATTAAACTTGTATGCTATTATCATTTCCAAAACAAATTCTTAAATTTTAACTGACAGTAGATGAAACTGAACCACAGAATAGTCTGTAAACAAATTTCCCTTCACAAAACATAATTTTTTTACCTGAAATGACATTTGACGCATCATTGATCAGTAGGGGGAGCAACTTTTATTTATGGCAACTGCTCTGGTAGCACTTCACTGATGAATATGAACATTGCCTGAATGGACTCACGGATTCTTAATTTTCAAGGAATCTAGCCACTGCTGATTTTTTTATATCAAAACATATGGTATACTTGAAAGTCAAGAAAGCAATTTAGCAAGACAATGGTTATTGTGTTGAAAGTATTTTACAAAAACTCATCTTCGTATAAAATACTATTGTGCACCATAGAGCACCCCTTCTAATATGATAACATATAGATGATTTACAAGTGTTACTGCTTTTACCGTGCAATGATATCTTATAGCCAATGATTGTAACGTATCTCCATCTTGTACCAATTTTTCTACAGTAGGTATATCTTTCTTTGGGGATTTATTTCGCACAAATAATTCGGTCTCCTCGCCACCACTATCACTGGCATTATCTTTACCCCTAAGATTATCCTGTAGTCTACTGTGGGAAACATCATAAACCCTGTTTCTGAAAATTAGATATCGTAAGAAAAGATGTATCATAAAAATGTACTTTTCTCACTTCTGACGTTGCTTAATCATCGTTAATTAGATTTACGACGAATTATATACTACAAGGAACTTGGAAATTAGAAAATTAAAATGTTTTTGTTAAACTGACAGCTGGAGTTTTTAGGTTATGTTAAGATACGTGTCATAGTGACAAGGGTATTGATGGCGCTACCTATCCAAATACTTTATAACTAAGCGTCATAGCGATGGAGCATAGAGAAAATAGTGAGTTGGTTTTGTAGAACCGAATCTAAATTTAGATTTTGGTTAATACTTATTTTATACTTTTAGATTGATTTACTTATGTAAGAGAATCATTAATAATCATAGTAAATGACAATATACAAATCGGCTTTTAAAAAGGTTTTACAAATGTTTCCAACACCTGAAAATGAAGGACAATACATTTGGATAAACTGCATCCAGAATAATGAAGATTGAACACCATTCAATTTTAAGCCAGCAAACATTAAAACAAAAAAATTATATTATGCTGCCACCTCTTACTCAATAACAGAACAGCTACCTACCTATGGAAATATTTTATAACTGTCATAACAGGCAATGAAAATGTAGTGAGATGGTTTTTTAGAACCGTATCCAAATTTAAATTTTGTTAAGGCGTTAGCATGCTATAATTTTAGATTACAGTTTTTTTAAAGACAGGAAGATTAGCATCACTAACATCATAGTGAAATTTGCATACATCAACAAAAATCAAATTCAAGCGAATAACCAAATGAAAATGGTATTTACTATTTTGGATTGGTATTTACCGATCTGTTCAAGCTAGTGTGGTTATCAGTTTGGTTATAAGATCAGTGACGTCACGAATCAGCTGTTATATGTCATAGTTATCATTGCAAAATTGTCGTTATTGACAAATTAGAATTTTGCCGGGAATTGTATTTTTATATTAATTTTTATTGTATTTCAGCTTCATTTTGGGAAACTTGATATAAGCTGACTTCAGTTTTAGCATAAAATAGAGCATCTTATTAGTTATAATCATTACTGTTGTTGGGGACACTTTAAGTTCCTATGCTTAACAAAGTATCCTGTGTAGCCATATACCACAAGAATATGAAAATATGGCCATATAAATTCACTGGATGATGTCCACCTGTATACTGTTTTGCTAACATCTTTTTTCATCGCTTTTTCCGTTAAATCAATAAATTTTTCCATCGACATGTGTAAAAGTTTAGAGAATTGAAAGTTATCATAGCTTCAAAGCCATGGTTCAATCATTAAGATTTTTTTTCTGAAAAACAAAAACATTTCTCCCATTAATACTATGAAAGGTTTCTTTTTTAAATTATCCATACACCGTTGTAGACGAAAAAGCACCGATTATTAAGAGATAATAAAAACAATAAGAAATTATATATGAGCTTTTCTAAAATGAACAACTTGCAACAAAACCGCGGTTAAAACCAACGCGTTCAAGCGATTCGAGTAACTGACGTCATCAACTCGTGTGTCATCTTGACTTGAACAATATTATAACCGCGATACATATAGTGGATACCAAATAAAATCCGATGCACGTCATAGGTGATGTCATTCATAAAAATCATGGTTACCAACAGTTGACTACATTCAATGTGACATTTCTACTTGAAGTTTAAATTTCCCCGTCTCGATTCGGTTGGTAGTGCCGTGCAGAGAAATGTGAGGTTGCCACTTCTCATTTGTTGACATCAGTTGCCATTGTCCTTTTGTCGTACTATTAGTTCTTTATTGTTTAGTTTGTGAGTTTTGCGCTATTTGAGCTTTGAATCGTTGCCTTGCCAATTAAAAATTGTTCTTTTCAGAACAACAGTTACTGTGAAGTGGTGTAAAGTATCCAAAATGCCAAAACAACTTAACAGTCGGTGTAAAGAGCTCATATCATTGAATATCTACCTAAATCAGGTGTTTTTATTCAGAAAGGAATTTAATTTTACAACAAGTTTATTTATTTTTAATATAATGGTATTATAGTAAATGGTAGGTATATATAAACAATTTATTTTATTAAATTTATTTGCTTAAAAGAAAATGTGCAAATTCTGGCAACAGCGCACAGCTCCAGATCGATGACGTGCATCGGGTTTTATTTGGTATCCACTATAACACAGAGATTTTGGTTATGCGGGTCCCACACGATGGTTTCAACGTTCGACACCCCACAATTGGCAAGTGTATCTCCTACACCATGGGATGAACTCTTTAGTCTAGGGCGTTCGACGCATGGTGGTGCCAACGTCTATTATCGGTGTCAGTGTCGCGCTTGAACCTTTACAACTGAAGGAAAAATTATACAAAATAAACGAGGACACAATTTTTTCGAGCGCCGATAAATAATTTCAGATCTGTCCTCAGCGACCAAAACTTAAGTCTGTCAGAAGCCTCTAAAATGTCGAAAAATGAAAGTTTGACAGTTTTTTGTTTGTTTTTCGACGGTAGCCTCACCGCCACTGTATCGGTTTTCAAAAACTGCAGATCTTTTTCGTCATTTTCATAGGGTCAAAATTTCATCAAAATCCTGATAGTACTTTCAGAGTTATCATTTATTCAATCTTTTTCTTTAGTTATGAAATGGAAGTCAATATATTTCTCAACTAGTCTTGCATTGCAACAGGACATTATAATGAAACAACTGCAGGCACTTGATAATTTATAATTTACTAAAAATACATATTCTTATGCCAGCGATAACTTACCTGCGAAACGTACAAAATATTAGCAATATGGAAAAAGTATTGTTATGACAACGTATGCTTTGTATGTATTCTAATTAATCCATTCTCCTCAAAAGTTAGTTACGCAATATACATTATTATGAATAGGTAGGTATTCAAATCAAAATACTTCCCACATACGACATACCACTACTTCACCACAATCACAGCAAACAAATAAATAATGTTTGTGGCCGCTACTGGTTCTAACCTAAAACCATCAAACACATGACATCTCGTGTGGGAGCGTAACGAACTATGCTTTGAACGTTGTAAAGTTCCTTTGACGCGACACACGAGTTAAATTTACCGACAACGACAAGAGCTCGAACGTATCATGTGGTGAACGTTGGACACGTGCAATCCGTCGGCGCTCTCCCACACGATGTGGTGAATAGCCATGTGTCCAACGTTGTAAAGTATTCGCCATATCGTGTGGGAGCGATTTTATTCGCTTGGATTTGATTAAACTTTCATATGATGACAGTTTCTCGATGGTTTCTCGTTTTGCTGCTTCGGCATTCTTAACCTACAAAAATTAAATACTTAAACATTCCAAATTTTCTTTAGACGTGTCACTATTTTTCATTAATTCAAAAATGCGGAAAACAATGGCGGAAGTTCACCATAATTATTAGAACTGGTTGTATTCCTAACACCGATGTAAATTTTGCATACTATCAACAGTAACTTTTTTTATACATCCTATTAGTAGTTCTTCATAAACTCGAAAATGGAGAAAAAAGGTAAGGTGTTACAGAGCTTGTCATGGTTTTCCTATAATTCCCAATCTGCTTGCAGAATCTACAATAAAAATGCTCAAGTATGTGAGTCTCATAACATTAACCTTGCAAAATGCTGTACTAGGTCTCAGTATGCGATATGCGAGGACTCGACAAGGGGATATGTTTTTCTCATCAACAGGTAAGTCAATCTTCTTCTTCTCTTCTCTCAGTATTTGATCAGTAGTTGAAGGTTATCAATCTATTCTTTCTAGTATATTTTATTTAGACTATGGTTTAAGAAGGAATTTCTCATAGAGAGAATGTAAAATCTTCTTAATTGTAACTTTGTGGTGTTGACATTCCTTATATATTTGTTTTATGAGAATTAGCTATGCCTGCATTAACTATTTGGATAAGGATCTAAAGTGAATGCTACATGTTCAGTATTTACTGTGATCTATCAATACTTATCTTGGCATGTGATATAGAGTGGGCCATTTAAAATCAATAGGGCTATGAAAAAGAAACTAATAACAATTTTCTCAAATTTATTGGAAATATTAATCCAAGACATCTAAAAATGAAACACAATATCATTCAAATAACAGCGATGGCATGCTTGACAACATTTCACCCGACTAATCCAAGGTTTAAGTATTTTTCTAAATTGCTTAGGTTTACATTTTTTCAATGGCAACCTCGATTTTGTGCTTGATTGCTTCAGTATTGTTTGTTTTTATTTCAAAGAGCTCAAATCTCATCTTCAACCAAGACAGCTAACTGAAAAGAATTCCTGCTAATTATTTGTTTATTTGTAAATGATAAAAACTGCACTGAACGTGTTGCATATTTAATCACTAGAGGTAGCAATTCTGCTTGATCACATATCCTTTTTGGTGAAAATGAACATTTGAAAAGATGCATAATATTTGACTTAACTAATCTTCAGGCAAGTGATTTTCAGCCCTTTTAACGAACCATAAATGCATTCAGTGATCCCATTTTGTAGATGTCAAAAACAACTGATTTTCTGACAAGTCATAAATGCTCTTAGCTCTCAATGTCAACATAACAACCCTGTATCTATTGTATGTTCAACATGGACATCATTGCTTATTGATGTATAAGGCTGTGCACCGCATATGAATGTGGTGTCTTAATAAGATTGTTTTCTTGACAGCTTTTTTGAGATCCACATTATTTTTCATTTCAGCTGTTCTGATGTCAGAAGTAGTTAAACTAATCACCTGTATAGGCCTTGTGTATGTCGAGTCAGGTGGAATCAAAAAAACAATTGAAGCAATTGACAGACAAATCATAAAGCAACCAATTGATACACTGAAAGTGTGTGTGCCTTCATTTGTCTATGTAGTGCAAAATAATTTGCTGTATGTTTCTGCATCAAACTTGGATGCTGCCACATATCAGGTAGAAATGTTTTTCACTTCATTTTTGTATACCTAGCTTAAGAAAAAGGAATTGAATGTCAAATAGAACTGAAAATATCTGTGAATGGGAGTGCATAACATTTTTCTGTCACCTAAAAAAATGTCTATATGACCTTTCTTATGTGTTTCAAATTCATCTATTCTGATAGATAGATCCCAAAGGAGCATTGCTAATTCAGAATTTTCTACAGAATTTCTGATGTTCTCAGGAGTGCCTCTAGAATCAGTGCTTGAACAACTTCTCTTTATTTTGTTTTTTGGAGTTCTAAACAGTATTCAGTTTTTTGCTGATGACTCACAATTATATCATAGCTTCAAACATGACAATTAAGAAATTTTGGAAGCTCATAGGACCTATGTCCTTATTTTTTTTCATGAAAATCTAAGGTCCCTTAATAAAAATAATCTGTGCATAACTTTAAACAGCCATGCTATTCAGATAGAAGAGTCAGCTAAAAACTGAGGTTTGTTTATACATGAAAAATACTAATTTATCTCTCATGTGACTGAAGTAATTAAACATTGTTTTATGGCACATGTACTTGAACAAAGAATAAATTTTTATGTGAATGTTTAATAATGTCCAAAAGCACATATCACGATTTAGTATAGATTCTAGTGAGTTTTAGCTAAATGTCTATACAAAATTCAAAATTCATGTTCTAGATTGATTTTCAGTTTAAGAAAATATGATCGTATTACTTCAGGTTTCGAATAGCTGAATTGGTTGAATATTCAATTTTGGAAGAATATTTTGTTAAAATTGTTTTGAGTATTCCATTGCTAGTCGTTCAAGGGTTAAGTGGTGGAATAGTTTGAAGTTAAACTTCACCATAAATAAAATTCGTTTATTGTTATTATTATTACTATTATGATTATCTAGTTTTGTTGTAGGTGACCTATCAGCTAAAAATTTTCACTACTGCCATCTTTTCTGTGTTCCTACTGAAGAAAGAGCTGTTAAAAACACAATGGATCTCATTAGGAACACTTATAGTTGGTGTGATTTTAGTACAATTAGCTCAACAGGATGAGAAACAGACTAACTTAGATATTCCAGAACAAAATAGATTCTTAGGATTTATGGCTGCTCTTACAGCCTGTTGCTTGTCGGGGTTTGCTGGAGTCTATTTTGAAAAAATGTTAAAGGGTAAGCAGTATTCAGCAATTTATTTCAGTTCCACAAATTCCTGAGGTCCATTACAAAATCTGGGATTCAATGATCCTTGTGTTAGCTGGTACCATCTTGAAACACGATTATATAGGGTTGTCTATAAAAACCTGACTGGAATGATTGGCAGGTTTTAAAAAGCTAAATTTTGACTACAGACAGGTTCTAGCTAAGTATTCCATACAATACACTAGTAAATACTGAGAAATGCTTTGAAGCAAATTGGCAGTAGACTTGAGATAACTGTTGTATCCTTATAACTAGGCTCCCTGACAGCCTGGGGAGATGTGAGCACATGTTAGGTGGTCAGTTTATAAAGCCTAAATTGTGATTAATCCTTCACTTATTGCGTGTAATACACAACAATAACAGCGATAAATACATAATAAACAAAACATATACCAGGTGTTTCAAATTCGACTCTTACTGTTGAGATCTTTGGACCAGTAAGGGATACAAAGTCAGTTAAATAGGGGCAAAGTGGCTCATTTAGCCGACTAAGAAAATGGCGCTTAGTAAGTGTCGTTGTTCTTAAAGTTCTTTAAGAATAGTTAACGTTAATGAACATTTTTTATGTTTCACCATTAAAAGCAATTAAGAAATCGTCTAAATCATACAGAACACACTTTTCACCCATTTTTTATCACAACGACACGATCATCGACATGAGCATAAGCGTTGAAAAACTGCATTTAAAACAACTTTGTTTATTAATCAGACATCGTACGGGATACGTAGCTCGAACCTCTTTATCGCAAGTTTCCATTCGCACAAAATTTTATTTTTAAAAACCCGCCAACCATCTTTCAGCCAGGTTTTATCTAGACAACCATATATCATCGTTTTCGCAATGAAAAGGTGCTTATTGTGATATAACATTTATTTATTAAACAAATGAGTGAAAATAGCTATCAACATACCTGCCAACCTAATAATTATACCAGGAAAAAAACAGACAACCCAACGTTTGCGTATTCTATAGGTATGGTACTCTCGTCTGCTATTAAATTTATTAGTAAAACTCATTATTCGCAATGTCTAATAAAAAGTCATTTTTCAATTTTTAGTTAATCATTGTCTCACCAGGAATTTTTTAGCCAACCAACTCGCGATATATTTTTTCACATATCAGATTTTATATAAAATGCTTTTCATCCATTAAATAGATGGGTGGATGTCGTTTCTAATTCGGATCTTAGACTAGCTATGTTTATGTTGATGATTCATGCATCAATTTTATCATCTTGCACACCTGATCTGCTAGATTTTGTAAATGAAAGTTGTTGTGCTATGGGTTATAATTTCGGAAACTCAACAATTATTGTATTCTAATTTCTTCAAAATGGATTTGATTTGGCCAACTTCAGATAGCCATATGAATTCGTGACTAATTTCCAACTCTCTTATTTCGACAATCCCCCATATTTCCCGTTTCCAAGAAAGAAGGTTCAGCTGTCCAAAACGACAAGCGGGCATGAAGATATCTGTCGTTTTTTAATTGTAGCAGATACGTCACCCTCGTCCATCGCCATAGAAGCCAAAAGCCCCCCCCCACAAAAAACAACGCGAAAACCCACCCACAACTGTTGTCATAACCCACCGGTTAATTGTTAGGCAATTTTCGACTAAAATTTAGCATCTGAAACGCGAGAAATGGTATTTCGACAAAGGGTTGTCCTGTGAGAAAATAATATAAGACACAGTTGGGCCATGAGATAGCTAAGTAAAACATCTGCGTTTTTGAGCAACAAGAAAATAATTGGGTCACAGTTCACAGAAGAACTAGAGAGACAATTATCAGTTAATTTTATATTATAATTTTATTTTAGTTTTTTTATTTTTTTATCTATAAACGCGCTGATGTTTATAATGTTCTCACAGGGCAAACAACATAGTTTTATCCAAATGTCTAACTACTATTTGTCGCATTTCAGATCCATAAACAATGCATTTGCAACATTTTGGTCGAAGATTGCATAAGAATTAACCGATGTGTTACGACAAGAATTCTAGGTGGTTTTGCGGTTTTTTTAAGTCTTTTTTTCCCCCATGCCGGCCTGGGCTATGCTGGTATTGCATGGTGCCATCTCAAAATTTGGACTGAAGGCTTTGCGCAATCTCAGCATGTTACAGGACATTTCACACTATTGTAATAGCACACTGTATAGGAATATAAAAAAAAGAAACGAAGTATCACCTGAAAGACAGATAAATAAAATTTATTATCAAAGTCATTATACTGAAGAAGATCACCGTTGTGACCGAAACGTTTACAATGAAAAAGAGATTTTTCCAACATATTTGGTTTCGATTGGCCAGAGACATATGGGGGATTATCGACATGAAGACTACAGGAAACGTTTCAGATGTTATTTCGCGCTTAAAAGACTTTTAACTTTGACCTTTCACTTGTTATTTTCCAGGCAGCGACACAACCGTTTGGATTCGTAACATTCAACTGTCCTTCTGCTCAATACCGTTCGGCATGTTGTCCTGCTTCGTCTCGGACGGAGCGCTCATAAGAGAAAAGGGCTTCTTTTTCGGCTACGACGGCTTCGTACACTACCTAGTACTCCTGCAAGCGTGCGGGGGCCTCATAGTCGCCGTTGTGGTCAAATACGCGGACAATATCCTCAAAGGTTTCGCCACTTCTTTGGCCATTGTGATCTCCTGCGTTTCTTCAATTTATATCTTCGGCTTCCATTTGACGGCGCAATTCACCTTAGGGGCGCTCTTTGTGATATTCTCGATATTTTTGTACGGTCACCAGCCAAAGAAAGTGGTTGGGTCTTTGCACAAAGTTTGAGAGAATGATGGTGTGTCGTTTTTTATAAAAGGTAAGTGCTGTTTGAAATACATGCCTACATTTATAGTTTTATGTTCAAGTTGAAGCAAGTGGTCAGTATATGAAACTTCATTAAAAAAGAAAACATGAATTACATATTCAAATAATGACTATGCGGTGTTGAAAAATACCTAGACAAATTTACTCAATGTCGGTTGACATTGATAGTTTGGATTTTAACAAAAATTATCTTCAATATTTTAAGTCTCTTTTCCTTGTAGAACAAGGTATTTTAAGCTTTGAGAGAATAAACTGGCTATAGAAACGACTAAAGTGTATTCAAATCTCCGAATATTATTTACTTCCTGCCAAAACAAATACATGTGCCTGCAGTTTAAATTGGCGTGCTTCTTTTGTCTAGCGCACCATAAATGCCCAGCCAGGCAGCGACCAGCATTGGAGTGCTCATGTTTGTTTTGACGTCGAGTAAATTAGGTTTGAATAGACTAAAGTTTCCTCCCCCCCAGATTGCTCGACAGTTGGAGTATCATGTTGAATGTAATTTTTTTTTGTGTATTGGCACGACGTGGAATTTTGAGATTATTGTGATAACGTATTGTTGCTACCAAGTTTTCCCTGAAAGGTTAGTGATTGAGGCGTATACGAAATTTGAAACATGGCAGCATATTTTTTTGATTGTGCAATTTTTAACTCCCAGTTTGATTATACTTTATAAAAGTAGTATTTTATGATATGGATTTTTTTATAGATGCAGGAAAAACATTTCCTGATAACATTTTATACATATATGTAGCTGTAAATATATTGTAGAAAATGTTAAGATCTGTAATATTTTTCATGCCAGTAACCTTTGTTAAGATAAAAGTATTACCTTACTTTATAATTTCTTGTGCACAGTACTTAAAAATCTCATTATTAGTGATTGAATATCTCAATCTCAATTGGTTAACGTATTCTACCTGAAGAAAGCCAACCTAATACTATACTCCACGTCCGAGAAATTATCCGAGATGAAATGAGATCCCGTAGCGTCATCTACGGGAATTTGTTTCTGCTCTCCAGAATAATCTACTTTGAGTCAGTTACTATCTCATAGATGAACGTAATGCTTTATGAACTGATGACGTTGTTGCGTAGGACGTGCAGAGGCAACCTACTTGATGCCATTTTTATGTGCAGTATTATTTTTTATCACTCCTATAATCTTATATTGTTTTATAATAATTACTGAAACCTGTGTTCTGACGTTTCATATCTGCTAGGCTGACATGAATAAAAGTTATTATTATTATGGTTCACTATACCGACATCTATGAGACGCTAAGCTTTTCAAAGTAGATAGCTAGTTATTGCAGAGAGGAGAAACTTAGCTATGAGAAATTCTCGTAGATGACGCTACGGTATCTCGTTTCATCTCACATAATTTTTCGGTCGCGCGAATTTAGCATTAGGTTGCTATCTTCGGTAGAATACTGCAATCAATTTTTGTACGGATTATATTTCTTATTGGGCGAACATTTGTGAAATCGTCTCCTATAATTTTAATAGGATCTATACTATGTATTTTTGTTATGCTTTTTAAAATATATTTCTTTTATTTCGCACTATGAACTTTATTCAGTTTCTCGAGTTATCCACATGAATACTGTAAATGTTTCCACAAAAAAAAAAAAATAATAATCGACCAGTGGTACTTTCTCAAAAATGTACTTTAAAGCTTTGGTTGTTTTGCCTGTGGGTAAGGTGCATTATAACGTTTCACTTTACAGCTTTGTATGAGCACGATCAACAATTAGTAATCTTGCAGTTTTTGATCAATATTCGAAGCAGTAGATCAACTGGGCCAGGTATATTCTGCTTACATTGATTTTTCCAAGAATTATGTGTTGATCCAAACTCTTCTTATGCCTTCATAGTTCTTTCTTGAACCTGCTGAAATCTTATCTCCATCAGAGACGGCACCATGTTTATATTAATTCAACATCTGGCTATGTTTCTACTAGTGGAGCACCTGTAAAAATGCATGCGTCCATTGCATGCCTAGAAGAGAGAACAGATCAGCGTTTTACATGACTGGTGTCTTAGAAACCAACTGCATTTAAGTATCTCCAAATGTAGAATAGTAACATTCAGCCATCGTTGCTCCATACTATATCCTTATTCAATTAAAGCACTGACCCAGAAATCAAGTCATTTGTTTTGATATTCGATTCGCACAATGATCAAATTGTTATGAATTCCTTTCGATCATCAGGTTTTGTCATTTTACTGATTTGTCGGCACAAATTTTATTGTATTCTAGTTTAGTCCGGCCAAAATTAGAATAATTACTAGTATGGAACCTAATTTACAATATTTATCGAAAAGGTTTTTATTTAAGTTCGCGAAAACGCTGGAATACTTCTCGTCTTGTCGATAGGGGAATAAGTACCCGACCAGATGGCGGAAGCAGTCGTTTTTTGAATGAGTCTTGACAAAACGCAATTTCTAACTATATTTTGAATAGCATCTAGGCAATAAAACCACAGTGTGCAAACATTTTTCTACCAACTTTAATAAACACCTATAAATTGATAAATACATGTATATGTATATTACACAATAAGTTCAGTCTAAACAAAAAAAACATCGCTCAGTATGCGATGCACCTGTCAGGATCATGTCCAAGCTTCTCAAGGTTCGGCATACAGGCGAATTTTATCATTGGTGGAGGGCCGCACATCAACGTCAAGGTATCTGAAGTTGCCGGGTATAAATGCTCCTTTATCATGTCTTCATTTATGAAACCCTGGCTGTACTGCCATCCTGGAAAAATATTTTTCTTAAAAAATAGCAATGTATTTGTAACGGATTGATTAATCTAGAGAGGCTCTTTTTTCAAACGTGTAAAGAGTAAAAACAGTCGACTGTGTCGAGCTATCTTTGTTAACAAACAAAAGAATCACTCATAACTTTTTCGAAAATTATTATATAATTAATTTTCCATATTTTAGCCCTGAGTTCGATTATAAGATGGTTAATTTTGGAATTTGAATTTTCTATGTCGATTACTCGACTCACGGGACTCTTATCCATGTACGTTCAGCTCCAAAGGAAAAAATCTGTAGGGGTTAAATGATCCACTAGCGTATACACCCTGAAGACGCAAAATTAAAATATGTATTAGAAAGGTGTCAAAAAAGATTGAAGATTCTAACGCCATCTATGAGACCGCAGCAGTACCAAACAATCTAACTCTTCAAATTCATTTTTGTGTTCTGCTACTATCTCGTAAATGGCGTTAGTACCGTTCAGCTCTCTTGGGCATTGGAATTTCTATCAAGTATGTGTAATACAGAAATCGATGATTTCAGACAGCAAGTAGTGTAGTAGAATTGTGCGATAATTGTCGCCAAATACCACTCGAAATGTTAGGACGCGCCATCGAAAATTGGAATTACAGAAAGAACCACATTGACCGTAGTAACAGGTGACATTTACAATGAATAACTTTCAAAAACTGAGTATCAGGAACGACTCTTGCCTTTGACAATAATGATGACACGATAAGGTCGCTTGTCTCTATATACGATTTCTATGAACATGAATTACCCATTACTTCAAGAAACTGGAGAAACACTGGTGGTTATAGTATAGTATGAATAGTAGCAAGAGTATTACGAAAAGGAGAACAACTTGAGAGAAAAGAAAAATGGACGCCCGCGGGATTCGAACCCACATCTCTTCCATTCCGTGAAGCCGACCTAACCAAGTCCGATCTAATTAGTCTACAGTTCCAGCTGCCAACCAACTTTCATGATCGACTGTTAGAGGCAAATTCAATCTCAGCCACTCCGCAGTTTCTTTGTTCTTTCAAGCTGCTTGACGCTTTATTTACCGGCGTTCAAGTGAAACAAACCGGATTGTTAAGGTACCTCCAATCGCTTTATAGTTGCACCACGCCGCCTCGTGGGCACTCACCACGGTACCACCGTTCGAAGACAGAAGTATGTTTTTCTGATGAGCAAGTGTGTATGATGAACAACAATATTGGAGATACCTTACCAGTCCGGTACCAGAATGTTGCCAGATGTGGCATCAAATAGCTTGAAACAACAAAGGAACAGTGGCGTCAGTATGTTTGAATTTGAACAGTCGATTCTGAAAGTTGGTTTGCAACTGGTGCTGTAGACTAATTGGTTAGGTCAACTCCACGGAATGAAGCCAAGTTGTTGTTTAAACATACTCGTAAACAGATTAAGAGGTTTCTCTTAGATCTTGTAAGACTTATTTACCTTCTTCAGCTTTATCTAGTGTGTACCAGAACTTGAACCTGCCTGGAAACTTCTTTGCTACATCTTCTAACTCGTCTCTCAGCAAGATATCCCTTTCTGTCTGGTTAGCAAATAATAGCGCCATCTTTGTCTTGTCATTTGAATCTTTCACTGTAAACAAAACAATATTCTGAAAAACGAAAAACCTTTTTTTTGTTTTTGAGAATTCGTCAAGTTACAGCATTTTTGATCTTTTATAAGCTGAAAACTACCATCTAAATATTGATCGACCAGCCAAAGATTGCTAGGGACGAAAGGGGGAAATGCGATGAAAAAACCTTACCATTAGACGATTTTATATGGAGTCATAGGCGGAGATCGGAGAGACTTGAATTATTAATTGAATTTATATTTTATTACAACTGGTAGTATTAATATTTTTTTGCGATTCATAATGACGTGATACCAAACATACATTATAAGAAATAAATATACACAAACACTGAATATTGAGAACAAAATAAATATATTTTTTAGGCAACAAGTAATATTCCTATGTACGCATTATGATTGAACAGCAAAACAAATTATGCATTCTTCTAAAATAGAATACAACAAGTCAAAAATATCTGACTGAATAGAAAAATATAGGAAAACAAAAAGTAATTTCTTGATGAAATAACCCATAAACAACACATAGAATTAGACTTTCTACTGAGATACTAAAAGCCACAAACCAATAGTATAATAAATGAATATCTAAAAATTCTAAAAGGTAGCCAATCTAGTATAGTTTCAATCCTGATTAGAGTCATGATCACTGTCTGAGGAACTGTCATTGCTATCACTTTCACCTCCTATGTTGATTATTATTTCTTCCTGTATTTCTTGAATGAGACTGTCTTTTTCCCAATATTCATCTTCAATTTTTATAACATGTCCAATAACCTTTTGCCAGTCACTGGCACTTACTGAAGCGATGGCCTTATTAGAAATTTCATCTAGTTTTTTTATAGTAAATTCGCCGCTTGTATTATGGCTTCTAATGAAAAATTTTACTTGTGCCCAAATCATCTCTATGGGATTAAACTGACACATATAGGGTGGCGTTCGAAGTGGGGTGTGTCCGAAACTTCTTATTAAATTATCTATCTTATAATTTTTCTCATCAGATGGTGGCCTATGTAGACAAGCTATTTCATAAAGCTCCATTTTTTTAGCATTAGGATCATGCTCTATACCTTTTTTGCTCAACCACGTGATGATGTCTCTTTTTAGAGAAGATCTAGTTGGAGGCTTGTCTTCCAAAGCTGAATGGTAAGGTGCATTATCCATTATTATAATACTATTAGGAGGAATGTTAGGAAATAGTTTTTCAGTAAGCCACTTCGTGAAATTTTCTTGGTTCATTTGACCGTGATAATCACCAGTGGCACAGCCAGCCTTGAAAATGAGACAGGCTCCAGGAACAAAACCATCTTGCGAACCCGCATGAACAATTATAAGTCGTCCTGGAAATGAATAAATAGCCTCATTTTAGTGTTATTTTAAGTTTGCCAACACCTTTTTGAATCACTATGTATAAAAAACATATTTTTGAGAAAAAAATACTTGCAAGGGATTATGTATTCAATTAGACAAATTAAATGAGCACTTATTAAGAATATTCCAAAATTGAGAAAAATGTATAATAAGCAAAATCGAGGTGAAAGAAACTTTATTACCTGTAGAACTTATATTGCTCAGGACACCCATAATTTCTTCGCTTTGCCAGCATTTCTTGAAAGTGAGGTCATTATCAACCCAAGTTTCGTCCAAATAAATAATATGCCTTCCTTCTTCCCGGAACTTTTTAATAGACCTAAGATACTTGTATCGCCAATGTAAAATACTGGGTCTTTCCATTAGTAATTTCCTTTTGTTGTGGCATTTACGCCAGTAAAATCCTTTTGCTTTTAAAAGCAGCCTCAACGATTCTTTACCAAATGGAAATTCCATTTCTTCCTTCAGTTTGATTAGAAGTTTACTACAAGTAGGTACCACTTTAAAATCACAGTAAAATTTTTCTATCATTCTCCGAATAATGGAAAAATCGACTCCATCAATTTTTTGGATCACAGAAGGGCGTGATCTCTTTTTTCCGGGAGAAGCTAAAGGCTGTGTGGAGGTTGCATTTTGCCTGTCTTTATCTTCTTTTCTAATTTTACTTATAGTTCGTTCACTAACACCCGTATAATATGCCGCCCTTGCATTTCTAGCTACCAGTGGATAAACGAAAGTATTGTTAGCCGCTTCTGCATCGCAAGCACGTATCACGTTTGCTATTATTTCCCTTGCCTGGCTGTGAATAACTTTCCCATGCTTGAATTCCATTATCACCACTAAACAGTAAATTATATTTTCAAAGTATTTGCCAACTGCCTACGCCTATGGGAGTAGGTTTATAAATGACCGTGCCATCGGCACGTTATTCTAGTTTCAGATAAGATAAGAGTTTTGGACCAATCAGCGACCGGATTGTGTTTACCTGCGGCCTGGGTTTTCCAGCTACATTGCCAAATTCAGCGGAACAATTCTATATCTTAAATATGTTAATATGTATGGACCGCATTTTATGTAGAACATCTGACAACTTCGCAATTTTTTGTCCGCATTCTTTCGGCTTGCAATCTTTCGCTGGTCCAACAGTACATATTGTGAAGTTTAGATATTACGCCAACGATACAACATTTATAGGTTTTGAATATCGGTCTAGTGTCAGTGGTGACGGAAATGAGCGAAGGAAAATGTCCGAATGCGTTTGCATATTTCTTGGGTACTGATGATTTTGAACCAAAGTCAAATAACATTTTTTACGTAATTATGTTACGACAGATCTCCTTACCAGCATGTCTGATCAGCTGCAATATAGGGGTGATTCCCACTCCTCCAGCTATGAGGTTAACCTTACTGGCCTTGTATATGATTGGAGGATCTTTTCTAAGCTTTTTCACAGCAAACGTCCCAGGTCCTGTGTATTGAATTCGGCCAGAGGGCCCGCGAAATGTCAAAGTGTCACCCAGTTTCAGGGATTCTAAATACTGTGTCATCTTGCCACCGTCTGGGAATTTCGGATGGACGTTTTTGAAGTAGACCTTCAAGATAAATGTTGATCAGTGATTGTTCCTGACGAAAAATCCATATCATCACAAATATAGCATTCGAGTGACTTTATTTGGAGTTTGATTCACTATTGGCATTGGCAAAATCACAGAAACCGTGCTAAGCTGAGGGAGAAGAGGGCAATGGATTTTTTTTATACTCCGACTACCACAAAGGCCTAAACACCCATTGGTTACCGTGGGGCTAACAAATATAGCATATACTGTGTTGTCTGGTAGATAAAAACAAAACCTGTGGCATTCTAGTTTGGGTGATGCAGACTAGGCGCTGGATGGAATTGAGTTTGCAAAATGTGAGGACCCCACTCAAATATATACAAAAAAGTTTTTATCGCTTCAAATATTTTTTTGATGTTTCGGATCATTCCGGTCCTCAGGAACTTACTCTAAAGTTAGTTGTTTTCGAGCTACAGGCCATTCATCGCCTGAAAAGCCCTAAAAATGATTAAAAACTCTGTTAGTAACTATTATTTTTGAGGTTGCCATGTATCTAAATTAAAGCTAAATTCTTTCCCTACAAGACTCCGAAGAGTATTTCAAGATAAATTTATTTTAAATGGATTTTTAAGCTAGTTTGTTGGTCCAAAATTGGCGATTTTTTGATTTTCGCAGACTATACATGCCTCCATTAATTTAAAGTAGAATCCAATAGCTTGTTCATAGCAAAGAGCTTCGGCAACCTTTTTAAATATACAAGGCGCCCTAAATATCATGAGAAGGTTATCTTCATCAATTAGAAAAGCGTTGTATGAACTTATATCCAATTACGGACGATTTTTGAGTTATCACCATTTTGAAGAATTTGTAGAAAATCGTTATTTTTGTCTAGGCGATGGACGGAATCGAGATTGCAAAATGTGGGAACCGCCACTTTATGAACAGATATCAGATGAAAATAGGTCATGAAATCGACTTTTTGGTCCCCCCTCTCCCCTTCTTAAGTATAAACGAAAACAGGTGGAGTACATGTTATGGAGTGACTCAAATAGTTATTTTAATCAACTTATATTTTCTCATAAAGACGTTTTATTTTGTATCAGCCGTTACGCGCGACTTCGTACGCCGTAAGCTGTTACTAACACAAAACTTTGTTTTTAAGTGAACTTCCGATTACATTTTGTACCTTAGATGACATTACTAAATTGACATCCAACTTGAATGCTTGGTCGTGGTGCCACCTAAACGTCCAGTGGGTGAAACCTTGGGGATAATTATTATAGAAATGAATATTATTGAATTCAGCACACATACTCGAATTATCAAAATAACTGCTTTAGCAACAAATTACATTCCAAAAATCCACTCCAGTCTGCAATGCGTATTAAGATTTAAAAAGCACTATGAAAGCAAATGAACAATCACACAACTACAAAAATCCCTTCTAACTTCTAACCTTTGATGAAGGTGTCATGTTCCCTTTAGTAACTTCAGCAGGAGATTCAGCCTGTATTAAAGAATGGGTCAAGCAATTGGACAATGGGAACATACTATTTTTATGACTATGAACTCAAAGTCAATAATTACCTTGATGACAAAGTCAACAAAACCATGATCATCATCTGAAGATACAGGCGTGTACGACCTGATGACCAAGTCGTCATCTATTTTTGCAATCAACTGAACATGCTGCCCAATTGGGAGACCTGCAATCAACAAAACAATAAAACTATTTCTATCAAGATTTGGAAAATACATACTTTACAATTGTGAGATTTACAAATGCTTTTTAAATGCCACTGCTATGAGAGTGCAATTTGTACCTAAACATGTGTTTGCTGAATCTGGTGGTAATGGAATAAGTTAACTGCTGACACGTTTTTGAAGGTCACTATAGACAATTGCAGTATCTCTATCATCTTGTAAATGTATTTATATTTTGACAGAGGTTGTGAATGTTTTTGTAAGCATTCTATTTCTGAACTTATCAGGCTATTATATTTTATCAGAATGACGAAACATTTTTGAAAAAAGTTCATATCAACTGTTACGACAGTTGATTTGTGAATGTTTAACAGATTGTGACTTCATGACAGACATATTCATAAACATGAGATATCTTGTTTACTATATTTTGCAGCAAGATACTAAAAAGAATGTAATTGCTTACATACAGTTTTCAATACAAATATGAAACTTACCAAGAACCATATCTTTTTCAGGAAGGGCAAACCTGTATCTCCTTGTATCATGGTTAAAATGCTCAATTTCTGCTAGAGGTAAATCATATTTTTCTTGAGGGTCTTTAAGAAGGATTTTCTTGGATTTGCCTAAAAAATAGGAGATGAAGCATTGATTTAAATCAAATAAGCTATCTAGCACTACCTTTTTTGGAAGATGTGTTTGCAAAGTAAAGCTTGTATATAACTACTGTTGTTACTACTATGCCTACAGCAATAGAAATCTGTAAGACCTAAAAAATAAGCATGTATTGGTAGAAAATCACTTTGGAGTTTTTTTTTGTATCTAGGGTGATTCAAAAAACAGTGGCGGTATTTCTAAAACATAAAGTGGCTAGAACAATAAAAAACAAAAAAACAAACAAAGTTCATAAATATGCACATGGGTTCACAAATATCCCTTTACCAAGATATGATTTTCAAAAACTACAAAGCTGAACTATACTTTAGCACATATCGTGAATATTTCATTTCTTATTTTAAAATGAAAGATTAGGATGTAAGTAGTATCAAAATATCATTTCTTTCTTCAAGGAAGCCCCTGCTTGCTTCAAAGTTGCATTTTGGGTCTTTGGGTAGTAATACTGTGGTATAGAATACTGCTTTATAAGCGGTTTTTTTCTTGTTTACACAAAATTATGCTCTAAATTATATGAATATAACATGTACTCTATATTACTGTGACAATATTCATCGCAATAATGCAATTTTGCATCATTTTAATGATGAAAATAGATCATTGTTAAGTAGTGATTTCTTTTATTGCTGATAAATATCCCCACCACTACACCATCATGACTATCACAGTTTCTCCATCTAGTTACTGTTGCACCCACATTACAATTTGATTTTATTTGTCAATATCTTACATCCTAGGGCAGAAATGTGCAATCGGCACAGGATTGCCATGAAAATGCGATTTGGAGGTGTGGCCGGCAAGTTTTGCTGTACTAAATCTACCTCCTGCCCTACGATAGCATTAGCTAAAGGTACTTTTTTGAAGAATGCCGTATGCCTTTCACAAAAATACTTGTGTTATTTTTTCCTATATAATAGCTATAATTCATTTACTATTTTGTATGTATGTATGTACTTGAAGAATTATTTAGAGTGAAGCTGATGCCACAAAATATACCTAATTAAATGTTATATATAAGAAAATTTACTGAACAGTAGATGTTGCCAGTTATTAAAAGAATGAAAACATAACAATGACAAATATTGAAGTAAAAAAAAAGAGATTATAGAACGTGTGTTATTGAATAAGGTTTTTGATGATTTGAGGAAATGGTCGTTGATCATTATTCAACTATAATGTTGGACGACAATATGTTGGTCGGACCTGGCGATCTGGTCCAAATCGTCAAATCTGAGTTTGGTAAGTGCAATTATAACCGAGGTCGCAACGTCAAAGGCCAGTGGGTACTAGGAATGATGAAAAATCGTGAAGGGAAAATGTCAGGAGGGTGGGGAGAGAAATGCCGAGCCGCTTATCCCCATAATCCAACGATATACCCGTCCTGGATCTGGATATCTTTGGCGTAGACACTGCCGCGTTCGCGGAATTGATTTTTCGCGATCTTATTAGAAGCAAGTAGGGTTGAATGTTCGATGTAAATGCTTCTAATAAAAAGGACAAAAATCGTTTTCAAAGCGTGCCTTTTGTATTTTTTATGTGATGCGAGCCTCTGGTGAATTTTCCACTGTGTATGCACATACTGTTAAAAATTTCATCTAATTTTCAGTAAATATTGGGACAACTTGTTATAAAACAAGCCATTTACAATTAGGACTTTTTTTTGCAAATCATCTCATTTTTTTTTATTATGCAATTCTTACAAAAAAAAGTACAATTTGGCAAAAATGGACAGCATTAGTCTTATCTGTCAAGAAATGAACATTATAAAATGGACATTGAAAATTGTATCCACTTACAAACATTTTTATAAATGCAAAAACTTTGATCTCATAGAAAATACGTGAAACAAATAGTTTAGGAATTTCAAGAGGACATTGAAAAATCACAACGCAACACCTCTACATAGTTGACCAAGTAAATACCATCATTTACCATATGTATTTTGAACTGTTATTTAAGCTTATTGCACACTAGTTTTAAACCTTTTTTTTTTTTGCGAAAAAAAAGATTTTGTTTAGTTTCACGTCTATTTTTCTTACCATTCTTTGCCCTTGGCATAATAGTAACATTGTGTGAAAATTTCATCCAAATCTAAGCTGTATTTTCCAAGTTATAAATTAGCAAACAGACAGACAGAAATGAGTGACATGGTTTTTCATGATGTGCATGTCATGTAACATTCAAAATATATATCCAAATATCTTATTTTCGAAAATTTTCTCAATTATAACACTTCATCAGTAGGAGTGGGAATTAAAAGATAACTGCTGCTGACTTTTTTGTAACAATTATTGCATGACGGCCTTTTGAAGAAAAATTGGTTTAAATGTCAGAGAGAAATCTATATAAAAAACTACAATCCATTCTACTTTGAAAATATACTGCAGTTATTAGAATAATCCTAACTCACAGTAGCATGATCTGAACAATATTCATTGTTTGTCCTTATTTAGTCTTATCAATGAGGTACACAATTACAATATCCTCTATCATTTTAAGGCATATATGTCTATAAAAACTTTTTTCCTTTTTCTGGATGTACTTTCTACTCTAGTATATAATGCCATTGTTTTTTGAATAATCATTCCTTTTATACAGATGCAGTCACATATGCTTACTTAAAGTACTAGGACACAGCCCAATCAAAACTTTACCACCTCTGCAAAAATTGCAGTATGGTGCAACAAGAGATCTTATAAGTAATTTTATGATCGCCAATATTTATCAACAAATTGAAATATTTGATGAATATTAATGACTTCTATTGTTTATTTAGTAAAACTTCAATGTTTATCTACTAAACATACCTGTGTGCTATCTTCTACCTGAGTCTGATTCATTTTTTATCAGATAAAGATCATTCACGTTGCACGAATTGTGAGAAAAACATTCTATTCAACATTTAACTTAATTTAACCTTCACAAATACTCGGTAATGACTGTATACACGTAGAGTATAGCATGTAGCCGAACAAATTGTGTATAATTACCATATTGAACAAAACAAAAATCTGTTATCTGGTGAAACGTACGTATTTATATACGTTCCCCGTTATCTTTATTTTCAATTGGAGTACTTACGTGGTTTGTTACGGTTGCGATCACCATTTTAGCGACTGTATATCAGGTTTCTTCGTAGGAAAATGGAAAACTTTTCCAAGATTTATATTTCATTTGTGACCTGGATATTTTTTGGGTTAACCGGTAGCCCCAAGAATTTTAAAATTAGACAATTATACTGCTCTCATTAGCAGGTGTGTACATTTATTTTTGTTGTGCGGAGCGTCTGGGACACTTGCTTAGCGGTAGCTCAATTAGATTTTTCTATATTACTATTTTCAGCTATTTTTATAATTTTTGATTTTATCAACATCGCCTATTCATATTCACTATTCCGACTTCTCGACTTCTGTCATGTGATGTGCCGATCTGTCAAATCAGGTGACAGTCTGATAGTTCATTTGTTCATTATATATGTATAGATGCCGCTGTGGCTCTATGCCACTATGCCAGCGACATCTATTAGGCAAATTCTTAATGATTGACTGCTCCTGATTTCGGTATTATATCGTGAGTTCGCATAGTAACAACCAGTAACGTGTATCGGCGACATCTATAGGGTAAAAACAAAATCGTTCTATTCCTCAAATTAGGTTTCTGTTTCGGAGTTCAAAAATCTCTCATAGAGTCATAGATGCCACGGCCTCAATCATTTTTAACTTATAGATTATAAGGTTACGTTTATCTATTACTTCACGAATGAAAGAATAAAGAATATTTTCAAACATGAGTGTGGAAGTGGTTCGAAAAGATCCCTCTGATCATCCTAGTTGCACTCACGGTCCGACCTTATTGTTTCTGAAGCATGTCGGTTCCTCAAAAGAACGTTTTTATGCGTGCTCTGCATGTCGGTCACGAAAGGACTGCAGTTTTTACCTTCCAGAAAGCAATATACGCAAATACAACAAAAATAAATGGAAAGAGAGGCAGAAACAATTTGTATCAGCAGTAAATCATCATGACAAGTTAGCTGTTTTGAGAGAGATTCGAAGTCTACCTAGTCAACAGCGTTTGTTGTGCTATAGTTGTGATACGCTACTGAAAATAAGCGAAAAGGGAAAACATGATGGACACAGCCTTTTAGAAACTATCTCAGATCATCAGCTTGATCATCCTTTGGAGATTTTGCCAGCTTTAGAACAAGATGAAAAAGAAGCGCAGTATCTGTTCTCACAAGCTTCGGTTGATACTATAGTCAGTATTTTCAAGAATCTAGGATTAAGGTAGATATTTTACAGATGTGATGTATCTAGAACCCTTTCTAAGTATATCAGGCAGCCTAGACACTATTTCAATTCAGTATTTGTACATATATTTGAAACAGTGCATAGTGTTGCTACATCTTTAGTTGATATTTCACAATCCTACTTTTGATACTTCTTTGCTGTTTCTAGTAATATCATCTGCATTGGAACTCCAAAAATACATGAACATATCCAAAATAATTGTGAGGATATGTCTAGTATACTTCTTGACTTTGATAAAAGATTCCACAACTTCTATCCTCCAACACAGTTTGGTTGGTATAACTTATTCAATCATCATTTTTTTCTGCAAGAAGCCAAAGAAGTGTTTGAGGAATACTTGAAGTTACATAGGTATGTTTAGGTTTTGAAATTATGGATACATAGTATTCCAATTGAGAGTTTGGGGTAATAAAGTATCTGAGCCATGTTTGAATAAGATAACCACATTTTCATCAAAAACCATGGTGATTATTGACTCTAAGCAAGTAACTTCATGACCAAATAAATTCAACTGTGTGGCTTATGACCTTCAGTCTTCAGAAACAATTTTTTTGAATTAGATAATGACAACCCAGTTCTGATGTAAAAGCAAACATTTTTATGGCTCCATATCAGTCAAGAAAAAGAACTTCAGCATATAAAGACCAGAGATGCTCTCAAATTGAGGTGTCTAATAATAAGACCCAAATTATGTGCTAAAAGAACAAACCATTTATAAGTAACCCTTGAAGTAAAACTTTCTTTCAAAATAAGGCACCAAGCCACTGTATGTTCAAAAATGAATTTATTTTAAGAAAAAATGGTTATACTTTTTTATTCTGTTGTCACCAAATCTTTATTCTTCAAAATGTAATTATATTTTGCATTACTTCAATCAAAATTAAGCAAGAAATGTGATTTCAGGATTTACATAAAACATAACTTTAGATTTCTCTAAATAAGGTCAATGAGGCTTAAGTGCCTTATTGCCCCAACCTCCTCAATTTGTATTGCAAGGCTTACATTTTTAGCAATGTCACTCTGATAATGGATCCACCATTTGGTGGTCGCCTAGAACCAATAAGTATCAGTCTAGAAACCATCTCTAAAAGTTTACAAAAATACCATGGTGAAGAACATAACTTGTTAATATTTCTCATACTCCCTTATTTCATGGAGCCTCATGTTTCAAACTACATACCTGAACTCAAAATATGTGATTATAAAGTGGAATATAAGAATCACAGTGACTTCCAAAATGGGCCTGAGGGTAAAAAGTATGGATCTATAGTGAGAATTTTCACAAATGCAGAGCTCAGGTATAGGTTTTTTATCATATTATTATGATGTTATTTAGAACTAAAAGTTAGGTTTGCATATTTTTCAGCTTGGTGAAATTGCCAGAATATGGGTACAAATATTGTAAACCTTGCAATAAATGGGTGAGCAAAGAGAACACTCATTGTGCAAAGTGTAATAATTGCACATCAAAAAATGGCTCCACCTACAAACACTGTTCATTATGCAAGAGATGCGTCAAATCAACTTGGCAACATTGCAAACAGTGCAAAAGATGTGCTCTTGTTGACCATACCTGTAAGGAGTTGGAATTTACAAGGGTAAGGAAGTTTTCATTTTCATTTAAGAATAGCTGTTCTTGGGTAACATCGTTATCGTCTTACCCATCGTGATTTTCCGTCTGATAACCCGTCATCATTGAGCGACATGATTACCTGTCCCGTCATTGTCCAACATTTGACGTGATTGCTCGCCGTGATATGGAGCCAATGATGACGGGAAATCACGAGAGCTAAGCTCGTCGGGCAATCACGAAAAATTATCACATCGGGCAATTATGTCGGTTAATCGCCACTGCTAATCAACAGTCATTCACGACGAATGATCACGTCGGACGATCATGACGATTAATCACCACTGCTAAACAGCGTGTATTCACGACGATCAATCACGAGAAATAATGTCGGACAATTACGACGTTTAATCACGTCAGACAATCATGACGGTTAATCAGCATGGCTGATCAACGGTAAATCACGACGGGCAAACACCAAGGGAAATCACGACGGTCTTTCTGGCCAGACTTTCTGGGAGCATAAAGCCATATCAGTTATTAAATATTAGCATTATACAGGGTGTCCGCAAAGTTGGGGTTTTCCTTTACACGACGTGTAGATCTTGAAAACATAAGCAATTTTTCTTAGTACCATATACACCAATGTCTTAAGGGAACCGAGATAAAGGGCTCTGCAACATCAAAAATATCTGAATACCGTCCTGTAGCCGCGACATCCCCGATGGGTACTAGGACACTAGCTCAACCCGACGACAGAACTGGGTCGGGGTCAGTGTGTCAGGTCAGTATGCAATCTTCAACCGACGGTTACGGTCACGCGTGTAGAGGTGAACGAACCCGTATAATCGATTCCGTTGCAAAAAACAAGCACTAGAGACGTGGCTAGAGAAGATCAAGTATCAAAAACTAAAGTGTGACAAACACTGCGTGAAGAGGGGCTGTATCCGTTTCACGTCCAACGTGTACAAGCCCTTCAACCTGACGATTTTCCAGCAAGAGTGCGGTTTTGTGAGTGGTTGTTGCATCAACATGACAATAATCCGGACTTTTTGAAGTGCATATTGGTGACAGACGAATCTACGTTCTCGCGTAATGGGGTGAATAACTTTCGCAACACTCATGTTTGGTCAGTAGAAAATCCGCACGCTGTCCGTCGGGCACATTTTCAACAAACATTTTCGGTAAATGTTTGGGCTGGAATGGTGAACGGTATGCTCATTGGACCATTTATTCTCCCAAATCGATTGGACGGGATGCAATACCTAGACTTTTTACGCAACATTTTGCCTTCCTTGTTAGAAGATATGCCATTTAAGTGTAAGATAATCAATGTGGTTTCTGCACGATGGTCATATGTGTTACCTCTGTTCGTGGTCTGCACCATCGCCGGCGTCTGCTCGGTAGCGCATCAGCTGATTTCATTTTCTGTTGGAGCGGTATGATTTCGGGCAGAGACGTACTTAGCCCTTCTCGTCAACTGGAGAGTGAGTACTTTTTCCTTTATTTTTTTACTTGGTCGCCCTCGTTTCACTACACATTACCTTTGTTATTTCAAGGGTAGTTGTTTCTGAAAAGGAAAACCCCAACTTTGCGGACACCCTGTATACATATATTATCACTTACATTGTCTTTTTCAGAAATGTTTTCATTGTCAAGGAGAGGGACATAAAAGAGCTCAGTGTCCATTACTACTGTGTTCAGAAATAAGCGATGCTGAGATGAGAACAAAAGGTGGAAAACGTAAAAGGAAAGATACAAGTGAAATAGGGACAAAACGTAAAAAACGGACAAAGAAAATGAGGAAATCGTGATGTATTTTTATTTTAAGTACAGATCTGTGTTGAAAACAGAGTAGCATCAATAAATATAACAGAGAGTTCTAAATGTTGCTTGTTTTCTTAATGTGTCCCTAATATTGAAGATGCGGTACAAAATCCTTTTACAGACAAGTGTTGTTTCTTAAACAACGAATGATCACCTCTCAACCTCTCTCGTAATTATTCTTAAGAAATTTCTTGAAATCCCATGATCATAGCAAGAGTTCGTAAGGTGACAATGTTAACACTTAAAGGCAGCAGTCAACACGTATATTGTTGTAAGCATAAGTTCTGGTGAGTGTTTCATGAGCGCCTACAGGAATTTTTCTCGGGTGGCCGATCATCGACAAAAGATAACCTTTTCTGAAAGTTTACCTGATCTCAAAACTTTTTGAAGACCGGAGGTAGCAAACTTTCCCCATGGGCGAGAGGATATCGTCAAAATTATACACAAAATCATGCTAAATATGCAAATTTTTAGGCCCACTGGGGGCTCCCATGTGGGCGCTCGTGGTCTGTCAACGTTTTTTTTGTACTATTTCTCATAATTATTGCAAAAGTGACGTTAAAACTGAACAGCAACACTGAAATAATGTCCTAAAGCTGAAATTACAACATACAAAATATATTCCTGATATGATATTGCTTCCTAATTTTCGTCTTCATATTCATTCGTTATGCTGAATATCACCATTTGCAACAGGTCCAGACCAGTTTCTTCTTCCAAACATTTTGACATTGCACATGAGTCGTAATGTCAAAAAGTACAATATTTCCACCAATGACAGCACTGAAAATCCGGTGAAGAGGCCAAGAATGCCTCCGCAGTTGGCCAGAAAATCCGTCTGGCCAAAAAGCTCGTTACGTTCTGAGGTGATGAACTGTTGTTCTTTGAAGAATAGTGTCACTCTTGTGAATTGGACACTGAAATGGGAAAGGCGAGTTTGTATCGATTTTTATACAGGTTGATTCAAAGAACAGTGGCAATATTCCTAGTCTTAAGGCAGAAACTTACTATAAGCATAATCCTAAAAACATATAGTAGATAAGTAGATAAAGTTTCAGTTAGAAATAGCGTATGTGTAGGTACATAAGTAATGTATGAAAAATTGGCGGAAGTCTGATTTTTTTGAAAAACGGTGAATGTCATTTGATTTGAAAAATGTTTCTTGAAAACATGGTGGAGGTGTGTTTTTTAAGTGACGAATGTATTTATGATTTAAAAAATGGTTCATGTTTGTTTTTAGAAAAATGGTGGATGAAGCCTAACTTTTGGAAAATGGTTGCAGTGATCTAATTTCTGATGGCTCATGAGGTTTTCTTTAGAAAAATGATTGAAAATTCTAATTGAAAAAAAAAATTAAATGGTCAATACGGTTTAACTGAAAACTAATTTACGTGCGAGGTTTTTTAAATGGTGGATGCGGCCTGATTTTTGAAACATCTTATTTTTGAAAAAAAAAATGGTGTATGAGGTCTAATTTTGGAAATATGGAGAAGAATGCTTTTCAAAAGGTAGACGCGCCATGATTTTTGGAAACATGTGAATAAAGTTCGTTTCTTAGAAAATTGATGTATGGATGGATGCATGAGGCATAATTTTAGAAAAAAGGTGGATGAGGTCTAATTTTTGAAAAAATGCTAGATGAGGTATAATTTTGAAAAATTGTGGATGTCTAATTAAAAAAAGTGGAGGATTAGGTAAAACTTTTGAAAACATTGTGGATGAGATGTAATTAATGAAAAAATGGTGGATGAGGTCAGATTTTTGAGCATATGGCGGAAGAGGTTTCTTTAAATGGTGGATGCGGCCTGATTTTTGCATGTACAATCTTTTTTTTATAGAAAAAAATGGTGAATGAAAAATTGCGGATGATGTCTTATATTTGAAAAAAAATGAGGATGAGGTCTAATTTTGGAAATATGGCGAAGGCTTTTCAAATGGTGGACGCGCTATGATTTTTGAAAAAATGTGAATAAAGTTTGTATTTTAGAAAAATGATGGACGAGGTCTAATTTTTGGAAAAAAATGTGCATGAGGCCTAATTTTGGAAAAAAGGTGGATAAGGTCTAATTTTTGAAAAAATGCTGGATGAGGTATAATTTTGAAAAAAGGTGGATAAGGTCCAATTTATGAATCATTTTGGATGTCTAATATAAGAAAAGGAGGGTTGGTTTAAATTTTTGAAAACATTATGGATGCGATGTGATTATTCAAAAATGGTGGATGAGGTCAGATTTGTGGGCATATGGCGGAAGAGGTTTATTTAAATGGTGGATGCAGACTGATTTTTGAAAAAACGTGGTTTTAAATAAACAGTGAATGAGGTCTAATTTTTTGGGAGTATGGAGTAGGAGGTATTCCGTTTGTTTATTGAAAAACTGTAAATAGAGTTTGTCTTTAGAAGAATGGTGGATGAGGTCTAAGGGCTGTAACGTCAGTCATTCCTACAATTGTAGGAAGCCTTTATGGCCTACTTGATTTTCATAGTATTTTCTATCCCTCAGAAAGGCTGGGATATTTATTTATAGAGTTAACTATACTGTGTCAGCGTCAGCGCTCTCAGGCTATATAACAGATGATATAAATCATAAGCTTGAACAATTTGATGCAAATGGATATTTGTATCATAACCTCAAAATAGAGCGCTGACACCGAACAGTAGAAAAATAAATCAAGGAGGCAATAAAAGCGTCCTACAATTGTAGGAACGACTGACGATACGGCCCTAAGTTTTGAAAAACAAAGGTGCATGACGTTTTTTTTAAAAAATATTAATGTCTAAATTGGAAGAGGCGGCTTGAATGTTGGATGCGTCCTTTTCTAAACAATGATTAAACTTTGTTAGAAGAATGGTGGGATGATGACTAGATACTGAAAAAATGTGGATGACATATCATTTTTGAAGAAATAGTGCATGAGGTAACATTTTTGAGAATATGGCGCTGGAGGTTTCTTTAAGTGGTGGATCCGGCCTGATTTTCGGAAAACTTTTTCGAAAAACGGTGAATGAGTTCTCATTTTTGAGAATATGGAGGAGAAGGTTTTTTATATGATGGATTTGATCTAATTTTTGAAAAACTGATTTTTTTTAGAAGAATGGTGGATGATGTCCAAATTGTGGATGTGGTGTAATCTTTGAAATATGAAGGATGAGATATAATTTTGAAAAAAGTTGGATAGTCTTAGTTATGACAAATTGTGGGTGAAGCTTAATTTTTAAAAAATGGTGGATTACGTAAAATTTTTGAATACATTGTCGAGGCGGTGTATTTTTCCAAAAAATGGTGGACGAGGTCAAATTTCTGAGAATATGGCAGTGCCTTTAGATGGTGGATGCTGCGTGATTTTTGAAAAATCGCGCTTTGCTTATTAGATGAGGTCTACTTTTTCGAGAATATGGAGGAGGAGGTTTTTTAAATGACGTATTTGGTCTTATTATCGAAAAACTGTGAACGAACATTGTTTTTTAGAAGAATGGTGGATGAGGTCTAATTTTTGAAAAAAGTGGTGGATAAGGTCTAATTTATGAAAAAATGGTGTATGAAGTTTTTTTTGGAAAAAAAAATGGTGAAAGGTCTAATTTTGAAAATTGGAGGTTTTTTGAATGGTGGATGCGGTCTGATATTTGAAAACTGCTTATTTTGTTTTTTAGAAAAATCATATCTCGCGTTTGAGGGTTAAGGCTTTTTTAAATAGAAGATGCGGCCTGATTTTTGAAAATCTGATTGAAGGGTGTTATAACAATGGCGGATGAGGACTAATTTTTGAAAATACCGTGGATGAGGTGTAATTTAAAAAAAATGATGGATGAAGTAAGATTTTTGAGAATATGGCAGGGGAGGTTTCTTTAAATGATGGATGCGGGCTGATTTTTGAAAAATTGTGCTTAGTTTGCTTTTTATAAAAATGACGGGTGAGAGAACATTTTTGAGATAATGGTGGATGTTTCTTTAAATGGTGGTTGTGCCCTGATTTTAGATAATATATATTGTCTTTAAGAAAAATGGCGAACGAGGTCTAATTTTTGAAAAAATAATTCCTGAAGTTTGCTTTTTGGAAGAATAGTGTACGGGGCTTAATTTCTGGAAAAAGTGGTGGGTGAGTTATAACTCTTGAAAATATGGATTTTTGAAAGATGTTGGATGATCGATGGGGTTTATTTTTTAAAAGTGATGGATGTGGTCTTTGTTACGAAAAATGACGGATGAGGTGAAATATCTGAAAGTTTCTAGAAAAATGGTGGATGCGGTATGATTAAAAATACGCATGAAGTTTGTTTATTAGAAACGTGATGTACCTATAACTAACTATAAAAAAATGATGGATGATTTCTGGTTTTTGAAAAGTAGTGGACATCCTGATGATGAAACGTCTCTCACCCTGGAAATTCGCTAAAGTTGGCTCTGAACCCTTGAAACAGTTTCTGCCAATTGAAGTCTGCCTGCGACGTTTCGGCATTATAGACCAACGAGGTACAAGCTGGTAGGCAGTCACAGTCTGAAGTAGTCCTTTCGTGGGTCAGCGTGTCTACGTTCGAGATACCAGCTTCAACTTCTCTACTCAATAGCTCATCTAGAAAGAAGATTGATTGTAGAGTCGAATAATGATCATCATCAAATCTATGACTTGTTGCAACAAGAGGTGCAAGAGGTATATTGAGGAAGATCGAACTTACTTTGAGCGTCAAACATGCACACTTGACTTCCAGAACTGCAAATCTTTGTTCCTTCTTCATCTGAAATATGAAATATTTGATTTATAGAACTGGATATAACTGGGCAGGCCCTGGTCAGATTATGGGCGAATTCGCCATTTTCACATGAACTATCTGTGATACTATATTGTCCTCTCAGAACTTAAATTTTAAATATGTAACATTTTTTAAAATTTTCAATAGTACACCACTAAATTTTAGTTTCTCGAAAACAAAAATAGGTCTTTTCGGGTCTCCCGTCGATCTCGGTGCAAAATTAGGAACAGATGTGTGATCTATCCGCCACATTTACTCATGAAACAACTTTGATCGAAATTGCAGACGTATAAAAGTTTTCGTTTCACTAGTAGCTTTCCTGTACGATTTCAAAGTTTTTTGATGCAAAACTTTCATTTTTATCTCACAACCATGAAGCCTATACTCGTATACCAGAAGAAGCTACGGCGATGCTGTTTGTGCTGTAAAAACGACCCCCGAAACTTACGCCTGGAGCACCAGTGGTGCTCTGACAGAGCTGCCATGTTGAAGACTTTCCCCCAAATTTGAGGGATTTTTACTTGGGGAATTTTTAGTGTTATAATATTCTGGGAATTTTTTTAACAAAATTAGCAATTTTTAGGGACTTTGTACTCGTTCTGCTAAAATTTTTCTGACTCATGTGGCAACGGCAACGCTGTGCTTTGACAGATCCGTCATCATCAGCAAACAGATTTTTATTCGGCTCATTGTAAATTAACTCAATCATTTTTGCTTATTTCTTGTAAATCCTTGGTGTAAATAGTCGAAAATCTGTTGGAAATTGTTACTGTTATTTAGTTATTTATGAAGAACTGTTGAACAGACTCTATTTGTGCGGTGATGAACTGTTTAACAGTAACGTATTCATTGTTTGGAATTCCTGTTATTCTGCAAAATGCTGGTCAAAACTCAATCGTTTTTTCCAAAGGCCCACGAGAGAGATTTAGTTTAGTGTCAAACTGTGGTACCGCCACAAGTCAGTTTGAAATTAAAATGTGTCCTAACCTTACATACCTTACGCATGCGCAATAGTTGCTACACTCTTCGATCATGCGCCCTTAGGCGTCAAGTTTTGCTTTCGTTTTGTTTTTCATTTAGCTGGTTGTCCTGGTATGTAAGCTCCATGCATATAACCTTAGACAAGATTGCCAACCAAACTAATACGGTCTACATCTAGCTTTCCAGATTATCCCCCATTACCTGCTGTCGAAACGTATTTCTCGGCCGACAAAGTATAATTTTGCGCACTTAATTCACAAACAACTATTTTTCTCCATTACTTACGCGGCATATGATAGGCGACACATCCGCACCGTTCCAAAGTGAAATTGGCCAAACACTCCACTTGACAGTTCTGCTGCGTGTAGCTCTGGTAGTACGCTAGATGGCGCTCGCTTGGAAAGAAGCAGTTCCTGCGATGGGGATCGTACCCTCTCAGACCGTCTGAGGTTGTCATCATGTCGGGTTTGACAGCTACCACCACCTCTTGATTTAAAGGAGCGCGAAAATATTGCATGCCTACTCGGGGGATTTCCGCTGGGTTGTGCAGGAGGATCTGGAAGTAACAAACTGGTTTTTAATACCGGGTGTCCAGGATAACATATTAATCTCTATGCATATACGATGAGGTTCAAATTTGTCTGACGTCGTAATGTGCACGAGATAGAAGCGTGCAATATGTATGTTAGAAAGAGTGCGTCGATGGCGTCCGTGGCCTCGAACCCTGGTTGTTAGGCAACGAGGTGCTTCTATCTCTTTCTAACACACGTATTGCACGCTTCTCGCGCTTCTCGTACACATTACGACGTCAGTGGTATATGGTTTTCAGATCCTTTCGAGTAGGACCCAAATGCTTCTTTTTGATTCGTCGAATTTGCGACAATAATGCAAAACCTTCTTGTTGATTCGAGAAATTTGCGTCTGGGTCACAAATGTTGTACCCAGGTGCAAATGAAAAAATATTTGTCGTAGCTAAATCAGGTGATATATGAAGTATATCTTGAACCAAAGACAGCCAACCACAGGCAGCTGATTTTTTTTTGACAACAGCATGCTCTAGGCTTGGTCTCTGGAACAACGAATAAAAGCCTGACAACTAAACACTATCCAGGGTGGCGCTGTTTTATTTCGATAGGGTCTATTTTGAGCTGAACATAATCTTTTATGAACTAATGGTGGCGTTGCGTGGAGAATGTGGAGTCAACCCACTCGCCGCAAATTTTTTAGGTTAGTTCTATTATTTTAATAGAAGTATGGTGTATACAGGGTTATCCAAATTAAGTGTCCACCATTAGTAACTTTGTTATTAGTGAAAATACAAAGTTGTTTGAATTAGCAAACTAGTAGCATTTTTAACGCTGGTAAAAATGAGAAATAAAAAAAAACAATTGAGAGTCGTTATTTTGATTTTTTTCAGTAAAATAACATTTTTTTAAATGGAAACCCCTGTATATTATATTTTTTTCTGTTAAAGCATCAAATTTTAAACAAAAAAGTTCATAATGACTTTTCCGCTAAAGTCAAAAATAAAGTCAAAATAACGATAAATATTTTTAATTATTTGCAGTATTATAATATTAAGACGGCTATGAAAACAACATGGCGTTCGCGATTTGACAGCATTAAGATAAGCGACAAATTGTTAAACTGGACATACTCGCAACTAGAAGGCTTTGGAAAACAATGATAAAATCAAATAATGTCAAACATTAGTGTAAATACTTGTTTATAAGCTTTATTGTGTCATTAATTTAAAGAAAAATGTTCTCCCATGAAGAAAAGTGTGATATGTTAGAATGCTATTTAGTGTGCAGAAAATCCTCCTTGAGAGCAAGAGAATACTACAGTGAATTATATCCCGCTTGCATTCAACCGTATGAACGATATTTTCTGAGACTTTATCGAAAATTTAGGGGCAACGAAAATGTTTTTGCTAAAACAAGGGCAAAAAAAGAATTCATAATAAGCGAGGCCACGGAAATTGCAGTTATTGGATATTTTGAAGCTTATCGTGAGAATTCAATAGCAGATATTCTCAAGGACTCTAATTTCAGTTATGGTACTGTTCAAAGGATTTTAAAAAAATACAAATTTATTCCGTATAAGTACCGACCAGTTCAAACGCTTTTGGCAGGGGATCCAGAGAGAAGACTTGTTTTTTGCCATTGGTATCTTAGCTTCTGTCGCCAAAATGTAAATAACTTTCGTTACCTTTTATGGACAGATGAATCAAATTTTTCAAATTCTGGAATGTTTAATAGAAAAAACCACCATTATTGGTCAAGAGAAAATCTTTTGTTAGTACATCCAAGAGGCCCACAAGTCTATTTCAGTTTCAACGTTTGGTGCGGTATAATTGGTTCAAAAATTGTTGGCCCGTTCTTTTATGAGGGAACCCTAACTGGTGAAAGATATGTGGAATTTATGTCAGAAATTCTGACTAATTTCTTAGACGAATTGGATCTTATAAGTAGACATCATCTGCATTTTCAGCAAGATGGCGCACCTGCCCACAACTCCAGAGGTACTGATCATTTTCTAAGTACTACTTTTAATGATCAGTGGATAGGAACAAATGGCCCAATACAGTGGCCTCCCAGATCACCAGATCTAAACCCACTTGATTACTTCTTGTGGGGTTACTTAAAGAACCAAATTTACAAGCGAAGGTACGATAACCTTGACGCGTTAAAGACTGCAGTTAGGGAAAAGATAACCCAGATAGATGGTAGGACCATACTTAAGACAGTTCGAGCAGTTGAAAAACGTGCCCAAAAATGTATTGAAGAACAAGGTGGTGTTTTCGAGCATCTTCTTTAAAAAAAATTGTTATTGTATTTTGTAAGATTATAAGTTGATGTTGAAAATAAAGTTTGTCGATACAATTTAATTGTTTCAGATTGGAGGCCATAACTTCAACAATTTGTAACCTAGGAGAAAAGTTATTGTGAGCTTTTTTGTTTAAAATTTGATGCTTTAACAGAAAAAAATATAATATACAGGGGTTTCCATTTAAAAAAATGTTATTTTACTGAAAAAAATCAAAATAACGACTCTCAATTGTTTTTTTTTATTTCTCATTTTTACCAGCGTTAAAAATGCTACTAGTTTGCTAATTCAAACAACTTTGTATTTTCACTAATAACAAAGTTACTAATGGTGGACACTTAATTTGGATAACCCTGTATAATACGTGTATACATTATTAGATCACTGCATCTTGCATTTATATCGGAATTTTTTGAGAAATACCTGCAGTGTAAATTGATAGGAACTATATTGAAACAAGACGGTTTATCTCATATAGGCTTGTTTGATTTAAATATGAATATTTTTTTGCTAAAGCAGTGGACTTTCATAAATATCATGACCAATCATTTGTAACCCCCTTGTATAATTGGAACTCTGGGTACCAGCGAGACACCCTCGTATATCGACCAAAAGATTCGACAGGTGTCAAGAAACATCGACGCTCAGGCAACCAGAGCTACGAGGCTGAACGTGAGCGATTGCGGCGTCGTGGAGGAGCTTTGGTCGATATCGGGAGCGTTCGGGTAGTATCCTTAGCCATCTCGATACCTTCGATGGATCGTCTGGAATTCATTGGGGATCGATGCGTTAACATAGTCCAGTCGACATACTCGTAGTTATAAATTTGTTATAAATTAGTTGCAAGGGTTGCTATAAATTAGTGTACCTGTAATAAACTAGACATTAAACAGCAAAAACGGTGGATTCGTTACACACTGTTATACAGGGTGCAGAAAATATCAGCAATATTTCTTTAGGCCTAGTCTGTCCTTGGCAAACGAATGACCTAATGGTTTTCCGGGGTCTTGCAGGAAAATAAATCAATTGCATTTTTCATGCAAGTTTGTCTGCAATTCTGACTGAATAGTTAGGAGCTTACAAGTTGCCAATGCATGCAAGTATTCGTAGACCGGTCCGGTGGTTTGTGTGGTTATACTTAATTGTTTACAGATATACGTTTAGTAGGACTGCAATGCTTTAACGTTCTCCTACCTTGAATCCTTGTACAGGTCCTTTGCAAACATAGTCCAAATCCTGCTCATATGCAGTTAGTAGCAGGAAGAATCCTGCAGAAAAACCTGCTGACAGAGCTCGTCTAGGATAAGTGTCTTTACTTGTTGTCTTCGGGTAGCCATCTTCTAATGTCCAACCGTCTGCCTTCATCCCGTGTGACATGTAATTTTCGTCATGGAGAAATCTGTAAAATTTTGATGCCTTGACGAGTTATCTTCTTTTAAGTTCATATTCAGCGTTGACGTGTTAAAGAAAATAGCGTTAAATAAGTTGACTCTTAAAAAAAACTGGCTGCGAATAACTACAAAGTATCCGTCCAACTGACAACGTTGCGTGTCTATCACTGAATCGAGTTTGGGAAACTACGAATCTTTTTAGAAAAATAAAAACAAACTTACACATTGTTTCTGAGCAACTCAGTTTTATCCAGCATATTGAACGTGAAACACAGTCCTTCTTCTGTTAACATGGGGGTGAAAAAGTTGTGACAGCTCTGATTCTGAAGGGTCCATTTGCACGAAAAGAAGACGTCCCCAAATTGTGGTGCAATCTGAAATAAAAAAAAAAAACATTTTGATATTGCTTGATATGCTAAGCTTAACCTTTGAGTGAGAGGCGTCACTAGTCACTCTGACTTATATAAGAAATAAAATTAAATGTTTTTGGCGAAAGGCATATATTGAGAATCTCAAATATTGCGGCCCATCAGCCCAAATTTATTTTAACCGTTATATGGAATCTCAGTAATTTGAGGATACTCACACTCATCAAGTACTCTATAGTCGAGAAATCTGTAGTAAGTTCCCCGTCATTATAAAGGTGGTTATCACATATGAGAGAGCTGTGAGAAAATAACTTGATCCTGAAACATACAATATAAATTTTTCATCTTTGTAATAAATCTACCATACAAAAATTTGGCAAGTAAGTTTGACCATAATAAATATTTGATTTATTTTTGTGAAATTCGTTTGATGTGGGATAGCTTGAAATAACACGATATAAAATATAATACGGTATTTCATTCATCAAACGCTATTATAGCAACGTGGCGTTGCCGACTCTCACAGTCTAAACAAATAAATTGATGTAGCCTCTTGAATATTATATGCCGTGCTACTGAAATCCAAACAAGTATCGTTTACGACAGACTCATAGTATATGTTTACATTTTTTTATCAACGGTTGTTAAAGAACTACAAAAACTAAATTAGTTTGTGGAGGTGCGGAGTGCCGGAAGGAGGAGGGGGCTGGTGGTGTCGATTCGGTTAATTTATAGCACAATAAATTATGTAAATTTGTTATGTCCGTATTGATACAATGCATTTTATTTTATATTCGCTATGTTCAAAGCAATTATATGGAACTATTAGTGCATTTTAGGTTAATGCCCATTGCACAAATGAATTACCTATTTATAAACATGCTTCAAATTACATTATTATTAATAATAATGACCACGCTATATCAGTGTCGGTACCAGGAGCAGAAAAAATGTAAACAAACACTATAAGTCTTCGCAAACTATACTTCGGGATTTTGTTCTTCAATGATTTACAGCAATGGATCGCAACATGACATTAAAAATACATCAATCAATCCTATAACTCACTCTTCGTCTGTCATATTTTCTCGATTATGCACATATCTGTCATAGGCATCGGTGAAGTTGTACTTTCTCTGCCTACTTTTGTTTTCCGGGCAAACGGTGATAGCGGGAAACGGCACTTGCCAAACGGGCGTCGGACTCCTGGCAAAGCTCACCAACACTGGGGACGTGTCCCATTTTATCCAGGTCTGGATGATCAGGTAGATACAGGCGTACAGGGATACGGTAAATAGGATCAACCACCATATTCTAAAAAATAGCGTCTAGTTGAATCACTTCCCAGCCACAGAAATTTGCCTTCAATTAAATTACAAATGATTTATTTACAAACGTAAAGCTAGAGGGAGATAATCAACCATTCCCCCTATACTAATTTTGTTAATAGAGTAATGAAATAACTACTATATTCTAGTGTAGAAAAAACAGTTGAGAATTTCAAGAAGGCGGCTGGGCATCATTCTGGAATACCTTCTAAAAGGAATCGGGGGTCGTGTGATTTCTCATTTTAAAGCACATTATGAGTACTTTATAACTCCAAAATATAAAATCACTTTTTTCAAAATTTTTATTAAGGGTTTATTTTCCAATCAGAAAAAGTACAAATATAATATGTCTTAATCCGATTGCTCAAGGTTTTTGAGATATCGCTATTTTTAGGGATTCTTAGAGAATCGCTACTTTTAAGCATGTACAATTTTTTTCTATAGTTTTTTTTTATATCGAAGCAGCCGCGCAGACAGAAGCCTAAATGCCGGAACACCGCGGCTGCTATGATGATCCCAAAAAAAATTTGTTAATACTATTTTTGAACTGCCTAAGGATAGTAGAACTAGGAAAAGCTTCCTCTTGTAGATTGTTCCACAATCTCGACACCCTCGGGACAAAGGAGCGGTCGTATCGGCCAGTTCTGGATGTACGAAGTTCGACACGCTTAAGATGGGACGCCAAAGTCAAGCGAGTCTGTCTGGCAGGCACATCGCGGGGCGGCATCATGGAAGAGAGCTCTGAGGAGCAAAGCCCGCTGGTGTAGCGGTAGAAAGCAGCTAGATCGGCGACGGCCCGCCGATGAGAAAGAGTCCCGAGACTGTCTGTTAGAGAAGAGTCATCGATCAGTCGGACCGCCCTCCGCTGGACAGCATCGAGCATGGAGAATGTAGTCGGGGCGGCAGCACCCCAAACGTGTGAGCAATACTCGAGGATAGGTCTTGTATAGAGTGAGAAGCTCATGCGGAGAAAAGTACTTTTTAGCCATAAACAAATAGCCTAGCTTTTGCCCAGCAGCTGCAGCTATTGACGAAATGTGCTCGTGCCAGATCAGGTACTCGGTGATCTGGACTCCGACCAGCCGAAATGAATGACACTTTGCAGAACTCAGCCATCCATCGAAACCGGATGAGCGCTGGGACGCTTTTTGTTCGTCAAAGTACAGTACTGTGTTTTGGAAGCATAGAACTGTACAAGATCCCCAAACAGTAATAGCCTCCAGGTCTCTTGTCAGAGAGGAAGTCGTCGCTGGTCTTCTTTTTCCCAGCTTAGCGGCAGGGATCGGCTTGTCACTGAATTCCTGCATGTAGAGTGCTATCATCAGCAAAGCTGTGGATTAGGTTGATCGTGCAGGAAAAGAGGTCGTTGATATGTAAGAGAAACAGTATCGGAGACAAGAGCGATCCCTGGGGGACCTTGTGGGATGAAGAGGAGAACCCTTCAATTACGACGGATATCTTGAGGCCAGAGATAAAGTCAGCCACCCATCTGCAAAGCTTTACAGTTCCGAGCTAGCAGCCGTCGCGAGTATACACTTGTGCGACTGCGACCCGCCCGGACATATTGAGCAATCTTATTGCGATTTTCACTGCGATAGATTGGTTGTTTGCCATCTACGATGGCGAAAATTGAGAAGCTGGCTAACCAGCTGAAAGAAAAGAAAGATGCTTTCGCCATGCTGGCAGAGCAGATGCGAAACCTGCAAGAAGCCTTCTTGCAGGCTCAACAGGAGATCGAGGACCTGAACGGGAAGCTCCGCAGGGCCAAGAAGAAGGCCGCAAAGAAGACCGAAGAAGAGGAGGAAGAGGACCACCAGGCTACGTCGGACGAGATGGACGCTCAAAAAGAGGGCACTCAACGGACCGAAGAAATAGAAGAAGAAGCCGAGAAGAGGACCGACAACACCGATTTCAGTGTCGCCACCAGACGGAGGAAGCGGGTGCGAGTTTCCTCCTCCGAAGACGAGTCGCCAAGGCAGCCAAAGATGCCAGCTGCCGCTACCAAGAAGAGTCCTAGAGCAGCCAGGACCATCGTGCCCCCCATGTCGGGAACAGGAGTTCCCCCCATCAGCATCTAGGGCACCGCTGACTGGTCATCATAAAGTAGGATGATAAACAACAAGGGGATCCAATTCTCCAAGGCAAGGACGGCGGGTAACAGTGTGTAGGTGTTCACAAATACACCAGCTGACTATCGTCAGCTAGTCGCACTGCTGGACTCCATCAAGCGGCCCTTCTTCACCTATCAACTGAAGGAGGACAGGATGGACCAGAGGGTCATTCGTGGGCTACCCAGGGAGATGTCAGTCAATGACATCAAAGAGGATCTAGTGAGCCAAGGCATCGCAGACGCCGAGGTTCAGCAGATGACCTCAAGGACCACCAAGAAGCCACTTCCGCTCTTCCTCGTCAAGACGAAGATGCCGGAAAAGCTTGCAGAGATCCAGAGGCTGGCCATGCTCACGGACAGCTTCGAGAGGAAGAAAAAGTCCACCGAGCCCAGCCAATGTTACCGCTGCCAGCGGTACGGGCACACACAGCGGAACTGCCGTCTCGCTGAACAGTGCGTTAAGTGTGGAGAGGACCACAGCAGCACCAGCTGCAGTCTGCCAGCGCCGCCAACAGGGCAACGAAACGCCAAGTGTTGCCTTTGTGGAGAAGGCCACCCCGCCAACTACAAGGGATGTAGTAAGGCCCCGAGGAAAGCTGCTTCTGCCCCCAAAGCAGTCCCCACCTCTTACGCTCAAAAAGCGAAGAAACCTATGTCCACTTCTGCCCCAGCAGCCGCCACTGCTACTGGAACTACTGCGCAGAAGCAACACGGCGATGACAGACTGCTAGCAATGATGCAAGCCATCATAACCCGCCTGGATGCACTCGAGGCCAAGATGCAAGACAAGCATTAGACCCGAAATGACATCAGGGCAAAACGTAGAATCTCTACGCATTATCTCCTGGAACATCAACGGATTCAGGGCACGGAAACCAGAAATCAAATCCAGGAGATACTAGACCAGTACCAACCAGAGGTGATGGCCATCCAAGATACGAAATTGGATGCTGCCCATAGTCTGATGTTCCCGCGGTACGAGACGTACCTCTACGACAGAAGAGGCAGAGGTGGAGGAGTCGCATTACTCGTCAAACGTACCTTGACGAGTCATGTCCTCGACGCTGCCGCAGACATCAATGGGGACGGAATCACGGTCCAGGTCCATCACAACCACCGTCCCTACAGGATCACCTCCCTATATGTGCCACCAGGGGAGGCCCTAGACGAAGATGACATCGCTGACCTCCTTAGAGGCCCAGGAGCACGCATAGTCATCGGAGATCTAAACTGCAAATCTCCGGCATGGAACAACAACGTCGAAGACAGGAATGCAAGGCAGCTCCAAGAACACGTCGATGCCCTGGCGGGGGTCATCGTCGGTCCGGAGCAACCAACCTACATTCCATTCGGCCTCGGGCGACCTGCGGTACTGGACATAGCCATCCTCCGCAACATCAGAGAGGAGTTCGAGATAGAGACCCTGGTGGAAGGATCGTAGGACCACAATCCGATTCTACTAACACTTGGCACAGGGTCTAGAACTCGAGATAGCTTGAGCACCAAACGGACGAACTGGAACCTGTACAAATCCAACGTCCAAAGGAACATCACTCAAATTTCAACCATCCGATCAGCGGAGGAACTGGACAACGCAGTAGAAGAGCTGGAGAATGCTGTCCTGCGAGCGCACGAGGACAGCACCCGCTCCGAGACTACGGCAGTTCCTAGACACCTAAATGGTCCAGCACCGCACCATATTAGGCACCTGATCAGGGAGAACAGAAGACTCAAGCGAGAACATCTCCAACTGTTGACAGAGGAGTCGACAGTTGCGCGAAACAGAGCATCGCTAGCTCTGAAGAACGCACTCGCGGAACTCCAAAACAGCAGATGGAATGCAGCCTGTGCAGAACTAGAGACCCAGGATGGTACGGCTTGGACTATGCAGCGAAAATTTCGTCGTCAGCGCACCACGATCCCCACTCTTCACGGCCAACGCGGCTTGGCCTACTCCAGTGAAGAAAAAGCCGAAGCATTCGCTGATTCGCTAGAATCCGAATGCAGACTCAATGTCGCAGCCGAAATCATGAGGAGTCGACCACCTGGCCAGGAGACGGATCATCCCTCCAGTCCAGAGGAAATCCGTCTGATCATCCGCAGGTTGAAGGTCAGAAAGGCACCGGGAAGGGACGGCATCAACAACAGGATGCTGAAAAACCTTCCCACCAAAGGCATTGCTGCGCTCACCAACATCGCCAATGCCACTCTGAGACTTAACCACTTCCCGCGGCGGTGGCGGGAAGCCCAGGTTATAATGCTCACCAAGCCAGGCAAGGACTGGAAGTTGCCTCAGAACTACCGGCCCATCAGTCTGGTTTCCTCAATGGGCAAAGTAGTCGAAAAGGCTATCGCCGTTCGACTAGAGAAGCAGGCAGAAGAACTGCAACTTCTCCCCCCAGAGCAATTCGGCTTCAGATCCTCCCACAACACGAAACTCCAAGCGCTACGACTGACAGAAAACATCAGCAGCGGCTTCAATCTCCAGGAGGCAACCGGTCTCGTCCTGCTGGACGTGGAACGAGCCTTCGATCGAGTTTGGCACGATGGACTCATCGCCAAAATGGAAGCCGCCGGAATCGATGCGAACATGTGCCAACTGATCCAGAGCTATCTAACACAAAGATGGTTCACGGTGAAGATTGGTACATGCCATTCAACAAGACGACAGCTGGAAGCAGGCGTGCCTCAGGGGTCAGCCTTAGCCCCCCTGCTCTACAACATCTATACTCACGATGTGCCGAAGACAGCTGACACAATGCTGGCCCTATATGCAGACGACACTGCTATAGCCGCCAAGCATCGACGTCCCGAGATCATCCGTAGGAGACTACAGGATGAACTGGACCACATCCAGGACTGGTGCGTGAAATGGA